GGGCGTCCTCCGGCACCCCGACAGGGTGCTATTTGGCGCCCCGGGCCTTCCGGTGTACGCTATGGTATCTACGTTCGCGTGAGTTAAAAAGACTATGAATAAGTTATGCACTGTAGGCGTTTACTAAGTTCAATCAGGCGGTGACGTCATGGTGCGTCCTCTGGCGCCCAGACAGGGTGCTATTTGGGGTCCCGGGCATCCCGTGTTCGGTTTCGCGCCTACGTTCATTAAAGTGAGTGCAAAAGACTATGAATAAGTTGGGGTACTATAGTCGTTTATTAAGTTGAAGCAGGCGATTCAGTCCCGTGAGCACTTTGCGTTTATATTCGCGTTAGTGTTTTCTTTGTGTTTAGGTTGGGTTTGCGTTAGAGGTTGCGTTTTGATTTGGTTCGTTTTTGTTCTTTCTTTTTTCGTTTTCGTTTGTGTTTTATTTTCATTGGGTTTGTGTTTGTATTTGTGTTTGAGGTTGGTTTTGCGTTTGGATTTGGTTTGTTTTCGTTTGTTTTTTCTTTTGTGTTTTTTTCTTTGGGTTTGTGGTTGGTTTTGCGTTTGGATTTGGTTTGTTTTCGTTTGCTTTTTCGTTTATGTTTTTTTCTTTGGGTTTGTATATGTGTTTGTGGTTGGTTTTGCGTTTGGATTTGGTTTGTTTTCGTTTGCTTTTTTCTTTGTGTTCGTAATGGTGTTTGTGGTTGTGGTTGGTTTGTTGTAAGTTTTTGTTTTCGTTTGTATTTGTAATTGTGTTAGCGTTATGTTTGCGTTTTGTTGTTTTGGTTTTGGTTGGTTGTGGTTTGGGTGGGCAATGCCGGGTTTATGATGATTACTAAACACACAGGTGATGGTCTTTAACAGAAAGGTTTTTCACAGAAGCCAGAGCAGGGCCTGGCCGGGACGGCTAGTCTAATATATAAAGCTCAGTTCTGTAACGTGTGGCAAAAAAGTTTGTCGTTGACACTTCTATGGATTTAAGTGTTAGATTTTTTATCGTACTCATAGTCTAAATTTACGAGTCAAAAAATTACCATTGTAAGTCTTTAAAAACAATTTTCACTGTATTTACTTAGAAGAATAATTTTTAATTATGAACGCGACATAAAATTTTTAAAAAATGTATCGACGTTTATAAAATTTCTAAAATTGTGTCGGAAATGTAGTGACTGCACAGTTACTTCCCTTTAATAAAAAAAATTCTTAAGAAGAAAGAATTTACATTTTATTACTTTGTTTTTGGTGTTAAGAAAAAAAAAATAATTACATAATTAGCGGGGATTGATTAAGTGCAATGTCGTTAGGTATTTTTAACACTGCCTTTTATTTATTCTATACACTGAACATACTGTTCAATATTTTTTTTTAAATCAATAACATTTAATAAGCCAGGTCCTACAAATCCTATATGTTTATTTCTTGGAGTATTATCATTTTTGTTCACTAAATTGAAACAGGCGCGTCCGCCGGCGCCCTTGCACGGTTCGATTTGGCACCCTGGGCTATCATGTGAGCACTATGCTGCATAGTTTTGTTTTTAACAGTGCGATAGACTATGGATAAGAAAGGTTACTATAGTCTTTAAGTGAATCAAATCCGGGCGTCCTCCGGCACCCCGACAGGGTGCTATTTGGCGCCCCGGGCCTTCCGGTGTACGCTATGGTATATACGTTCGCGTGAGTTCAAAAGTGGTTGCGTTTTGGTTTGGTTCGTTTTTGTTCTTTCTTTTTTCGTTTTCGTTTGTGTTTTATTTTCTTTGCGTTTGTGTTTGTATTTGTGTTTGTGGTTGGTTTTGCGTTTGTATTTGGTTTGTTTTCGTTTGTTTTTTCGTTTGTGTTTTTTTCTTTGGGTTTGTGGTTGGTTTTGCATTTGGATTTGGTTTGTTTTCGTTTGCTTTTTCGTTTGTTTTTTTCTTTGTGTTCGTATTGGTGTTTGTGGTTGTGGTTGGGTTAGTTGTTAGGTTTTTGTTTTCGTTTGTATTTGTAATTGTGTTAGCGTTATGTTTGCGTTTTGTTGTTTTGGTTTTGGTTTGGGTGTGCAATGCCGGGTTTATGATGATTACTAAACACACAGGTAATGGTCTTTAACAGAAAGGTTTTTCACAGAAGCCAGAGCAGGGCCTGGCCGGGACGGCTAGTATATATATATATATAAAGAGAGAGAGAAAGAGAGTCAAAACGTGTTTTATTTACATGTATGAAAGTTTTAACCACATTTATCTTTGGTGTCACCATGAGCCGTAGAAGTCAGCGTGAGCCGTAGGTTAGATGACATTTGTAGCTGTAAGTTAGATGACATTTGGAGCTGTAGGTGTATGTGCGGGAGCAGTAAATGTCGTCGGAAGCCGTAATTGTAAGTGGGGGCCGTGGATTTTTCAGTGATGTGTAATAACATTGAGCCGTTGGTGTTATTGTGAGTTGTAGATAAAAGTCATTGGGAGTCGTAAGTTTGATTGCCGTATTAGTGATGATGTGGCTGATGTGCCTCGGGTATGATAATTTGTCGTGGATTTGATCAAGGGTGGACTGGCTGTGTCCACGAGGCCCGGGACATTTTTAAAAGCTTTTTCCCGGTAGACCAGTCCGCCTGTGTGTGTGATGTTGTGCCGAAGTTGTGATGTTGTGCCGTAGATGTGATGTTGTGCCGTAGATGTGATGTTGTGCCGTACAAGTGATGATGTGCCGCAGTATGACAATACCACCCCACCCGATTCCCGTCTTGCCGTAGATGTGATGTAGTGCCGTAAATGTGATGTTGTGCCGTATATGTGATGTTGTGCCGTAGATGTGATGTTGTGCCGTAGATGTGATGTTGTGCCGTACAAGTGATGAAGTGCCGCAGTATGACAATACTACACCACCCTATTCCCGTCTTGCCGTCGACAAAGAAAGAAGCGGGCCGTAGCTGATTGATGTGCTATTGATCAGCGCGCTAATCGTGTCTTCAGATATTCAACCCCCCAGCTTTCTTTGTCCCATCCTTTGACTTTCTTTGTGTTTTAATCCATTGTCGGGCCATGCTGTGTCATACCACGGCGTCTTTGTTGAGATTTATTCCTCTGGGCGCCAAGTGATCTTTTTTTTTCTGGGAACTCGATGGGAAGTTCCCGTTTTTTTTTTATTTAGAGAAACGCGCGCTATCGGAAATCACAACTCTAAAAAGAGTGTGTCAAAATAGTTTTAAAAACTTGAAAATATAAATATAAAACTTATATGAAATACAATGTGTATTACTGAAAGCTGACTTTAATCTTGAACAAGAAAATATTAATATAACTCAAGTGTAGTTTAAGTGTTTACGATTTCTTCTCTCTCCGCGCCCCCCCCCCCCCCCTTCCCAGTCTTTTTTAAAAGCTCGGTTGTTGAAGTAGAAAACTGATTTAAAAATTCATGGCAGACTTTGATTTCCTGGCGAACTGATTTTAATACCGGGAGGATGGATGGTTAATAGAAAACTATCCCCCCCCCCCTTCCGGAGAATAGATGAGAAATAGCAAACTATTTCCACCGGGCGATGATTCTGGAGGGAGGGATTAACCTCTCGCGCCGATTGAAGTTCACGGCCTGCGTGTCATCCTGGCCTGGCATTTGCCAGCTTGTCCTTCAGCTTTCACTCACCTGCACGTCGTTGGAATTACCCAGTTATCGCCTCTGACGAGTCAAAACAAATAGGACCTTTGGATGGGAGAAATCTGGCCATGTGGTGATCTGATGAAAATCTCCATGACCCCCGTCTTCATGACCCCCGTCTCCATGACTTTATGACCCCGGTCATTATGACCCCCGCCTTCATGACCGCAGTCTCCATGACCCCCGTCTTCATGATCACCGTCTCCTTGACCGACTCCATGACCCCCGTCTTCATGACCTGCCTCCATGACCACCCCCCCCCCCTAGACGTTGTCCTATTAAAAATCTCACGCTTCATTGGTGTTGCTCACTCTCTGCCCCACATCCACATTTATCAAAGGTCACCAAGACTAGAGGAACTGCGGGTCGTATTGAATGGATTCGTTTGGTTTGACGTAAAAATAGTTGAGATTTTTATCTGGAGTAATGAAGGGGGCTGGTTAACTCGTAAGTTTTTCTAAATACTGGAGGAGTGGATTCGGTTTGATGGAGGAAATGTTTTACACTTTACCACTTTTTTACTTTTTTGTTACTCCAGTCTTGTTACTTACATAATGTTACTGTTACCTGAGTGATGTGACTTACTTGAATGATATAACTTATTACTTGAGTGATGTGATTTACCTAACTAGTCTTACTTACCTTAATGCTGTGTCTGTTACCTCAGTAACTATGGCGACTGTATTACTTCACATAACTTCTCCCATATCTCGTGTGTCTCATAAGATGAACTTGTATATAGCGGGATTGGGGGAGGGCCAATAGTTCGGCCCCGATCATTGAACTCAGTGATCTCACGATAGCTCATGGTGTGCGAATGTACAGTGTGTCAATGTATTGAGTGAATGTGTAGCCGGTGTGTGTACGTGTGTGGGTGTGGACTGTGTTAAAAACGTACGTAGCACGTCTGAAAGTCTACCAGCCCGCCCCGGGGGTAAATGAACCTATCCAGGTAGTTAATGAAATGTTGGACTATTAGGTGTGCCGGCGTGATTGATTCCACCTCACAGTGGTCATTACTTGCCCCATCTCCCTCTCTAGTGATACGGCCGACACTGGTAGATGGACGTCATTGATCAGCTGATGTATTAGTCACACACGTGTAGCTCAATGCTACCGAGACGTGCATTAGGCTACATGGTGCTACCAGTAATGTAATTAGACAAAACGGATTCAATTCATGGGATGTGACGTCACTCATTGAGAGCAGAGGATGTGACGTCACTGATTAAAACCGTGGGATATGACGTCACTGACTGATACAAATTTGTGTCCATGACTTGTGTTCGGGTGTTTAAACACCGTGTGAACTCTGACCCCCCACACCACTGAGATTTCTGAGAATGATTTTAACGTGGATTATTTTCCTTTTCTTGCATGTGCAAGCAGACGACCCAGGCGTTACCCAGAGCGCGTGAGTACTCAACATTTTTGTTTCTATATTTAGACATTTGTGTTTGTCCGGATTGACAGATTGTTGGTTTCGTCTCTTGTTTTTGTGTCTAATGTGTGTTTTCTTCTGTGTGTCTTCTGTCTGATACACGTTTTACATCACTTGAAGAAGTCAAATAGAGGAGTCGGCGTTTTAACTAACTACAGACTGTATAACAGCCAACTATACACTGTAAAACGCCAAAAGGACAACTCTGAATAAAGATATCTCAGCTTACAGCTCTCGACGAACGCGATGTTTTGAAATCTCGAGATGTGTATTTATTTATTGATCGCGAGATGTGTATTTATTTATAGATCGCGAGATGTGTATTTATTTATAGATCGCGAGATGTGTATTTATTTATAGATCGCGAGATGCGCATTGACAAATATTCGAAAACTGTTTTCCGACAAATGTTAGCGATTTACACAATTCTATGACACCATACCCACATCCAACCGTCATACAGGATTACTCAGCACTGTGTCATTGTGCCTGTATTTTATATGGTCAATCAAAATTTCAACTGGGAGGGGTGTGGGCAGTACGTGGGGGAGGGAGGGGAGGATGGTGCTCACTAAACATTTGGAGAGGGGGGGAGGGGATTGTACCCACTAAACACTTGTCTTAAGGAAGGGGGTGGGGGCAGTAGAGTGATGGTAGGTGAGGGAGGGGAGGATGGTGCCCACTAAATATTTGTCTTTGGGGGTGGGGGCAGTTGAGTGATAGGGGGTGAGGGAGGGGGGATGTACCCTCTAAACATTTGTCTTTGGGGGTGGGGCAGTTGAGTGGTAGGGGGTGAGGGAGGGGGGGGCTGTACCCTCTAAACATTTGCCCTGCAAATGTTGGCGTGCTGATAAGTGGGGAACAAATGTTTTACATCACGCCCTTATCCGGCCTGTACCGGATGTTAGGGCCGCCACGATGACGTCATCTGACAGACGCGCACAGTAAACATAAGCAAACTGGCTACTTGCTTCAGTCAAGTCAGGATCATAGCATCACTCAAGTCAGGGTTACGTCATCAGTCAAGTCACGATCATAGCATCAGTCAAGTCAGGGTTAAAGCACCAGTCAAGTCAGGATCATAGCATCAGTCAAGTCAGCATATAGCATCAGTCAAGTTAGGATCATAGCATCAGTCAAGTCAGCATATAGCACCAGTCAAGTCAGGATCATAGCATCAGTCAAGTCAGCACATAGCACCAGTCAAGTCACGATCATAGCATCAGTCAAGTTAGGATCATAGCATCAGTCAAGTCAGCATATAGCACCAGTCAAGTCAGGATCATAGCATCAGTCAAGTCAGCACATAGCACCAGTCAAGTCACGATCATAGCATCAGTCAAGTTAGGATCATAGCACCAGTCAAGTCAGCATATAGCACCAGTCAAGTCAGGGTTACGGCATCAGTCAAGTCATGCTACTGACATCAGTCATAAACTTTGTTGGTTGTTCTAGACTTGAGATTTTAACTTCCACACCACTACAACAATTGTACTGGCGCCAAGACTGCTGTTGCTACATTTTAAAGTGGCAGACGTCGCTTAGCTGAGTTAGCTAAACGTACTCAACATGCAAACTGTGAATATCTTGCCTACAAGACTGGAATCCTGCCTCAGCGAAACATGTGTTACTTCTGCATAAACTTCAATCTTGGAAGCTACATTAATTGGCTATAATTAAATATTGTTCATTAATTGAAACTAATTAAGACTCAGCCACTAAGCAAGACAGTTAAACATCCATTCTCTCAAGACACCAGACATTACATCCAGTAAAACAAGAAAATCTGAAGGTTAAAATATGAGTTTCCCGTAGCCATTCATTTGACTATTGTTTAGAGAGTATTTAAAAAGTGCCGAGAAAAAAGACGGGAGAACGTAAACACGCAAGGGGAGATAAGCCTCTGTCACGTCCAGCTGGTGCTGATAGGGGAAGATTGCAGTGGGTGATATGGTTTATTAGAACTTGCCACAGCGTTATTTCATTGCTTATAATCTTCTACGTGCACCGTTTAAAGAGGTTGTGGTGGGGGGCGGGGAGGGAACACATCTTTCTGATTGGTGGGGGGGGGGGGCAACCTCTTGATGTGGGGTGGGCATCCATCTGTTTGGGGTGTATCTGACCCTGTACACTTTCTAGTGCCCCTTTACGTGAGGAGAGGGTGTTCATCCACACCCACCTGGGTGTAAGACATTTCACCACATCCATCTGGGGTAAGACGTCTCGCCACATCCACCTGGGGAAAGACGTCTCACCACATCCACCTGGGGTAAGACGTCTCACCACATCCACCTGGGGTAAGACGTCTCGCCACATCCACCTGGGGTAAGACGTCTTGCCACATCCACCTGGGGTAAGACGTCCTTCCACATCCACCTGGGGTAAGACGTCTTGCCTCATCCACCTGAGGTAAGACGTCTCGCCACATCCACCTGGGGTAAGACGTCCTTCCACATCCACCTGGGGTAAGACGTCTCGCCACATCCACCTGGGGTAAGACGTCTTGACACATCCACCTGGGGTAAGACGTCTCGCCACATCCACCTGGGGTAAGACACTTCACCACATCCACATGAGGTATGACGTCTCGCCACATCCACCTGGGGTAGGACGTCTCACGACATCCACCTGGAGTAAGACGTCTCGCCACATCCACATGATAAGGGGGGGGCGTTTCGCCACATTCACCTGGGGTAAGACGTCTCACCACATCCACCTGGGGTAAGACGTCTCACCACATCCACCTGGGGTAAGACGTCTCACCACATCCACATGAGGTATGACGTCTCACCACATCCACCTGGGGTAAGACGTCTCACCACATCCACCTGGGGTAAGACGTCTCGCCACATCCACCTGGGGTAAGACGTCTCGTCACAGCCACACGAGTGTGGGGTGTTTCACCACACCCACCTGTGAGGGCATGGATTAAGAACTAACACATCCCACACGTCAGCAAAAACCCTTTAAAACTGTCGATAACCCAGGGAGTTAATCTCTGGTTAATGAGAGGTGTTTAATGAGAAACACGTCAACACCTGCCGATCACTACTGGCTCATCTCCCCCACCCCCAGGGGTGCTCACCTAGAAAACATGCGCACATTTAAATCACGCTAATTACCGGAACGTTCATTTACTGTTGAGTGTTGGACTAGATTAAGCCTGTTACACATTTTGTTTCTTGGGCTGAACACCAACATTAGTGCAGCCTGTTACACATTTTGTTTCTTGGGCTGAACACCAACATTAGTGCAGCTTTTATAATGAAATGTATTCGGGCCGGCCTCTTGATTGACCGGCACTCGTATATGTCCAGATAGAGGGAAAATTGACAGACACATATGTCCAGATAGAGGGAAAATTGACAGACACATTTATGTCGAGATAGAGGGAAAATTGACAGACACGGGTATATGTCTAGAGAGAGGTAAATTAAAAGACACTCGTATATGTTTAGAGAGAGGGAATATTGACTTCACGTAGATAAATGACCACGTGTTTACATTTTTTATGTTAGGGCGAGAGAGTTCCCACGTTTAAAATGTAATAATCCCCTAATTTTAATTAGAATCTACTCGTTTTTGAAGTTCTAAGTTAACCTTTTTTTTTTACCCCCACAGACGTTTGTATAGAAGCCTGAGAAAATAGCAGTTAATTGTCTTGGCTAATATCATAATTAGTCTACAAGTAATTACCTCCCCCATCTTTTAGGTAAGAGATAACTTTGAAGTGTTATCTCCCCTGAACAAACCGCCGACCCGCGGCTGTAGTAACCAGCTGTATCCTCGCGTCGGTCGTTCACTTTCTACGTCAGACTTGAACGTTTTTACCAGTCGCACTTCAGGGCCCAGGGCCCGCGTCAAAACTGGCCAGGGAGGTCAACTCACTGCGGGAGGGGCCCCCACTATCACCGGGGGTAAGACTAACGTTTAAAGCAGGCGAAGGTCCCGCTCCAAGTGTTTTACTACGCTAGGGGAAGTAATGCAAATCTAATAAAGTGTCGCTGGCCTCTTAAATCTGTGTTATCTCCCCTCGGGCAAATCATCGCTCTTCATGTCCTGCCGGGAAAGGGGAAGAACTGAGTTTATTTTATTTATCGGATTTCAAGATTAGCCGGGATTATGTTTCGGACCCATGCGTTGAGGGGTCCACGGTTTGGCGTTACTACACAAAGATGTGATGTTTTTGTTACATTTTTGTGTTACTCTGTCAGGCGGGGGGGGGGGGGGGGGTGATGATAATGGATCAATATTAGGAGAGACGTTGTGTAGGTGTTTAAGATGTATCTGTATGTAGATATGAGTGTATTTGTGTAAAGAAGCTGTATTCGTAATTCAGATGTAATAACATGTATCCGTGTTACGGTATTGCATGTTGTGTTGGTATTAAAATGTATTGCAACTTATGTTGGCGCTAAAATGTTGTATTTGTATTGAAATGTTCAATGTTGTGTATTAAATGTATTTGTATTGAGATAAACCATGCTGTTGTATATTTTCATGTTGTGTATTAAATGTATTTATATCGAGATAAACCATGTTGTTGTATAATATCATGTTGTGTATTAAATGTATTTGTAACGAGTTGTACGATGTTGCATTACCATCCCTCCCCCCACCCCGTGTATCTCAGCAGCCTGACCCAGCAGCACATGTGCTCGGCGTACAACGGCACCGTGTGCAGACAGTACCTACACGGCAGGTACGTGTACCACAACAGCAGCATGGACCCCGAGCAGTTCCTGCAACAGACCTTCTCCGAGATGGCCCAGCACGTCCCCAGCGGCAGCCTGTGTCAGGTCCCGGCCACCAGGATGTTGTGCCACCTCATCTTCCCCGACTGCAAGAACGACACCAACGAGCCACTGCCTCTCTGCAAGTAAGTGACGTCATGGTTGTCGCATGGTCCCGTCACGGTGACTTCGTGGTTGTCTCTTTTCTTGGTTGTCTTGGTGACGTCATTGATCTAGCATGATGACGTCATTGCTGTATCCTCGATCCATAGTGTTGGCGTCGGCGGTATATTATATAAATCATATTGAGGTTATTGCTGTAGTTTTGTTCCGTTTCTTTGCCTTGTGATGGTATTGAAAAAACTTATCTCCGCCATTGTATGTTTGTTGTTATGTCGTCATGTAAAATCAATTGACCACCATGTTGCACTACACGAGGAAGGCCCAAAAACCTAGGTGCTGTTGATTTACTTATCTTTTAACTTTACACTGTCCAACGTTGAGATCCCGTATTGGTTTAACATCAAGTCCGCCTTCCGTTTGTTTCTGACTTTGCTTGAATATTTGGGGCAATTATCTATCTATATATATAATTCTCCTCTTCGAGCCGTTAGAAAACAAGCTGCAAACGCTCTCCCTACCTCCCCACCCCTACATGGTTTTAGTGAGCTGTGTTCACTCTAAATTCTAAATGTTTACAAGCAGAGCCAACTATTTTAAACGTAGGGGGGGGGGGGGGAGAGGGGGGGGGAAGGAAGGGGGGGGGGTTATGGTCCTTAACGAGCTACTTATAGTGTTTTAAAGAAATATTTTCAGTGTCAGCGTTGGTACTGTCGAATTCACAAATTATGAATTATTGAAAATTAGAAACAACTAAATAGCGGCGTATGTTACGCCGCGGGCCGGCTCGTATCCACTAATTCGGTTCTGGTCGCGACCATTAGGCGTCCTAGTTCAGGACAAAACCGGTACCGTCTAAAGCCAAGTTGTCCGGATATAACCCGTACCGTCTAAAGCTAAGTTGTCCGGGCATAACTCGTTCCGTCTAAAGCTAAGTTGCCCGGATATAACCCGTTCCGTCTAAACCCAAGTTGACCGGATATAACCCGTTCCGTCCAAACCCAAGTTGACCGGATATAACCCGTTCCGTCTAAACCCAAGTTGTCCGGATATAACCCGTTCCGTCTAAAGCCAAGTTGTCCGGACATCACTTAAAGACGAACTGTCTCCAGTCTAAAAGTTCATTTACCGCCGACTGAGTGACCTGAGATGAATAATTCTCTCCCCCCCATGGGGGGTCCATGGGCGGCGTACTGTCTGTCTATTAGATCACACAACATCAGCAGACGACTGACTCTAGCACACGACGCCAGCAGACGGCTGTCTCAAGTCATGCTACTCAACTATTTCCTTCATCAAAACAACTATGTACACCTGCGGTTTAAGGAATCGGTTTTTACAAGCTTTTATTTAACTCACTTCCTCTGTCGTCCGCCAGTCTGTCTTGACGGAAACGCAGGAGTGAAAATTCGGACAGTTCTACTTGACCGACACGATTCACAGTTGGCACTTGGGTCAAGACATGAAGACAATGCAATCTGAAACTAAATTTGACTTAATTGGATGCCTAATTGATTTTTTATGAATTAATTAAAATTTGGACCGAATTAGTAGGCAAGTCTAGCCAACCACACCACACTCGTCATCAATAGCTGCGCCATCACGACCACGTAATGGCTGCGTTCAAAAACCATTGCGCGCCTACTGAACGTGATATTCAGTAGGCGCGCAATGGTTTTTAGTCATGTAACTCTATTGTAGATAAAACATGTAAAGTACTGAAAAAAAAAATTCATAAAAAACGTTTTAATAACAAGCTTTTATGTAATGATGCACTAAAAAGTAGAAAATAAATTATAGACTACTATTTAAATAACTATAAAGAAAAGCGTGGGTGTCTTCCTAAACATTAGTAAAGGTATCCAATAGATACTAAAGTGACCCACGCTTTTCTTTATAGTTATTTAAATAGTAGTCTATAATTTATTTTCTACTTTTTAGTGCATCATTACATAAAAGCTTGTTATTAAAACGTTTTTTATGAATTTTTTTACAAGCTTTTATTTAACTCACTTCCTCTGTCGTCAGTCTGTCGACAGTCTGTCTAGACGGAAACGCAGGAGTGAAAATTCGGACAGTTCTACTTGACCGACACGATTCACAGTTGGCACGTGGGTCAAGACATGAAGACAATGCAATCTGAAACTAAATTTGACTTAATTGGATGCCTAATTAATTTTTTATTAATTAATTAAAATTTGGACCGAATTAGTAGGCATGTCTAGCCAACCACACCACACGCGTCATCACCTTCAATAGCTGCGCCATCACGTAATGGCTGCGTTCAAAAACCATTGCGCGCCTACTGAACGTGATGTTCAGTAGGCGCGCAATGGTTTTTAGTCATGTAACTCTATTGTAAATAAAACATGTAAAGTACTGAAAAAAAAATTCATAAAAAACGTTTTAATAACAAGCTTTTATGTAACAATGCACTAAAAAGTAGAAAATAAATTATAGACTACTATTTAAATAACTATAAAGAAAAGCGTGGGTGTCTTCCTTAACATTAGTAAAGGTATCCAATAGATACTAAAGTGACCCACGCTTTTCTTTATAGTTATTTAAATAGTAGTCTATAATTTATTTTCTACTTTTTAGTGCATTGTTACATAAAAGCTTGTTATTAAAACGTTTTTTATGAATTTTTTTTTGTCGTCTCGTTTGAAAACATGACTGGGGAACTCCGCTATGGGATTAATTAAATGCCTACAGCGTGGTTTGGTGATTAGTTAATTACATGTCTGCAGCAGGTTTGATCATTAGCTAATTACTTTTTAGCAAATCTTTTTCTACAACTTATTCATCAGCCGCGCAGCTGAGAATGTTACTTAATTATATGCTTGGTAAGTTTTCCTTTATATAGCTGGTAGGTTTTTACTTTTTATATAGCTGGTAGGTTTTACTTTTTATATAAGTGGTGGGATTTACTTTTTATATAGCTGGCAGGTTTTACTTTATATATAGCTGGTAGATTTTACTTTTTACGGGGGCGTAAGTTCTGCGAACCGGGGGTGTAATTTCTACTGACGGTGGCGTAAGATCTACTGACGGGGACGTAAGATCTACTGACGTGAGTAGCCTAATAGATGCGAGATGTTTAAACTTTGCCACGTGCTAAGCTCTGCCTGCATGATAAACGAAGGGTGACAGGAACCTTTTTTATAGCGCCGACATCAATCGTCTAAAAAAGCCAAAAGTTAACATGGCGGCTTTAAATGTCAAGGTTGCTGTGTTTACATCTGCAAGGAGTGGCTGGTGAAGGGTTTAACGTGAGCTTGGGGTTCATCTCATTTATACAACCTTAGCCAGGGGTTCATTGATACAACGTTAGCCAGGGGTCCATTGATACAACGTTAGCCAGGGGTTCATTGATACAACACTAGCCAGGGGTTCATTGATACAACATTAGCCAGGGTTTCACCTCATTGATACAACATTAGCCAGGGGTTCAACTCATTGATACAACATTAGCCAGGGGTTCATCTCATTGATACAACACTAGCCAGGGGTTCATTGATACAACATTAGCCAGGGGTTCATCTCATTGATACAACATTAGCCAGGGGTTCATTTCATTGATACAACATTAGCCTGGGGTTCATTGCTACATTAGCCAGGGTTTCACCTCATTGATACAACATTAGCCAGGGGTTCAACTCATTTATACAACATTAGCCAGGGGTTCATTGATACAACATTAGCCAGGGGTTCATCTCATTGATACAACACTAGCCAGGGGTTCAACTCATTTATACAACATTAGCCTGGGGTTCATTGCTACATTAGCCAGGGTTTCACCTCATTGATACAACATTAGCCAGGGGTTCATCTCATTGATACAACCTTAGCCAGGGGTTCATTGATACAACGTTAGCCAGGGGTTCATTGATACAACACTAGCCAGGGGTTCATTGATACAACACTAGCCAGGGGTTCAACTCATTGATACAACATTAGCCAGGGGTTCAACTCATTGATACAACATTAGCCAGGGGTTCAACTCATTGATACAACATTAGCCAGGGGTTCAACTCATTGATACAACATTAGCCAGGGGTTCAACTCATTGATACAACATTAGCCAGGGGTTCAATTCATTGATACAACATTAGCCTGGGGTTCAACTCATTTATGCAACATTAACCTGGGTTTGACCCGTGTGTACACCACTAGCTAGGGGTACAGCAACGGCCGCTGTGACGCTGGGGTAGCCACGCTGCTGGGGTAGCCACGCTGCTGGGGTAGCCACGCTGCTGGGGTGAGGCTAGAAATATTAGAGCTGACCTAGATGCTGAGTCATCGAATACAATTTCGCTGTTATGTTTATGTAGTGCGTATTTTCAATGTTTATAAATGTAAGGCTAAACAAAAGTTTATCTGACGTTAGATAAGGGGTGTAACTCTACAACAAAACCTGCATTGTCTAAACGGGCAATCAGCGATGGAGTTGTTTCCCTTGTCAAGTTCGGACCTTGCCCAAACAACAAGGGGGTGAACTCGAACCGTGGTACCCAGGGCGTGGTAAATCAGGCGGGTTGCCTCCCCTTGGTCTATTGTTGCATCTGGTGTTTTCGTGTGCGTGCTGAGGAGTGTTGCCGCCCTGCGGGGCTCGACAAATATGTGAGAGATGGGGTAGAGATTAGGTGGCATTAACACGAAGTGGTCGTGGTTAGCTGAGCTTTGTTTGTCTACGTGTTGGTCGTGGTTAGCTGAGCTTTGTTTGTCTACGTGTTGGTCGTGGTTAGCTGAGCTTTGTTTGTCTACGTGTTGGTCGTGGTTAGCTGAGCTTTGTTTGTCTACGTGTTGGTCGTGTTTTCATCTGGTGCTCACATCATGTCTATACATGGCTTACGTCATGTTCATACATAGCTCACATCGTGTTCATACATAGCTCACATCATGTTTACACATGGCTTACGTCATGTTCATACATAGCTCACATCGTGTTTATACATGGCTTACGTCATGTTCATACATAGTTCACATCGTGTTTATACATGGCTTACGTCATGTTCATACATAGCTCACATCATGTTTATACATGGCTTACGTCATGTTCATACATAGCTCACATCATGTTCATACATAACTCACATCTTGTTCATACATAGCTCACATCATGTTTACACATGGCTTACGTCATGTTCATACATAGCTCACATCGTGTTTATACATTGCTTACGTCATGTTCATACATAGCTCACATCGTGTTCATACATAACTCACATCTTGTTCATACATAGCTCACATCATGTTTACACATGGCTTACGTCATGTTCATACATAGCTCACATCGTGTTTATACATTGCTTACGTCATGTTCATACATAGCTCACATCGTGTTCATACATAACTCACATCTTGTTCATACATAGCTCACATCATGTTTACACATGGCTTACGTCATGTTCATACATAGCTCACATCGTGTTTATACATTGCTTACGTCATGTTCATACATAGCTCACATCATGTTCATACATTGCTTACGTCATGTTCATACATAGCTCACATCGTATTTATACATTGCTTACGTCATGTTCATACATAGCTCACATCATGTTCATACATAGCTCACATCATGTTCATACATAACTCACATCTTGTTCATACATAGCTCACATCATGTTTACACATGGCTTACGTCATGTTCATACATAGCTCACATCGTGTTTATACATTGCTTACGTCATGTTCATACATAGCTCACATCATGTTCATACATTGCTTACGTCATGTTCATACATAGCTCACATCGTGTTTATACATTGCTTACGTCATGTTCATACATAGCTCACATCATGTTCATACATAGCTCACATTATGTTCATACATTGCCCACATCATGTTCATACATTGCCTACGTCATGTTCATACATAGCTCATATAATGTTTATACATGGCTTACGTCATGTTCATACATAGCTCACATCATGTTCGTGTTTTCATCTGGTGCTCACATCACCATAGGGCAATAAAAATCTAAGTTGTATTACAATCAAGTTCCTCTTTTTGACTCCAGACCCTCGGGCTAGCAGCCAAATGCTCTACCATATAACCACGTTGTCTCTCTAAGTTGTATTAGCTAACTATAAAAAAATCCATCTGCGTTGTCACAAATCTGCACATCCACTAATTCCCATCACCCATCAATGTAGCCTCTGCTTTAAAAGATGATCCTTTAAGTTTGACATAACAAGTACGTGTGTGTGCATACTAGTGTACACAGCTACATAGCACACTCAAAGTGGTGTACATACATAATGATGTACACATAATACATTTCACCTTGTGTCTGTAGATAGCAGTTAGTAATTCACAAATAAACGTAGTGTGGTTGCTACTAGTAAAACAAACGTGTTTGTCCACAGTGAAAGCTGTTTTGCTGTCCAGACACTCTTCTGCTTCCAAGAGCTGGCCCAGCTGTCCACCACTGAAGGCAGCACCAAAGGTCTTTCACACTTACCACAGTGCTCGGGTTTACCCAGTAAATGGGACACAACTCTTACTTGCATTGAATCTAACCATCATGATTACTCCCCTTCACACGTTCGAGGTAAGCAAGATTATAGTTACCAAATTTTAATACTCATAGCAAATTTTTTTAGTAATTTACCTTTTATTTTTAGTTTTTTATTTTGGCTAAAAAAAAATATTTTTTAATTTCTTATTATTAATTTAAAAACTGTTCTTTGTCTTTTTCAAAATTTTTGTTTTTATTTATCAAGTTGTTTCCCTTAGTAAGTTGCTTCCATTTATTGTCCATTCAGATGACTGCTATGTGGAGAAGGGGAGATGGTACAACGGAACCATGAATGTTACAAAGTCTGGCATTCCCTGCCAACCCTGGGCCGCCAGCTACCCCCAGAGCCACACCCGCTCCCCAAAAATCTTCCCTGAACTTTTGAATTCAGAGAACTTTTGCCGCAACCCCGGGGGGGAGGAGGAGAGACCATGGTGCTACACCACAGACAAGCTGGTCAGATGGGAGTACTGTGATCTCCAGGTTTGCCGTAAGTATCTCATCACACACAACTCAGCTGTAAGTACCTCATCACACACACAACTCAGCTGTATCTCATCACACACACAACTCAGCTGTAAGTACCTCATCACACACACAACTCAGCTGTAAGTACCTCATCACACACACAACTCAGCTGAAAGTATCTCATCACACACACAACTCAGCTGAAAGTACCTCATCACACACACAACTCAGCTGTAAGTACCTCATCACACACACAACTCAGCTGTAAGTTCCTCATCACACACACAACTCAGCTGTAAGTACCTCATCACACACACAACTCAGCTGAAAGTACCTCATCACACACACAACTCAGCTGTATCTCATCACACACACAACTCAGTTGTAAGTACCTCATCACACACACAACTCAGCTGAAAGTATCTCATCACACACACAACTCAGCTGTAAGTACCTCATCACACACACAACTCAGCTGTAAGTACCTCATCACACACACAACTCAGCTGTAAGTACCTCATCACACACACAACTCAGATGTAAGTACCTCATCACACACACAACTCAGCTGAAAGTACCTCATCACACACACAACTCAGCTGTAAGTATCTCATCACACACACAACTCAGCTGAAAGTACCTCATCACACACACAACTCAGCTGTAAGTACCTCATCACACACACAACTCAGCTGTAAGTTCCTCATCACACACACAACTCAGCTGTAAGTACCTCATCACACACACAACTCAGCTGAAAGTACCTCATCACACACACAACTCAGCTGTATCTCATCACACACACAACTCAGTTGTAAGTACCTCATCACACACACAACTCAGCTGTAAGTACCTCATCACACACACAACTCAGCTGTAAGTACCTCATCACACACACAACTCAGCTGAAAGTACCTCATCACACACACAACTCAGCTGTAAGTACCTCATCACACACACAACTCAGCTGTAAGTTCCTCATCACACACACAACTCAGCTGTAAGTACCTCATCACACACACAACTCAGCTGTAAGTACCTCATCACACACACAACTCAGCTGTATCTCATCACACACAACTCAGCTGTATCTTATCACACACACAACTCAGCTGTATCTCATCACACACACAACTCAGCTGTAAGTATCTCATCACACACACAACTCAGCTGTAAGTACCTCATCACACACACAACTCAGCTGTATCTCATCACACACAACTCAGCTGTATCTCATCACACACACAACTCAGCTGTAAGTATCTCATCACACACACAACTCAGCTGTAAGTATCTCATCACACACACAACTCAGCTGTAAGTACCTCATCACACACACAACTCAGCTGTATCTCATCACACACAACTCAGCTGTATCTTATCACACACACAACTCAGCTGTATCTCATCTGTATCTGATGATAAACTTTTGTGTCCTGCTGACTGGTCACTTGCTCAACATTGTTATATTTTATGTTTACAACATTTTCCTCCTCTTGAGTATGTAGATACTGATACGTAAATAGTTGTTCCTTGTCAATGGTGTTTTAATAAGTAAACTTCGTACAAGTCATCTTAAAGAAATACAAGTACGCTTCGGACGTGAAGGGTCTCAAGTGGTCACTGATCTTTACTCCTATAGACTATGGCCAAACACTTAGTAACATTGGGCTTACATTAATTTAGACTTTATTCTTAATTAGTTTAGTAAATCACAGCTGTTGTAACCAAGTTCATTTTTTCCCCATTCTTCCTACTGCTAGACAGATTCTTTATTTGCTTTTTCATATAGTTACACCATGATAGCCATCAGCAGCCAATGGTTAGCTCTTAGTTACAACATGATCTGCCAATATTTAGATTTTAATTCAACATGATAGCTACCAGCTGCCAATGTTGAATGTTGTACTATCTCGGTTGTGATTGTTGCATATTCTTGTTTCAGCCAGCACATGTTGAATGTTATTGTTTCAGCCAGCCCATGTTGAATGTTATTGTTTCAGCCAGCACATGTTGAATGTTATTGTTTCAGCCAGCCCATGTTGAATGTTATTGTTTCAGCCAGTGATTGTTGAATGTTATTGTTTCAGCCAGTGATTGTTGCATGTTATTGTTTCAGCCAGCCCATGTTGAATGTTATTGTTTCAGCCAGCACATGTTGAATGTTATTGTTTCAGCCAGCCCATGTTGAATGTTATTGTTTCAGCCAGTGATTGTTGAATGTTATTGTTTCAGCCAGTGATTGTTGCATGTTATTGTTTCAGCCAGCCCATGTTGAATGTTATTGTTTCAGCCAGCACATGTTGAATGTTATTGTTTCAGCCAGCCCATGTTGAATGTTATTGTTTCAGCCAGTGATTGTTGAATGTTATTGTTTCAGCCAGTGATTGTTGCATGTTATTGTTTCAGCCAGCCCATGTTGAATGCTATTGTTTCAGCCAGCCCATGTTGAATGTTATTGTTTCAGCCAGTGATTGTTGAATGTTATTGTTTCAGCCAGTGATTGTTGCATGTTATTGTTTCAGCCAGCCCATGTTGAATGTTATTGTTTCAGACAGCCCATGTTGAATGTTATTGTTTCAGCCACTGATTGTTGAATGTTATTGTTTCAGCCAGCCCATGTTGAATGTTATTGTTTCAGCCAGCCCATGTTGAATGTTATTGTTTCAGCCACTGATTGTTGAATGTTATTGTTTCAGCCAGCACATATTGAATGTTCTTGTTTCAGCCAGCCCATGTTGAATGTTATTGTTTCAGCCAGCACATGTTGAATGTTATTGTTTCAGCCAGCCCATGTTGAATGTTATTGTTTCAGCCAGTGATTGTTGAATGTTATTGTTTCAGCCAGTGATTGTTGCATGTTATTGTTTCAGCCAGCCCATGTTGAATGTTATTGTTTCAGCCAGCCCATGTTGAATGTTATTGTTTCAGCCAGTGATTGTTGAATGTTATTGTTTCAGCCAGTGATTGTTGCATGTTATTGTTTCAGCCAGCCCATGTTGAATGTTATTGTTTCAGACAGCCCATGTTGAATGTTATTGTTTCAGCCAGTGATTGTTGAATGTTATTGTTTCAGCCAGCCCATGTTGAATGTTATTGTTTCAGCCACTGATTGTTGAATGTTATTGTTTCAGCCAGCACATATTGAATGTTCTTGTTTCAGCCAGCCCATGTTGAATGTTATTGTTTCAGCCAGCACATGTTGAATGTTATTGTTTCAGCCAGCCCATGTTGAATGTTATTGTTTCAGCCAGTGATTGTTGAATGTTATTGTTTCAGCCAGTGATTGTTGCATGTTATTGTTTCAGCCAGCCCATGTTGAATGTTATTGTTTCAGACAGCCCATGTTGAATGTTATTGTTTCAGCCAGTGATTGTTGAATGTTATTGTTTCAGCCAGCCCATGTTGAATGTTATTGTTTCAGCCAGCCCATGTTGAATGTTATTGTTTCAGCCAGCCCATGTTGAATGTTATTGTTTCAGCCAGCCCATGTTGAATGTTATTGTTTCAGACAGCCCATGTTGAATGTTATTGTTTCAGCCAGCCCATGTTGAATGTTATTGTTTCAGCCACTGATTGTTGAATGTTATTGTTTCAGACAGTGATTGTTGCATGTTATTGTTTCAGCCAGCACATGTTGAATGTTATTGTTTCAGCCACTGATTGTTGAATGTTATTGTTTCAGACAGTGATTGTTGCATGTTATTGTTTCAGCCAGCCCATGTTGAATGTTATTGTTTCAGCCACTGATTGTTGAATGTTATTGTTTCAGACAGTGATTGTTGCATGTTATTGTTTCAGCCAGCACATGTTGAATGTTCTTGTTTCAGCCAGCACACAGAGACCTGAGGCCAGCCTGGAGGAATTTGATGAGCTGCTGATGACCATCCTGGTGCCCATTGTGCTGTCCGTCACTGTCCTGAGCACCTTGGTCATTGGGCTGCTGCTCAGGTGGAGACACACCCACTACAACGCTGCCCCGCAGGATGACCTTGACATTGAGAACCTGCCCATTAACTCAGCTTATCATCAGGTAAGTTCAAAGGTCAGGTGGAGAAGTCTATCATGCGTCACCTCCTGTCATGTCAGTCACCTCCTGTCATCCCAGTCACCTCCTGTCATCCCAGTCACCTCCTGTCATCCCAGTCACCTCCTGTCATCCCAGTCACCTCCTGTCATCCCAGTCACCTCCTGTCATGCCAGTCACCTCCTGTCATGCCAGTCACCTCCTGTCATGCCAGTCACCTCCTGTCATGCCAGTCACCTCCTGTCATCCCAGTCACCTCCTGTCATGCCAGTCACCTCCTGTCATGCAAGTCACCTCCTGTCATCCCAGTAACTTCTTGTCATGCCAGTCACCTCCTGTCATGCAAGTCACCTCCTGTCATGCCAGTAACTTCTTGTCATGCCAGTCACCTCCTGTCATGCCAGTCACCTCCTGTCATGCCAGTCACCTCCTGTCACCCAGTCACCTCCTGTCATGCCAGTCACCTCCTGTCATGCCAGTCACCTCCTGTCATGCCAGTCACCTCCTGTCATGCCAGTCACCTCCTGTCATGCCAGTCACCTCCTGTCATCCCAGTCACCTCCTGTCATGCCAGTCACCTCCTGTCATGCCAGTCACCTCCTGTCATGCCAGTCACCTCCTGTCATGCCAGTCACCTCCTGTCATGCCAGTCACCTCCTGTCATGCCAGTAACTTCTTGTCATGCCAGTCACCTCCTGTCATGCCAGTCACCTCCTGTCATGCAAGTCACCTCCTGTCATGCCAGTCACCTCCTGTCATCCCAGTCACCTCCTGTCATGCCAGTCACCTCCTGTCATGCCAGTCACCTCCTGTCATGCCAGTCACCTCCTGTCATCCCAGTCACCTCCTGTCATGCCAGTCACCTCCTGTCATGCAAGTCACCTCCTGTCATCCCAGTAACTTCTTGTCATGCCAGTCACCTCCTGTCATGCCAGTCACCTCCTGTCATGCAAGTCACCTCCTGTCATGCCAGTCACCTCCTGTCATGCCAGTCACCTCCTGTCATGCCAGTCACCTCCTGTCATGCCAGTCACCTCCTGTCATGCCAGTCACCTCCTGTCATGCCAGTCACCTCCTGTCATGTCAGTAACTTCTTGTCAGCCTGGAATAAATCTGTTCACCTGACCCTCTACATACTAGGGTTCACTAGACATTGGGCTATTATAAATGTAACTGTGTGACTGATGATATTATTTATTTTTTATAACTTGTTTATAAATTACTTAAGGATGTTTTAATTTGAATAAAACTACTATTTAATTTGATAAATATTTGACCATGCTTGCTTTTTGTTTAAATTGTATTTAAAGTTAAAAAGACTTATAATCTGTTGTGTTTGTTGCAGATGAAAACCCATCGTCTCAATCCAAAGTTAGAAACCCTGGAATTCCCTAGGAATGATATAGTGTTTATAGAGGACATCGGTCAGGGGGCGTTTGGGCGTGTCTTCAAGGCTAGAATTATGTGCAGCAACGGCAACTCACACATCACGGGGGGAAAGCTCAGCGCCAGCAAGCACAACCTGGCCTGCGGCTGCAAGCACAACCGCAACCCCTTCTCCAGCCGGGGTGACCTGAGACATTTAGAGATGCACTTCTCCAAGCAGGCGGACATCAAGCTGCTGGGGGACGACACCATCTGTGAGGAGAAGCACAGCCAGGGGCAGCTCATCGCAATTAAAATGTTAAAAGAGGACGCCTCAGAAACTGTTCAGGCAGACTTTGAACGTGAGGCTTCACTCATGGTGGAGTTTGATCACCCCAATATTGTGCGTCTGCTCGGCGTGTGCACCATTGGTAAACCCATGTGTCTGCTGTTTGAGTACATGTCCAAGGGGGATTTAAATGAGTTTCTGAGACTGTGCAGTCCTGACCAGTGTCTGCGGCGGAGCGATGCCGGCTCAGTCCCTTCTATAGATGAGGTCAGCAGTATAGACATGGCCGACCAGCTTCACATGGCTCGCCAGATTGCCAATGGAATGATCTACCTGTCTGACCGAGGTTACGTCCACCGAGACCTGGCCACCAGGAACTGTTTGGTGGGCCGTGGCCTGACCGTCAAAATTTCTGACTTTGGTCTGGCTCGAAGTATCCACAGCATGGATTACTACCACGGCAGTGATAAGGACGCCATACCCATCCGATGGATGCCACCAGAGGCCATCCTGTTCAATAAATTCTCCTCCCAGTCCGATGTCTGGTCGTTTGGTGTCTTACTGTGGGAAATTTTCTCATTTGCCCTTCAGCCTTACTATGGCATGACCCACGAGGAAGTCATCAATTATCTACGGGCAGGTAAAGTCCTTGCGCCAACAGAAAATGAAACGACAGTTGTTTACGAACTAATGAAATCATGCTGGCATAAAAAGCCGTCAAGTCGTCCATCTTTCACCTTCCTGTACAGGTCTCTGACACTACTCTATGAAGACACATGCAAGCAGAAAGGCAGAAAAGTTTTAAGTTTATAGTAATCAATGTACATATCTTGTACCAGCAGGACCAATGCAAATGTATTGTACAGTTTTTCTCTTGTTTATACCGGCTTAAGTTGATTGTTCAGATATCCCATGCTGGTGTGTGTGGAGCTCTTATTCTCCCATTATGGTGTGTGTAGAGCTCTTATTCTCCCATTATGGTGTGTGTAGAGCTCTTATTCTCCCATTATGGTGTGTGTGGAGCTCTTATTCTCCCATTATGGTGTGTGTAGAGCTCTTATTCTCCCATTATGGTGTGTGTGGAGCTCTTATTCTCCCATTATGGTGTGTGTAGAGCTCTTATTCTCCCATTATGGTGTGTGTGGAGCTCTTATTCTCCCATGCTGGTGTGTGTGGAGCTCTTATTCTCCCATTATGGTGTGTGTGGAGCTCTTATTCTCCCATTATGGTGTGTGTGGAGCTCTTATTCTCCCATTATGGTGTGTGTGGAGCTCTTATTCTCCCATTATGGTGTGTGTGGAGCTCTTATTCTCCCATGCTGGTGTGTGTGGAGCTCTTATTCTCCCATGCTGGTGTGTGTGGAGCTCTTATTCTCCCATTATGGTGTGTGTGGAGCTCTTATTCTCCCATTATGGTGTGTGTAGGACTCCCATGCTAGTGTGTGTAGAACACTTACTACGCCTATGCTTCATTAAAGGTTCCAGTGTTACTGAGTAGATTATATGTGTACTGACTTAAAGGAAGATAAAACTTTCTATTGATTTCACAAGAATAATTCCTAATCAAATCCTAATTTTTAAGGAAGAAAAACCGAAAGATTTTTAAAATGAGAGTTTCTGATTATCAGCCTGTAATGTCACCTCTCCTCTTAGATTTTTGAATCATAGTTAAATATTTAGCTAAAGCTCACTCATTAACAACAATTATTCACAAATAACAAAACTAAAGTATTCACATAATTTAATTTACAAAGTTAACCAGCACTTTCCCCATTGACAATGTCATCAGTTCAGACAACTACTTCAAAGAGATAATCAAACGTTTTGACAGTTTTTAGTCCATATCAACTAGAACGATCTGGTCCATTTCAGCCAACTGGGACTAGACTAATTACTATACTATTATTATCCCATGCCGCTTGCTCTAGTACCAGCTTAATTAATTAACTGATGGTGTAATTTATTTAATGACCAATCTTATCTGACATATTTATGACAGACTGGGATATCAGTACTATGCTCTCTTTAAATTTTTGTTTTGTCTACACCTGTTGATAATGTAACAAAAGACTTCATAATTTAGTATTGTTTTAAACTATTCTTAATGTACATAGTCACTGCACCAAAGGGAGGTAACAGTGAAAATTAATGCTGATTGTTTAGATTTGATAAGTGATCTTAAGTGCCAAATATGCATTTAGTTGTACTGAATTATTTTATCCATTTCTCTCTTTTGGTTGTTTCATGGAGGCTACAATAAGTATATAAATATTTACTTTAACAAGTCTCCAATGTTACAATTGTTGTGGTCAATTGTATTTATAAACATAGACATAGCTGGCAGATAGTGGCAATGTTTGATTCACTGAATTTTGCTAGTTTATATCCTAAAACACCAGAGATTTTTTCTTTGAAACTTTGTCAGTCTTTTTCCAGTCTCTCATTGCCTTGAAATGCTATTTATAGGAGGAAATTTCTGTAGTGTTACTTAGTTAAATTGTGTATTTTTCATTTGTTGAAAATGTAATCAAAATTTTGTGTATACCTATGAACAAATTGAAGTATTCCAATGTGAGAGAGTATTAATGGAACTCTTCATTTTATAAAGTCCAAAAAAATTATATCAATTTTTTGCAATTTTGTACAAAAACTTTTTCACTTGTACATATGTTGTGATATTCATAGTGTTTAAATTACACACATTTATCTTTATGTATAGCCTACAATTTTTTAGATGTAGCAGAAATACACAATCAAACAGAACTGCAGTCAAAATGTCTGGACTTTTTTCAAGTTATTTTAACAAGAGGTTTTTCTTTGAGGGGCTTGTAAGCCATGTCACATACTTATTCTTGCTGTAGTGTGTTAGTTTCAGTACACAAGCAGCAATAGACTGAATCATTACCATCTGGAGCATGACTAATGCACAATAGTTTGCATGTGTCTTCATGTTCAATATGATGCTTCTGTGTATATTAGTGCCTCAACTACACACAGCGATTGTTTAGAAACAGAAAACATGCTATTTTAGGCTTAACACCTGAAAATGCTTACAAAATGTTTGTCACAATGTTACCTGGCCAATGTAGATTTAACACCTACCTGGCTATGTCTCTGAAGGCTGGACTGACCCCCCCCCTTCTGTAACCACTCAACCTGTAACCTATTTATAGTGCTTTTTTAACCACGCCTCACCTGTAACCAGCATACCTCGCCATGGAAAAAATCACTTTCTCCCCAATTTCTACTTAACTAAATGTATAAATACCTGATCTATATCTTTACTTTTTATACACCTAATCTATGTAGCACTTGTGATTTAAGAAGCCTTACCTACCTACCTCTATCATTTCTTAAGCCTTACTTTTTATACATTGAAAAGTTTAAATCTAATTATACATCAAAACTTTGACTCTACATTATACATATAAAACTTTGAATAGACCAAGTAAAAATGTGCTGATGATGTTACATACTAATGTTGAGCTGTGTAAATAGTAATGCCTGACTATGTCTGCTGTGCCATGGCAGTTAACTTATTTTAAATTGATCTATGCACTTCTACTCCATGTACAAAGTTTTTGTCTCATTTGTCAGACATGTCTTGTGGTGTAGAGTTTGTCACTCATACAATCTCTTATTTTTCACTGTACCAATGTTGTGTAGTACCAACATCACTGTACCACTGTTGTCTTGTACTGTCATTATACCAAATTGTCAAATTGATAGTTTTATTTTTATCTACTTTTGTACATTCCTGTATTAAACTGATCCAAAAACTTATCAGTCTTCCTTATAATTTTTTCTTTACAATTTAAATTCAGGGGTGAGAATAAAAACTTAAGATCCAAATTACTTAGCACCAGAGAATCAAATGGATCACTTTCCCACAACCACAAATAAACTTTTCTTAACATAACATTGCCACTCCCCCATACATTCTTTTTGTGCTAGTGCTATGATAAAAAATATTTACATTTTCACAAGTGAACATTTGCAGTCTCCATATGCTATAAAATTAAAAACAAAAAAAACGGTTGAATAGATCCATATTTTTTTATTATACCTGATCTAGACAAACAAACTACAGTTATTTTTTTAATTTACATTTTTGAATACACTCTGTGTAACTGAGACACCACAAATAAGAAAATGTCATGGAACTTGCTTGCTTCAACCACTATCTTGACTTACAAATGAAATGGAACCAAAACACACAAAGTGCCTAAAATTTAATTTTAATATTTCAGTATATATGAAATCTTTAGATAATTGATGAATGTGTTAGGAATGTAATAAATATCTCATGTACACAATTAAGGTAATTACCCTAAACATTTGCACACAATCTCTGTACTTGGTGTAAGCAACACAAAATTTATCACAGAAATAAAACTACAGTTGACAGTTGTAATTAGGTACAGAAATTTTAAAGTTTCTAACAAAACTTAGCAGTGATTAGGTCCACCTACTGATGCTGCTTTACAAAAAACTAAAATGTTACACCAAGTAAACTATCAGTCATTACACAAAATATAAAAAAAAATATTTACAAGTTGTACATAAAAATCAGATTCCAGATTAACATAATCAATACATGTTCTACTAGTTCACTCCCCTGGATTTAAAATTTATGCTACTAAACATCTAATTTGAGTGCTTCAAGTGGTTTCTGTAAAACCAAAACTTAAAATATATATAAACATGTACGTACCAGTACTACCAACAAATCTATCTCAGGGTATAAATAAATACATTATTAACACAGCAGATGCCAGCTACAAGAAAACTTTTTAAAACTGCTTTTGATAAAAACATTTGACAATTCCAGAAAGTTTCAAGTAAAGCCATTAATTGAACGGTGTAGCACAAAAAAAAATACATGAACTAACATCATTACAGACTGAGTGGATTATGCTTCACTTTCCATACTGGCACTTGTCACCTGAAATACACACAAAGTGCTAGTCACAAACAGACTTCATCTAATTTGTATGGCAAATTAATTAAGGGGGGGGGGGGGGGGGGGGGTATATTGCGTTGGGAAAGCTATTTTTTTTATCAAATAATCTTCAGATTCAAGTTTAAGAAAAATACATCTCTGCCGCCCACAGTCTCATTGCTACTGATGAACTGTTTAACTAGATATGAAACTAAATAATTAGTTATCCTTTACTTGAGAGCAAGCACCTAATCAATAAAAGCTTAAAACTTTCTTGTAAAACCAGTCTAAAATGAGAATGGGTAGTGTAAGAGGTAACAAAATGAGTAGATGTTTCAAAACTAAAACTTTACCTGTAAAATGGCAATGATGAGTCCAAACAAGCCAATAGCAGAGCCAAAGATCTCAATGATCAAGATTTTGACAAAGAGTGCACCATTAGCAGCATCAGCAAGAGCAGCTCCAGATCCCACAATGCCAACACAGATACCACAGGCCAGGTTACAGATACCAACAGTCAGACCAGCCCCAAACATCTTAAAACCTACAACCAGGAAATACAGCAGTTTAATAATATTCTTCTCTAATACACCAAAATATTCTTCTATAATACACAAACTATTTTAAAACCAGAAAAAAAAACATGCCTAAATGATTTGTTCTCCACTACACCAAGCATTATACATCCACACAAAAATTACACACTAATGTGAGGAAAATAAATTAATTACCAGCTGCCCAATTAGCATAGATCTTTTCTTTACTTGTGAGTGAACTCAAATTAACATTCTGCAAAACAAAAATGTGGATTAGCAAGTCATACAGATGTATTAACTATCAGAACAGGCTGTTCCCCCTCCCCTGTAAAAAAAAAAGTTGAACTGACACTGAGATTTGTGCTGATGACGATGGCCATGATAATTCCATAGATTGCCACAGCCTCACAGAAAATAATGCTGATCAAGTTTTTGGTCTTGATGCGTGGGGCTTTAACACCACCACCCGCTATGCTTGCACCAGTTGTGTAGATGCCCCTGATTGGCAGGAAATAAAATCCAATCAATGCAATAAAAGGGACAAAATGGGAGACAATCAAGATAAACAGTTGACTCAATAAACTTACCATGCAGCACCTACAACAGACAAGGAGATGGCCATGCCTACACCAATCAAAGCCCACATATAAGGGGAAGTTGAAAAGAAGAACCTGTTGGATCAAAATTTTAAATAAACTTTAAAAGGTTTTGAATATTTCACAAGAAATCTATTATTTAATGAGCTGGTCAATGACAGTTCAATTAATTTATTTTATGTTAAGTAACCACTTTGTAAATTCAAAATATTTATGTTACACTTTCTGACTCCCTCAGCCTCCCAAAACATTGAAATAAAAGTATAGACTCTCCCCAACAGTGTGACACCACTTGTGGACAACCCTAAATACTTACCATCCAAAGTCAAATCGAGCTCCCTTTCCAGTGATGAGATAATAAATTCCTAAAATCAAAGTAATAAGACAGGTTGTAAAAGGTTTTAAAAGGGTCAGAATATCTAGTTGAATCATTAAAATTATTAATTCACATGTTTAAAAAATAGATATCAATTAACCCTCTTAAGACGTAGCTTTTTTAGAGAGCCGGTGCTAAGAAGACGGAGCCTACTTTCAAGTTTTGCACTTGCATCACAAAAAAATTTTGAAAAAAATAAACTAATTATTTTACATGCATAAAAATATATATTATTTATTAGGAAATTGAATGAGCTAATATGATTTTTATAAATCTAATAAAAATCTCAACATATATATATGTGAGCTTTCTGATTTGCATAATTTATGCACGAAAAAAATTTGACGGCACTAAATTACAGTAAATTTGTATAAAAATACGTTTTTTCTCTCTGTAATGCTAATCTAAATAATACACAAACATCTATTCAATAATCTGAACTAATTTACTAATTATTATTTCTACATTAGAATTTCTAAGTATATTTTTAGTATATTTTGATGACTGGAGTGTTGGACATAAAAAAATTTACGATAGGACTCACGGCACTAAAACAATCGATAAAAAACAAAAACATGAGGCAAACTTTCAATGGAAGTCGCCATTGAAGTGCTAGATATGTACTATAACAGTTAGAAGCAATCTGATTGGCTGATATGATACTAGAAAGCCAATCGTGTGGCTTCTACTATCACGGCTGAGACCCGGCCGATAGATCGGCCGGTCGTCTTTTTGGCTATAAAACCGGCGGCCGATAGATCGGCCCGGGCGTCTCAAGAGGGTTAAGCCAGTCATAGATAGCAGTGTTGAAGGCCCCTAAATCTATTGGGCCTATTTAAGTAAGTTACTCCATGTCCCATCAAGACAACACATAGACCTAAACTATGAACATTGAGAAGACAAGAAAAACAGGTAATTTGCAGCACTGTGCCCAGCTTCTGGCTAGAATCTGCCATTTAAAAAATCCCCCCGCTTTCGGAGTAATACTCGGCAAACAAGTGGTAGTCAGTAGGGAAGGTTTCGATCTACATGACATTTTTGTAGTTAGGGCCTAAACAATATGGCTGATGCTAGCCGGAATAAGATACGCATGTGCAATGGAAAGAAACTACGACTTGCCATCGCGGCAATCTTTTCAATGGTACTGCGCATGCGTGTGTTTACAACAGCAGAACCCTAACACCAACCCTAAACTTAGCCCTAATCCTATCCCTAACCCTAATCTTATCCCTAACCCTAGGTCACTGTGCATGCGCAGAGCTATCTTTTGCCGACTAAGTGGAGGCGTTGGGCAACCGTTGGGGAGAAAAATCTTCCGAGTAGTCACTTCGAAACAATATACATCTAGATCGATGTTCCTCACAGATGAATATGAAGAACTTTGGGCACTGGGCTATTTGATTAAATTAAAATTAAATTACAGGCACAGCCTGAGCCTGGCCTGTTGTGTTATTTTCAATTTTTCGGGTGTTGTTTATTTTTATCTTTGTTGTGTAACTTACCTACAAGCACCACAACAAATATGGAAATAGAAATAACAATTCCGTAGACAATTCCTAACGGAGTTCCATATCGTTTTGTAGGTTCCGTTGGCACTGGAAGAACTCCGGGTGGTGCTCTACTCGCAGCCTGCATTTTGTTCTTGTAAGATGATGTCCTTTTCCTACTTATTTATCCTGCTCATATGACTGAGTCTCGGAGTGTCTTGTGATTAACGAGAACACATACTTCCGAAAAGAACCCAAACTTCCGGTTTAAATTAAATCAACTTGCCATACTGGCAAATTAAACGTTTTACTCAAACAATTTAAGGGCTCCACTCCACCAGTTCCATTTTTTTATGTGTAATATAAACCTAAAATAATAATATCTATAAAACTATAAAAAGTAATATTTCATTAAGTCAACCTTAGAACTCAAACTTGTTCGAATTCAATTTTGGTTGAGCATACGTTAGGCCCACTTGCTTTCTTGTTACCCGTACATAGCCGAAATATTTTTATTAAGCTAATTTTGACTAAATTATTATTGTCTGTGTCTATCGTTTTATTTATGTTAATTTATTATTTAGCTCAGTAGGATCGCTAAGCTACCAAACTTGTTTGACCTTAGTTTTATTGAAATTAAGTACTTACAGTAATATTAAACTTGGTTTTAAATATTTTTGTAAATTTATGTTTATAATTTTATGCCCAAAATAGGTCATAGTGATTTATACAATCCATAATGAAAGTTGTGGGTGGGCGGAGACAAACTTTCAAATTTTCGATTTGCACCCCCCCCCCCCCACAAACTTTCGATTTGCACCCCCCCCCTCAAACTTTCGATTTGCACCCCCCCCCTCGAGTTTTTCTCTATATATTTTGCTATTTTTTGCCTTGGTGTCACCCCCCCTAAATGGTGTCACCCGGTGCGGTCCGCACCCCCCGCCCTCCCCCCCCCCCTCGCTACGCCCCTGTATACACACACACTAGCTGTATATCATTGCTTCGCTATGATGTAAAATAAATTGAAAGTACTACTCTGAAGAAATTTTTAAAAAAACACAATGTAGGCTGACAAAAGAAAATAATTTATCACTCTAAACAAAAAACAAATACAAAATATACACACAATACAACCAAAAACAATCAACGCAACACAACCTGTTTAATAATCCTTGTAAAAAAAACAATTTGATATGATTCCTGGAATATTAATTAAGACAAACGAACTAGGGAAAATAATCACTCTCTTAATATAACTATATATAATTCTACAAATGTAATTGCAAATGCAAAAACAGATAAATCATTACTTTAGTATGTTATATAGTAGCTATTCGTTTTTACAAAAATATTTTGTCTACAATCAGAATTAAATATATTGTCATCATAAATGCTAAAATATTAGAGCATAACGAAAGTTTTTAAAATCAGAGTTGGTATAAAATCAAACTTTTCTATTAAATATAAAAAAATAAATCTAACAGGTGGAATATTCTGAATAATAGTTTCATTTTACTAAATTATTGGTCTTGCAGTTCCGATTTTTCATTTTTTTAAATAGCTTCTGTTTTTTGTGTTCTTTAAAGATCATTTTTAACATAATGAGATAGTAGGCCTATGGGTTAGATCACTGTATTGATCACACTCCTCTTTATTGGTAATTGCAAAAACAATATTTACAGAGTTTTATCTGTTTCAAAAGCTATGATTCTGTCGGCGTGGTACTTTGGTACTTCATTAAGCGTTTTCCCAAAAGTACTTACACATCACTTCGGGGTGGGTTGAGGGGGTGGGGGATTCAACCACTGTCCAGCCCCTTTAGGTGAATTATCCTACCCAGCGTATACCTAGGTGTGACATTAATGTCTCTCTACACAATTGTGGTGGTGAGGTGGGGGGGGGGGGGGGGGGTAATAAACAACTCAGAGTGAACATAGCTTCAGTTTTTAGATGACTGTTCTAAACATACATATACAATTATACATATATATTGATTCAGAAATAGATTTAAATAAGTAACAGTGGTATTATGACAGTAAACATTTTTTACAGAGGGGTCCATGGGGGGGGGATGTTATAACACTCCCTAATCCCCCCTGTATATATTAGTATCAGAGGCGTGACCGGGTGACACCTTTTAGGAGGGTGACACCAAGGCAAAAAATTGCAAAATGTACAGACTCTAGATAAACTATTAGTATTAAGTCTGCAGTGATTAAAGCTTACACACATACATGTACCCGTATGTGGTATATATTAAAATTGCAGGCCTATGTAGGCCGACACACACACACAACTATATATATATATATATATATATATATATATATATATATATATATATATATATATATATATATATATATATATATATATATATAATATATATAGGCCTATATTTTATATGTATATATATATATAGGCCTATTTATACTATTTATTATATATATATATATATATATATATATATATATATATATATATATATATATATATATATATATATATATATATATATATATATACATCTATATATATATATATATATATATATATATATATATATATATATATATATATATATATATATATATATATATATATATATATATATATATATATATATATATATATATATATATATATATATATATATATATATATATATATAGATGTATATATATATATATATATATAGATGTATATATATATATATATATATATATATATATATATATATAGATGTAACTAGGGTGGGCCTAGTTACTAGTCACTATTGTTGAGAACGCGATAGTGCAGGTGTTGGACTGATAAGCCAACTGATAACGATCATAAAGCCACGGCGTAGTTTGGAAGGATACGACAAGCGCTGTCAACTTTGACACGATTTGGCTGACGAAACAGTGCAGATGTTATATTAAATCGGACTGTACGACAGAAGCGGCGTAATTAACATTCTGATGCAACGATTAGAATCGATTACGATTACGATTATGATAGAACCGAATACGACTACGGATACGAAGGGGATATAAGGAAGGCGACGGCTCAGTCTCTCTCTCTCGATCAGTCAGTCTGTGTGGCGGTATCAAGTTGGTTATATTGTGTTAAGAAGGACGATAGACATGTGTATTCAGTTATATGAAGACTAGTGAGGACTGTTGGGAGTCAGTTGATTCAAACTATTATTGTGAAGCATTCCTTTTGATTCATTATATTATTGTGAAGCATTTCTTTGATTCATGTAATAAAAGGATCAATAGCGAACCTGCATCTTCGAGTATCTATACTGTGGTCGATGTTGTGTAGAATGAGTGGTTAGACTCGGTAACATTTGGCGTTGTCGAGCAGAACTCGTTAACATTTGGCACTACAGGCAAATAGTCTCGTTACATATATATATATATAAAATATTTATAACTGCTTTAGTCAACTATTGAATTATACTGACAACAGCTGTCATTGCTTTAGGCAACTATTGTTTATTTTGACATCAGCTGAAAGTTGAATAGTTATAGAATAGAAGAAAAATCGAAGCTTAGCCTTCGTAAATCGCCTCATAAAAAAATTATGAAGTTCCTAAACGTACGGTTGGCCGTCGTGAAAAAAATTACTGATAGCTTTAAATTAGTGATCCAAATATGCCAGTTATATTGTTTTTCACGATAGTTGTGCCAAGTGTAAAATTGTAGGTAAAAAAATCTCAGACATGAAGAAAAAACCTAATTACGTGCTACAGAACTCAACATACTAGATGAAAAAAATAAAGCCAAACATTGATATAAATCTTACTTTAATAGTTTCACATATTTCACGTCAATTTTGTCTCTTATTAAAAAAAATTATATTGATAACATAATTGTGTCAATGGTCTAAAGCTAAACGATCAATATGAATGGCTAACCATGATCTGCCAAGGGATCGATATCAAATTATACTTGTCAGAGAGCCACATCCCCGGTAAACTTGTCGCGTCACTAAACACAAAATGTAAACACGTTTTAAAATTAATTAATTTTCATTTTTACGTACGTGTTAGTAATTAATTACACAGCAGAGTGAGACAAGAGTATATTTTGGGGTAGTGCCATGAGTTGTCTGTGTGACACACTGTTCAATGCACCCCACCTCGGGACGCCATTATAAAAATCTGGGGACCTTTAGTTAAAGATGTTGACTTTTTCTGTACATTAAAAATATTTTCGTGTTGTCATTATTTACAAAAAAAAATCTAAATACAAAAAAAAAAAAGCTGGTTGAAAAGTAATTAGCACAATAAAAATATATATTACAATGAAAGACAGATGAAAAGGAGGCTATGTACAAAAACAAATAAGTAAAATATTAAGTAGAACATTAGTCTTGTACTTGAGACTTATGCACACGTTCAAGATTTATTTAATGTTATCATTATGATTCCTCACGAGGTAAAAAAAAAATTGGTTGTATAAAATTAAAAGTATAATTCAGATTAAAATGTATTATTTACATACAGTAAACCTTCCAGTGCTAAAATAGTTAGCGCCAGAATAAATCCCGGGAAAGGTTTACCATGGGCTGTCATAACGAGGGGTAAGCATTGCAAAAATAACAAAGAATATTTTACAATGGACATATTGAATATCCCGTGCGTTCATAAATAAACAAAATTGTCTTTCAAGCAGCCACTTTTATTTGCTTTCATCAACTCTCGAAACAAACAAAATAAATTACAATGTATCACATTTAAATATATATATATATATATATATATATATATATATATATATATATATATATATATATATATATATATTGTTTCCTTGGATAAAATTAGTTATAAATTGAATGTGATCTTAAAATGGGCCTGCTTCCGATTCGCTATCTTTGTTGACTACGTAAGACGGCGAGGCATACTCTAAATTTTTGAAAACTTCGTTGTCAAAGGCAACGGGTTCCATAGTAAAATGTTCTTTGTCGTAGTTGTCTTCCGTGAAATCGTCAGGATTGTTATCGATTTCTTTTGAGTCTTTTCTTCTGTGAAAAAAAAATAATCTTGTATGTTGAACCAGAAGACCCCAATTTCAATTTGCGCTTGAGGTTGTTTTTGGTTTTTTTTTAAATGAAGACAATGTTGAACAAAATAAAGTGTAGATCCACATTGTAAAATGACTTGATTATTAATTACCTCCTGGTTTTATTTTTCTTTAAACGCCCTGGATCATTGCTTACACTGCTGGGAGTTGTTTTAGTTTTGATGTTGTTTTATTTATATTACCAACAGTTTCGTATTAGTATTAGACAATTTACATTTATTTACTATAAGAAAATGTAACTAATGTAAAAAATTCAATATTTGGCATTAATATAGATATAAGCAACATTTTTCCACCACCCAATGATTCCAATAAAATGTTAATTAGTTAACGCTATCGTTAACAGTGTTAGAAGGCTATTGATAAAACAGAGAAGACTAAACCATTTTAATTATAATCAGAAGGTTGTGATACGAGACAGGTTAAGACCAAGAAGACCAAGGACCCAGAGTTAGAGTAGAATTAAGAACACAAAGGACCCAAAGATAGAATAGAATTAAGAAGACAAAGGACCAAGAATTAGAATAGAATTAAGCCATTTTTCGATGTTAAGTAGCTACTGTTATATATTTTTATGAAAAACATTATTGAAAAAGTTCTTTTTCTTCGCTATGTTTCATACATAGTAATCATACAGTTGGGTTACAGTCGCAAACGAAATTGTTATCGTTTGTTCCTTCTATTTTAAAAAAAAATATTTTAGAGTTTAAATCTAATCGTGTTAGTTTTATATTCGTTATATTTGGTGGTGGGTTATTAGGTCAACTACGATGATATCAGTGTAATATTTAAAGCAGGGGAAACAGCATGCAAGAAAATAGCTTTTCCTTTAACTGCGGTTAGACTAATTACCAGAATAAAATAAAACACCAAAGTAGAATATCAGATTGCTAAAATCATGCAGCTGGTAATAAAAGCGTTAACACTTATATATTTTATAATCAGCCAGAGTGAGAACAACAGGAGGACTACAATAAGCCATGCAATTTAAGAGGAATGTTTTTTTTTAATTAGCGAAGCCAAGAGAAGCAAACAAAGACCCAAAAGTGCATTTGGTTGAAACCTACCTGTCCCTAAAGATGCAGATGAAGACGAAGATTATGACAGTGATAAGAAGGAGTGCAAGTATGACCCCTACGGGAATGTACCACGGCTGAAATGGAGAAAACATGCTACGTCATGCAATTTGGGGAGGGAGGGGGTTGCTAGACTAGGGCGATTCATTTCAAAAGATTTGTGTGTTTTTAAACATTCTGAAATGTTAAATTCTGAAATTTTGCTTGTATTTAACATTTGAATGTTAACATGTTATTGTTTCAAGGGAAAAGGGTGCAGATGTTATACACAACATAACTTACAATACGATAAACGAAAAATGCGCCTCTATAATGTATAGGCATACTTATACTATTGTGTGAAATGATCCTTGCATCCTTATTGGTCTGTGATGGTCAGGTGGTCGACATGCAACTATCCACACAATTTGTGTGGACGTTATCTAAGCACACATAATAGGGTCAACTAGATGTCTAAACCATAAGTCTACAACTAAACGTGCATTCATTCAAATGTTGGGTGCACACATGTAACTAGGTCCTGGCTAGGATAAGGAAACTCAGTCCAGCACAATGACACAATTTAAACGGTTATACCCAAAGAAATAATGTCACAATTTAAACGGTTATACCCAAAGAAATAATGTCACAATTTAAACGGTTATACCCACAGAAATAATGTCACAATTCAAACGGTTATACCCTAAGAAATAATGTCACAATTTAAACGGTTATACCCAAAGAAATAATATCACAATTTAAACGGTTATACCCAAAGAAATAATGTCACAATTTAAACGGTTATACCCAAAGAATTCTTTTGTTTTCGCTTGGTACTTTAAATACAACTAATGGGGCGAAGCCCCCCCCCCTAAAAAATTTTACCGCCCCCCCCCCCCCCCGAACGAAATGAAATTTATATAATTTATATAGAAAATATATACTTTTAACAGTGTCCGCCCCCCCCCCCCCCCCCGAAGAAAGTCTACCGCCGCCCCGAAAATTTCAAGTGCCCCCCCCCCCCCCGCCCCCCGGAGAAAAAAAGTCTGGAAGAAACACTGAATGAGTTATTGAATTCTAATTAACTTAATTAAGTTTGCTAGTAATTATTTTAAAAAATAATGTAATGATTCGTCTGTTGATATTCTATTCCTTTTATGTTTCTAATTCTATTTGATGAACAAAAGATGCCATAACCGAAAACATTTTTTAAATTTTTTTAAAGTTGAAAGATTAAATTAATAGAAAGCAAAACGAGACCAAAAATACAGCAGTATAGAGACAGAAAAATGGCAATCTTATGGTGCAAATGTTACTTGTTTTAAAAAGTGAAAAAATTAAGTTGCCCTCATATTTTAATATTTCTTTCCCTCCCTAGACTATAAGAAAATATAGTTAGGCTATTTTTAATTTTGAAATAGTAAATAGATTTTTTTTTAAATGTGTCTGCCCCATCGGCGTATGTGAGGCTGATAAATATGTTCTGCAGTTATTTTTAAATGTGTTTACCCCAACTAACTACGTTAGCCAATCAAAACTCAGCTTACAAACTCATCATCGTCCCCTTTGTGCTGGCTGTCTTCTGGGAGTAACAAAACCTCTGAGACGTCATTCTGTGTTCGTAGTGTGTCGCCTTTAGGGCGGGTCAAATCAAGGGCTGTAACTCCTGTATCGACACCATCAAGAGTTACGCTGTACGAAATGTTTCTGAAAAAATAATGTACCAAACTTAAAGTCAGAAATTTAATTTAGCGGAGAAAAGCAGTATTATTGACTCATGTTAATTTTTGTTATATTAGATGCTTTGGCTTCAGTTCCAATGCCCGTCTGTGGGTTACACGTAGATCCATTTTTTATGCAGCGTTGTTATACATTTTTCATATTAATTAATTTCCAATGACAACGCAAGAGTATCTCATTTTCAACCAAGCTCGTAATTTAAAATTAACTTTAAGATTACTAACTTCAATAACGAAACTGGAAATCACAACATAAAGTAATATTTTGTAATCTAACCTGAATTTCAGGAGCACACCTAGCCCCACCCACCAGTACCCTAGCCCCAATCAACAGTACCCTAGTCCCGCCCACCAGCACCCTAGTCCCGCCCATAGCAACACATGTACTCACCCTGTCCGTGCTGGAGACTCTCGTCTGCTGTCATTCACAGACAGGACAGTCACGTGGATGGTGCCATTGAAATCTGGAACAGTGAACACACTCATTAGTGGAGTTGATGGGAAAATTAATTAAATGAAAATCTGGAACAGTGAACACACTCATTAGTGGAGTTGATGGAGAAATTAATTAAATGAATTAACTACGTGACATGTGAGGGTAGATCAAAGCACACATACACCCAGTTTCTCTTCGGGGGGGGGGGGCGCTGGGCTTCTACCCCCCCCCCCCTCCCCGAATGAAAATGAATTTATATAGAAAATATATACTTTTAGCAAAGTCAGCCGCCGCCCCCCCCCCCTCCCCGGAGAAAAAAAGTCTGAAAGAAACACTGCATACACCAGAATACTGGTGCTTGAACTCGTCCTCTGCATGTAGTTTCCTTTGGGAAATCAGGACTTTGTTGACCTTAAACTGCAAGGTGAACTTCACTTGCCCTATGAACCATGAGGTTCGAAAAGGGAACTTTACCTACATTAAACTACAGGTGTTAAAGGATGAACTTCTACACGAGGTTGGGGGGGGGGGGGGGGAGGGACTAGGATAACTTTAATGTTGACCTCAGTTCGTTCACCAATAGCTGTGTGATGTCACGAAGAAAGATCTATCAAGCATAACTGAAGATAATGTTGACTTTCACCTTTAACCTATCTAGCTCGACCTTTGACCTTTCGAGGTCAACCATACCTTTGTTAGCCTTCCTCCCAATAGCTGTGTGATGTCACGAAGAAAGATCTATCAAGCATAACTGAAGATAATGTTGACTTTCACCTTTAACCTATCTAGCTCGACCTTTGACCTTTCGAGGTCAACCTTACCTTTGTTAGCCTTCCTCCAGGCCTCCTCTAGAGCTCTGGCCACGGAGGTCAACCTTACCTTTGTTAGCCTTCCTCCAGGCCTCCTCTAGAGCTCTGGCCACGGAGGTCAACCTTACCTTTGTTAGCTTTCCTCCAGGCCTCCTCTAGAGCTCTGACCACTGAGGTCAACCTTACCTTTGTTAGCCTTCCTCCAGGCCTCCTCTAAAGCTCTGACCACTGAGGTCAACCTTTGACCACTGAGGTCAACCTTACCTTTGTTAGCCTTCCTCCAGGCCTCCTCTAGAGCTCTGGCCACTGAGGTCAACTGGGTGGTGTTGGACGGGTCCAGGTTCCCCACGGAACTGATGACGTACTTGCTGGTCACCTGACAGCTGCAGACGGCCAGGTTTCTCTGGCCCAGCGCCAGCAGGAGCCGGTCGATGGGCGGCTCTTCTGCTGACGTGATGCTGGCGTCTGCTCGGTCAACGCTGACCACGTACTGGACAAGGGTCACCACGTCACCACTGGAAACACAGCGTAGACTTTTTTTAATTAACCAGATCATTAAAAAGGCAAAAACAAATAATGGTTTTTAACATTTTATATCAGAAAATGTATACACAAATGGCAGAACTAGGTCATGTGAATTGAAAAGAAATAATTAAAAATGAGTGAGAGTGCTAGCAAGCTTACGATTGGCTGACGTAGTTCTCAGAGTCCATCTTGAATATGGAAATACCCATGACGTCAGGGTCAATGTCTAAAACAAACGAAACGATAATTGGTATATAATGATATGTGCACGCTTCATCAGTTTATAATTAAGTTACCTGCCACTGTGCTAGTCCATTAAGGTTAGTTACTGTATCATACCTGGGTTATTCTGTGACCACGCCTGCTTGAGCCCCTCCTGTATAAGAGAAGCAGTCTGATTGGATATCGCGCCACGGAGCACCAATGAAAACTGTTGTCTCACCGGCATGCCGTCCTCCAATGTCTTCAGGTCGCGAACGGCGAAGACATTTTTGAAGTTGTTGTTTGTTTTCGGGGGGACGAAGGCGTCGTATTGTGAGGGTCGGAAGTAGACTTTGGTTAGGATCGATCTAAGGAAATAGATATTGAGATGAGGATTATTTAAATTTGTAAACATTGATGCAGTCTACATTTTAGTATTTGCCTTGAATGTATGATAAAGTTCTGAAGCTAAAAACAGGGATACATTTGTAAATGTTTGCAAATCTGAGGTTACCCGTAGAGGTTATAGTAGTATTCTCTCAGGAGGATCTTTGCTCCGTCGTCTCCTAGATACATAGAGAGAAAATATTTTAGTCTGGTGTATGTGTCTATGGGTAAAGTAGTTTAGTCGGGTGTATGTGTCTATGGGTAAAGTAGTTAAGTCTAGTGTATGTATCTATGGGTAAAGTAGTTAAGTCTGGTGTATGTGTCTATGGGTAAAGTAGTTTAGTCGGGTGTATGTGTCTATGGGTAAAGTAGTTTAGTCTGATTTTTCAAATCAAATATAGTTAATACTAAAATAAAAGTATAATGCTTGTACTGTAGGACATCCCAGAGTCCACCCAGCTCTGATGGATACCTGAATTAATGGCGGCTGGATATAGTGCTGACCACACTATCCCTAATCCCTTCATACGCCGAGGTCAAGAAACATAGGAACTCTACTTCATCTGCCCAGTGGATCAGAAGTTCTGAAGTGAAACTTCACATATTTTTTAATAACCTCAGTCTTTAACCTAAAAGACTCCCTACAGCAATAGGTCCTGACGGTATTAATTGCACCCACCTTGTCCAATCATATCATGGATCATTGTCTTCAGCGTGTAGTAAGGGACCAGTCCATACACATAAAAGGAGTGGGCGGGGCTGTGCCGACACCCGCATGGACTGAAGGCCCCGCCCAGATCTGCTTGAGACGGCCCACGTACGGTTGCTGGGTTGACCAGGGCACCATTTAATGTGGTGTAGTAGGCCACGCTTGTCAACTCTTGGCTGGAGGAATAAATATTTAGGGTATTTTATGTGTCAACACCGTTTTTAGAGTATTTCTTTCAACGTTTTCCGGTATACCTTATGTGTGGACACCGTTTTTTGTCCAGAAATTTTTTTTTGGGTGAACACTGTTTTCTGGGGTATTTTCTGTGTGAACACTGTTTTCCAGCGTGTTTTCTGTTTTAACACCGCTTTTACAACAATATATTAAGAATGCTTAGGGGGCGAGTTCACACTAGGAGTGGAGGGGGGGGGTTCAAAAAGTGTCCATACGAACGTCTGTATGTTAACTTCTATATCAAAATATTTAATAATACATTGTACACAAAGCTTGCATTAGAAGTGTTTATATTTAAAGGCAGTCTCTAGGCGGTAAATACACCACAGTATCTACACGTAGAAGATCCGCACCTCTGCAGTAATGAAGTAATAAACAGCAACAGATGTCATGAACACAACGTGGCCCTTACCACTTATTATAATTTTAATTATTGTGACATCATAAATTGAAGACCTCCCTCAAGGAAATTTAAAAAATAAATAAACCGAGTCTAACTAGGTTTCGAACTCACAATTTGTCGGTGTAATGTAGCTCTGGTCTGACGTATCTGTTGACGACATTACAGGAACTGGTACTCTGGCACTGGTTATCTGAGAGAAAAGTCGTTACGTTAGGTATTAGACCAGTGGCGTCACTAGGTGGGGTGTCACCCAGCCCCGTAACCCCCCCCCCCCCATTCAACTATTTTCTATTTTTTACCTTGGTGTTCCCCCACCCCTTATTTAACTGCATTAACAGTTATTCGTCAAAAAATATATTATTCGCCGAACTACTGCCTAATTTTGCAACTCTCTGGCTGCCATGGTAACTGGTGAATGTCACAATGCATACTGTGAAATTATTTTCTGACCTCCAGATTTACTAGCGTCCAGCACTTACTGCTGACCTCCACATAGACTAGCACCCAGCACTTTCTGCTCACCCCCACATAGACTAGCACCCAGCACTTACTGCTCACATCCACATAGACTAGCACCCAGCACTTACTGCTCACATCCACATAGACTAGCACCCAGCACTTACTGCTGACCTCCACATAGACTAGCACCCAGCACTTACTGCTGACCTCCACATAGACTAGCACCCAGCACTTACTGCTGACCTCCACATAGACTAGCACCCAGCACTTACTGCTCACCTCCACATAGACTAGCACCCAGCACTTACTTCTGACCTCCACATAGACTAGCACCCAGCACTTACTGCTCACCCCCACATAGACTAGCACCCAGCACTTACTGCTGACCTCCACATAGACTAGCACCCAGCACTTACTGCTGACCTCCACATAGACTAGCACCCAGCACCCAGCACTTACTACTGACCTCCACATAGACTAGCACCTAGCACTTACTGCTGACCTCCACATAGACTAGCACCCAGCACTTACTGCTGACCTCCACATAGACTAGCACCCAGCACTTACTGCTCACCTCCACATAGACTAGCACCCAGCACCCCGCACTTACTGCTGACCTCCACATAGACTAGCACCCAGCACTTACTGCTGACCTCCACATAGACTAGCACCCAGCACTTACTGCTGACCTCCACATAGACTAGCACCCAGCACTTACTGCTGACCTCCACATAGACTAGCACCCAGCACTTACTGCTGACCTCCACATAGACTAGCACCCAGCACTTACTGTTGACCCCCACATAGACTAGCACCCAGCACTTACTGTTGACCCCCACATATACTAGCACCCAGCACTTACTGCTGACCCCCACATAGACTAGCACCCAGCACTTACTGTTGACCACCACATAGACTAGCACCCAGCACTTACTGCTGACCTCCACATAGACTAGCACCCAGCACTTACTGCTCACCTCCACATAGACTAGCACCCAGCACCCAGCACTTACTGCTGACCTCCACATAGACTAGCACCCAGCACTTACTGCTGACCTCCACATAGACTAGCACCCAGCACTTACTGATGACATCCACATAGACTAGCACCCAGCACTTACTGCTGACCTCCACATAGACTAGCACCCACCACTTACTGCTGACCTCCACATAGACTAGCACCCAGCACTTACTGCTGACCTCCACATAGACTAGCACCCAGCACTTACTGCTGACCTCCACATAGACTAGCACCCAGCACTTACTGCTGACCTCCACATAGACTAGCACCCAGCACTTACTGCTGACCTCCACATAGACTAGCACCCAGCACTTACTGCTGACCTCCACATAGACTAGCACCCACCACTTATTGCTGACCTCCACATAGACTAGCACCTAGCACTTACTGCTGACCTCCACATAGACTAGCACCCAGCACTTACTGCTGACCTCCACATAGACTAGCACCCAGCACCCAGCACTTACTACTGACCTCCACATAGACTAGCACCCAGCACTTACTGCTGACCTCCACATAGACTAGCACCCAACACTTACTGCTGACCTCCACATAGACTAGCACCTAGCACTTACTGCTGACCTCCACATAGACTAGCACCCAGCACTTACTGCTCACCTCCACATAGACTAGCACCCAACACTTACTGCTGACCTCCACATAGACTAGCACCTAGCACTTACTGCTGACCTCCACATAGACTAGCACCCAGCACTTACTGCTGACCTCCACATAGACTAGCACCCAACACTTACTGCTGACCTCCACATAGACTAGCACCTAGCACTTACTGCTGACCTCCACATAGACTAGCACCCACCACTTACTGCTGACCTCCACATAGACTAGCACCCAGCACCCAGCACTTACTGCTGACCTCCACATAGACTAGCACCTAGCACTTACTGTTGACCCCCACATAGACCAGCACCTAGCACTTACTGCTGACCTCCACATAGACTAGCACCTAGCACTTACTGTTGACCCCCACATAGACCAGCACCTAGCACTTACTGCTCACCTCCACATAGACTAGCACCCAACACTTACTGCTGACCTCCACATAGACTAGCACCTAGCACTTACTGCTGACCTCCACATAGACTAGCACCCAGCACTTACTGCTGACCTCCACATAGACTAGCACCCAACACTTACTGCTGACCTCCACATAGACTAGCACCTAGCACTTACTGCTGACCTCCACATAGACTAGCACCCACCACTTACTGCTGACCTCCACATAGACTAGCACCCAGCACCCAGCACTTACTGCTGACCTCCACATAGACTAGCACCCAGCACTTACTGCTGACCTCCACATAGACTAGCACCCAGCACTTACTGCTCACCTCCACATAGACTAGCACCCAGCACTTACTGCTGACCTCCACATAGACTAGCACCCAGCACTTATTGCTGACCTCCACATAGACTAGCACCCAGCAGCCAGCACTTACTGCTGACCTCCACATAGACTAGCACCCAGCACTTACTGCTCACCTCCACATAGACTAGCACCCAGCACTTACTGCTCACCTCCACATAGACTAGCACCCAGCACTTACTGCTCACCTCCACATAGACTAGCACCCAGCACTTACTGCTCACCTCCACATAGACTAGCACCCAGCACTTACTGCTCACCTCCACATAGACTAGCACCCCGCACTTACTGCTCACCTCCACATAGACTAGCACCCAGCACTTACTGCTCACCTCCACATAGACTAGCACCCAGCACCCAGCTCTTACTGCTCACCTCCACATAAACTAGCACCCAGCACCCAGCACTTACTGCTCACCTCCACATAGACTAGCACCTAGCACTTACTGCTGACCTCCACATAGACTAGCACCCAGCACTTACTGCTCACCTCCACATAGACTAGCACCCAGCACTTACTGCTGACCTCCACATAGACTAGCACCCAGCACTTACTGCTGACCTCCACATAGACTAGCACCCAGCACTTACTGCTGACCTCCACATAGACTAGCACCCAGCACCCAGCACTTACTGCTCACCTCCACATAGACTAGCACCCAGCTCTTACTGCTGACCTCCACATAGACTAGCACCCAGCTCTTACTGCTGACCTCCACATAGACTAGCACCTAGCACTTACTGCTGACCTCCACATAGACTAGCACCCAGCACTTACTGCTGACCTCCACATAGACTAGCACCTAGCACTTACTGCTCACCTCCACATAGACTAGCACCCAGCACCCAGCACTTACTGCTGACCTCCACATAGACTAGCACCCAGCACTTACTGCTCACCTCCACATAGACTAGCACCCAGCACTTACTGCTGACCTCCACATAGACTAGCACCCAGCACCCAGCACTTACTGCTCACCTCCACATAGACTAGCACCCAGCACTTACTGCTCACCTCCACATAGACTAGCACCCAGCACTTACTGCTCACCTCCACATAGACTAGCACCCAGCACTTACTGCTCACCTCCACATAGACTAGCACCCAGCACTTACTGCTCACCTCCACATAGACTAGCACCCAGCACTTACTGCTCACCTCCACATAGACTAGCACCCAGCACTTACTGCTCACCTCCACATAGACTAGCACCCAGCACTTACTGCTCACCTCCACATAGACTAGCACCCAGCACTTACTGCTCACCTCCACATAGACTAGCACCCCGCACTTACTGCTCACCTCCACATAGACTAGCACCCCGCACTTACTGCTCACCTCCACATAGACTAGCACCCAGCACTTACTGCTCACCTCCACATAGACTAGCACCCAGCACTTACTGTTAAAATACTGCTGCCACAAACTTAAGATTGTCTTCTTAGCCTCGATGCCTTGTTTTGACGTCAGAGTTATGACGCTGTTGATTGACACTTCGTAGTGAAGGGAAAACGGCATGACGTCAGCGTAGGGATACAGGCCGTAGACGTCACGTCGGTCACTGAATGACGTCATGAAGAGGGACCGCGAGGGGACATCTGGAGAGATGACCATCTGCAGGACTTGGGACTTGTACATGACGTAATAGATTCGCGTCACGTGGGTTCTGTGCAGAAGAAAAAAACGTCGTAAGTTAAGGATGCAATGTTCCTGTTGCATCTTTGGTTGTCGGAAAGATGCGCAAAAGAAAAATGCGCAACAGAAAAATGCGCACAAAAAGTGCGCTAAGGTATTTTTTTTAACCGGACATTTATAGACATTAACATAGAATGACTACATGTACACTGTAGCAAAATAAAATATATTTTCAAGAAATAAGACAAAATTTAAGTGTTTTACTATAATTAGTTTGTGTTTGCGCAGCTTTTTGTCTGCGCAGCTTTCCGTTGCGCATTTTTCTGGGAACCGCATCTTTCTAGCCAAAATTTAGGCGTTATTTCGCGTTTTTTACGACTGTTTTTTTTAAATTGAAATAGAAACTGATTAATATATTCTCCGGTGACCTAGCTCAGTAATTATTTTAGAAAGAAATCGATCTTTAAAAAAAAATCGATATTTTAAAAAACAAAAACTGCCTTTATTTCAGGGGGGTGTTTCGGCATTTCGAATGGATTGTAAGGAAAACGAGTCTTCTTAAAAAGTGTGACTTCTAATATGGATCACCGCAATTTTAAAAATTGCAAGGTTGTAAGTTCAAGGACATGTATTTCACGTCAATGCCAACTTACCCATATCTCCCAGTGAACCGCTTCCCTAGCAGAACTTTGCTGGCGTAGGTGCAGCCACACCCTACGAATAGAAACATTTGACATGGATTTATTCAAGGCTCACTTATTAGTTATATATTTCTAGAAGAAAAAAAACACGTATGGGAAGATGAATTAGATTTCCTTTCCCCATAGGTCGGGTAGATAATCCAGAGTACTCTCCATAGTGCTAATATAAATCATGGACTTTTTTTCTTTAATCAAAAGTCATCTCTCTTTCCTAGTTAAACTGTTGCTAAATGGATACAATGTTGCTTATTAGAGTGGTGTGGTTTATCAATGGGAGCCGTTTTAATTTGGGTCCTTTTTAGCGAACCACTATTAAATTGAAAGGCATTTGGTCGCGACTTTATTTGTCACTGTTTTGATGGGTTACCTTTGTCTTCCGTAGTTTTCCTATAGAAAGTTCGATGTAATCTTCACTAAGCGACTTTACCTGTGTTCCTATTTAGCCAAACGTCGTCAATGACTTGACCTATCACCCCAAACGACTCGGTCTCCACGACACTCATAATGTCAAGGTCAAACACAACTTCCGGTCCGTAAGGTCGACCTTTGTAGACACGGTTGGCGCCGAACGCTAGCGTGGTTGTCATGTCCTGGTCGAGCTTCGTTACCAACCTGTTGCGGGTTGTCGTTGGGTCAGACTGACCTGCTACAAAAGAGTACTCAACCCTCACTAGTTGTTGCCTGAAATTTGGTAATCAACACATTTTAATTGCCCCACTAATTTACATCACTTCGTATGTTACTGTTAAAATATGTTAATTGAAAGTTTACTAATACACAGATAATATGTGGAGATGTGTTGTTGAAGTGAGATGACAACACATATAGTACACACCAGTTGACGCCAAAATATTTGTCTTCCTCGTCCCAGGTAAACTTGAAACAGCAGGCTCCACCTATGGAGATGTGACGTAATTAGTTGACCACACAGAGAGACCATAACAGAGAGACCATAATAGAGAGACCATAACAGAAAGACATAACAGAGAGACCATAACAGAGTAACCATAGTGTAACCATAACAGTGTAACCATAACAGAGTAACCATAACAGAGAGACTATAACAGAGTAACCATAGTGTAACCATAACAGTGTAACCATAACAGTGTAACCATAACAGAGTAACCATAACAGAGAGACTATAACAGAGTAACCATAGTGTAACCATAACAGAGTAACCATAACAGAGAGACCATAAGAGAGTTAACTGAAAATAAGTCTGGTTCAACTGACGACAAAGCTACACTGGACACACTAAACTGGTTGTGTGACGTCATACCACAAGTGGACACAACTCACCTGGCTCTGATTGGCTGCTGAAGCTGTTTTCAATCATCCGTGACAGCTGCTCGCGATCCGCGATGGGGCTGGTGAAGTAGAGTTCGCCTGAAACACACAGCAATACCGTAAGTTAACTTCAAGTTGAAACAGTACGAGGAGGTAAAGATTAGGCTAGACTTGGGGTTAGGACTTGGGTTAGATTTTCACACGGTACAGTAGTGTTGGACTGACCTGTTATGGGCAGCTGTGATTTGGGTACGGTTGTTGTCAGGAGTGTGGGCCTTGGGGAGGCTGTGGTCGACCCAGGAATTGGTGCTAGGGAAGATAGGGGCGTGGCCAAAGATGACGAGGGCGTGGTTAATGTGGACGAGGGCGTGGCCAAGATAGATGAAGGCGTGGTCATTGTTGATGACGGCAGCAGCATGGTTGGGTTCACTACAGCTGTCATACTAGTCACGTGATCCGATGCTTGTAAGGACATACCGGCTCCCATGCTATTCATGTTGTACATTGAAGCCGTTGGATTTATACCGGCTCCCATACTATTCATGTTGTACATTGAAGCCGTTGGATTTATGGGCATACCGGCTCCCATGCTATTCATGTTGTACATTGAAGCCGTTGGATTTACAGACATACCGGCTCCCATACTATTCATGTTGTACATTGAAGCCGTTGGATTTACAGACATACCGGCTCCCATACTATTCATGTTGTACATTGAAGCCGTTGGATTTACAGACATACCGGCTCCCATACTATTCATGTTGTACATTGAAGCCGTTGGATTTACAGACATACCGGCTCCCATACTATTCATGTTGTACATTGAAGCCGTTGGATTTATACCGGCTCCCACACTATTCATGTTGTACATCGAAGCCGTTGGATTTACAGACATACCGGCTCCCATACTATTCATGTTGTACATTGAAGCCGTTGGATTTATGGGCATACCGGCTCCCATGCTATTCATGTTGTACATTGAAGCCGTTGGATTTATGGACATACCGGCTCCCATACTATTCATGTTGTACATTGAAGCCGTTGGATTTATGGACATAGCTGGTGGTACTCCGGCTCCCATACTATTCATGTTGTACATTGAATCCGTTGGATTTATGGACATACCGGCTCCCATACTATTCATGTTGTACATTGAAGCCGTTGGATTTATGGACATACCAGGTAGTACTTCGGCTCCCATACTATTCATGTTGTACATTGAAGCCGTTGGATTTACTGACATACCGGCTCCCATACTATTCATGTTGTACATCGAACTGTAACCACTTGCATGCAGCGAGCTGCCCTGGTGCCAGGAGAATAAAGGATTCAAATTATCGAATGTTCCAGAGCTTGTCCCTGTGGTCATCGCCGTTGACGTTGGATGTATCATGTTATCTCCGGACTTGTCATTCATGTCATATGTCATGTAGATGTCATACCTTGACATTGGCGAGACCTGGCCTGTCATCCTGTTGGCTGTCGTCGTCTGCATGGAAATGGAGAAGGTAGTTGACCCGGTGACCGTGTCGATGACCTCACAGAACTGGCCCATGTTTCCCCGGGGGCACAGGCAGAAGCTGCCCAGCGTCTCGTTGATGCAGACCCCGCCGTTGAAGCAGACGAAGTTCCCGCATTGTACGATGGGGGTGGGGAACCCGGGGGTCATTGAGCTGGAGGGTCCGGTGGAGGCTAGTGTGGGGTGGACAGTAACAAGCTGCAACATCCCAGATTGTGATGGCTGTAACATCCCAGATTGTGATGGCTGTAACATCATTGATTGTGGTGGTTGTAACATCATTGATTGTGGTGGTTGTAACATCCCAGATTGTGATGGTTGTAACATCATTGATTGTGATGGTTGTAACATCCCAGATTGTGATGGTTGTAACATCCCAGATTGTGATGGTTGTAACATCCCAGATTGTGATGGCTGTAACATCCCAGATTGTGATGGTTGTAACATCATTGATTGTGATGGCTGTAACATCATTGATTGTGATGGTTGTAACATCCCAGATTGTGATGGCTGTAACATCCCAGATTGTGATGGTTGTAACATCCCAGATTGTGATGGTTGTAACATCCCAGATTGTGATGATTGTAACATCATTGATTGTGATGGTTGTAACATCCCAGATTGTGATGGTTGTAACATCCCAGATTGTGATGGCTGTAACATCCCAGATTGTGATGGTTGTAACATCATTGATTGTGATGGTTGTAACATCCCAGATTGTGATGGCTGTAACATCCCAGATTGTGATGGTTGTAACATCCCAGATTGTGATGGTTGTAACATCATTGATTGTGATGGTTGTAACATCCCAGATTGTGATGGTTGTAACATCCCAGATTGTGGTGGCTGTAACATCATTGATTGTGATGGTTGTAACATCATTGATTGTGATGGTTGTAACATCATTGATTGCGATGGTTGTAACATCATTGATTGTGATGGTTGTAACATCCCAGATTGTGATGGTTGTAACATCATTGATTGTGATGGTTGTAACATCCCAGATTGTGAGGGTTGTAACATCCCAGATTGTGATGGCTGTAACATCATTGATTGTGATGGCTGTAACTTCCAAGATTGTGATGGTTGTAACATCCCAGATTGTGATGGTTGTAACATCCCAGATTGAGATGGTTGTAACATCATTGATTGTGATGGTTGTAACATCCCAGATTGTGGTGGCTGTAACATCATTGATTGTGATGGTTGTAACATCCCAGATTGTGATGGTTGTAACATCCCAGATTGTGATGGTTGTAACATCCCAGATTGTGATGGTTGTAACATCCCAGATTGTGGTGGCTGTAACATCATTGATTGTGATGGTTGTAACATCCCAGATTGTAATGGCTGTAACATCCCAGACTGTGATGGTTGTAACATCCCAGATTGTGATGGTTGTAACATCATTGATTGTGATGGTTGTAACATCCCAGATTGTGGTGGCTGTAACATCATTGATTGTGATGGTAATGACATCATTGTCTGCCATGATATTACATTCACTTCCATGCTGGTGCCAGAAATAATGTTGGTGTTTAGTGGTGGTGTTGCTGTGGTTGTAAGTTGTCCTGTCGTGACGGCTGTATTGCTTGAGATCGAATATTTCACTGTTGCAGTTGTATCTAAAGAGTCATATGGGAGAGAAACAGAAACAGACATAAGGCCTTGAACTTGGGTCGATTCCAGATGTGAGGCTGTCGCTTGACTTCCCATGATGCTAAATGCTGACCTTGAGTTATCTGTCAATGACGTCATGAGTTGACTGGCTAGACTTCCTGTTACGGTATTTTGATACCCCAGCGATTGAGATCCGACACCGTAAGATGTATCCCCATAGCGGGTCTCACACCGTTTACCCGTGTACCCTGCCACACACTGGCAGACGTACCCCGTGGGTTGGTCCCAGCAGGCGCCGAACTCCCCACACGGGGCGCCAGCACAGGCCAGCACCTCGTCCTGACAGAACCTCCCGCCGTAGGGGCCCCTGCACACACAGGTGCCGTTGAAGCAGGCACCGTTGTGTTTGCAGACGACACCCAACACTGGACACTCGGGGTCCACGTCTGCTGGTACAAGACGCTGGTCACAGTCAGCACCGCCCCAGCCGGACATGCAAACTTTTTTACCAGAGTCGGGGTTGCAGAAGTAATGCCCTTTGTTGGAGTTTTCTTCAACACAAAACTCGGAACAGTTCAAGCCGTAGAAGTTTATTGTGCAGTTTGGGTTAGTCGGGTTACTTGACACGGGAGTTTCGCAAAATTTGCCGATAAAATTACCCGAACATAAACAAATGGCATCCGATGTTCCGTTTGGTATACAGATGCCTTGGTTTAGACAACTGACGATGTCGCAGGGGTCTATAGGCAGAAGGGGTGTAGTGGTCATCTGACCGGTCGGGTCAACGGTGGTTCTCATGTCCTGCTCGCAGTTGATGCCGGAAAATCCCGGCTTGCAGGTGCAGGTGTACTGGTTGATGAGGTCGGTGCAGACGCCGTCGTTAAGGCAGGGGTTGCTGTCGCACTCCAGGATCTCCACGTGACACAGCGAGCCCGTGTACCCGGGCTGGCAGCAGCACGTCGCGTTCAGGCAGGCCCCACCGTTCCGGCAGACACTCCGGGGGCAGGGGACATCCAGCCTGACCGTCTGGTCACGTGTGCTGCAGTCCGGACCCGACCAGCCGAACATACAGACCTTCTGACCGGTCAACTCGTTGCAGTAGAACTGACCGGTCTCCTCCCCGCATTCATACTGCTGCCGGCAAAAGACCTCACACTTGGGCCCGTAGTAGTTGACCGGACAATTCCGGTTCGGCGCTACCATGACCTCACAGAACTCTCCAGAAAAAATCTCTGGGCAGATGCAGAAGGCACCGGTGGCATCTTCCTGACACGTGCCCCCGTTCTGGCACGGGTTGTCCGGACAAAACCGTGTCGGCGTCCGGCAGCGGTCGCCGGTGAAGTTGCCGGAACAGCAACACTTGCCCAGGAAGCACTGACCCCCGTTGTCGCAGCCACAGGTGGGGTCAACCCGATCCCGCACGGTACACCCCGACCCCTGCGTCCACCCGGGCAGACACACCCTCCCGCCCGTAGCCGGGTCGCAGGTGTAGTGTCCGGTACAGTCGTCTGCCGGCTTGCAGTAAGTCTGGCACTTCTCTCCGTAATAGTTGCCGTAGCAGAAGCGGGGAGCGACGGCCGAGGATGACGTCAGAGGGGCGGGGGTGGTGATGGGGATTTCACAGAACTCGCCATTGTATCGGTCGACATCACATCGACAGTAAAATGACCTGCGGAAGACAGCAGTTCTCGGGTGATAGAGGGAAATAAGCAGCGCTAAATACACTGTCATAATAATAACATGGTGATATGAAATGCCATCAAGTCACATTAAAAGACAGTAACATTAAATAACATCTTTAGATTAAATGACAGTTAGATGAAACGACCTCAAGTCAATTAAAATAACAAAAAAGCATAAGAAATGGCATATAATCACATATAATGACACAGTTAACTAAAATGGCATTGCCTCACAGTTACCTAAAAGGACATGACTTACTCGAATTTCTGAAGATTAAAAGACACACACGTCCCTCCATTCTTGCAGGGGTTGTCCTTGCACGTCTTCGCAACCTGGCACAACACACCGCCATACCTGACAACACACAACCACAAGAAAACGTTTCAAGACGTTGCTGGAGTATTCAAGACATTACAACTAGGTAAGTTCTGTACACTAATGTCATGGACAGGTCAATTGGTCAAAATGATAGTTCATCTGTTTTAAGTCAACACTGTAAATTGAGAGGCTGACCAGTCCTATGCCAAGATCAATATTTTTAAAAAATTGTATCTATTGCTGAATGCTGGAAACTATCCACGCGATGATCGCAGTGATATAGAACTATTTGACTGCAAATTGATTTTCTGGATTATCATATAACATCAATCCCAACTGTAATGGTCTCAATAACGTCAGAAAGATCTGATGACGGACTGAGCTAATGATGGACGGAGCTAATGTCTGAATGAGCTAATGTCTGAATGAGCTAATGTCTGAATGAGCAAATGTTTGAGTGAGCTAATGTCTGAGTGAGCTAATGTCGGACTGACCTCTCGGAGCAGTAGCACGTGAACCCTGTGGGTTTCTTCTGGACGCACGCGCCGTTGTTCTGGCAGGGTGAGCTCAAGCACTCGTTGACGTCCTGCTGGCAGAAGTCGCCCGTGTAGCCCTCGTCACAGCAGCAGTAGTAGGAGCTGGTCCGGTTGCCATAGGTGACGCATGTCCCGTGGTAGGAGCAGAGGTTGGCTGGGGGAGGAGCAAAGGTTAGGTGTGGGTGAAGTAGAGGTTAGCTGGGGGCTGAAGTAGAGGTTAGGTGGGGGTGAAGTAGAGGTTAGGTGGGGGAGGTGCAGGGGTTAGCTGGGGTGGAGTAGAGGTTAGGTGGGGGGTGAAGTAGAGGTTAGCTGGGGTGGAGTAGAGGTTAGGTGGGTGTGAAGTAGAGGTTAGGTGGGGGAGGAGCAGAGGTTGGCTGGGGGAGGAGTAGAGTTTAGCTGGGGTGGAACAGAGATAAGCTTTGGGAGGTGCAGAGGTTAGCTGGGGAGGAGTAGATGTTAAGGGAGCAGATTGGCTTGGGGTACTCTAGGAGGTTAGTTGAGTAATGTGTTCTTTCATTTCAAAATCAAAACCCATTTTGATATTTGATGTATGTTTAGTGTTTGCTTTAATGCTTGAAACGTCAAAATATTTTCTCTACACCAATGGAAGTGTCGTAAGTTAAGCCAGAGTGTGGCTGGTCTAACTTACCAGAGCAACCTTGGTCTAACTCACCAGAGCAACCTTGGTCTAACTCACCAGAGCAACCTTGGTCTAACTCACCAGAGCACCCTTGGTCTAACTCACCAGAGCAACCTTGGTCTAACTCACCAGAGCAACCTTGGTCTAACTCACCAGAGCAACCTTGGTCTAACTCACCAGAGCAACCTTGGTCTAACTCACCAGAGCAACCTTGGTCTAACTGACCAGAGCAACCTTGGTCTAACTCACCAGAGCAACCTTGGTCTAACTTACCAGAGCAACCTTGGTCTAACTCACCAGAGCAACCTTGGTCTAACTCACCAGAGCAACCTTGGTCTAACTCACCAGAGCAACCTTGGTCTAACTCACCAGAGCAACCTTGGTCCGAATTAGTTTTGACGTCACAAGATCTGCCTCCCCAGCCTGGCTGACAGATCTTCTCTCCCGTGATGACGTCACAGCCGTAGTGACCACTGCAGTCGTCGGAGGGAACACAGTTGACGTCACAGGTGTCGTTGTAGAAGAACAGGTCACATCTGGCCATTACCGACACTTGCAGCCTGCGTCAGATCAGTTGAGATGTACACACAGAGTGCAGGTAAATGTATTCGGTACGACACGATTGTCTCCCCTCCACCCCCCGGTGAACGGAAAAAAAGTCACAGGAAAAAAAAAAGGCACAGTTTTTGCTAGGAAAAAAGTCACAGAAATAAAGTCACAGAAAAAAAGTCACAAAAATCGTTTAAGAAATATTTTGATTTATTTGTTAAGAATTGTAAAATGTTATATGTTTATTGTTGTGGGTTGTATTTTTTATAGCATAAATTATTTATAGACGTTAAAAGCATTATGGTTTATAACAATTGTAAGAAAAAATACTCCAAGATAATTACACAACAATCTCAACTTCCGTTACGTATTTAGTTAAATACGTGGTAGAGAAGTTAATTATAAAAGAAATTTAGGCACATTTTTGTGTTTTGCATGTTTTGCCGTAGGCTATTCTATGGTCGGCCTCTCCTCAGTAGGCATTATCCGAGCATATTGTCTATTGTTGACGTTTATGTGTCAAAGACAGCCTTTGAACATTGTCGGCTTTCTGTTTTGATCCCATGCTTTGTTATATAATGAGCGTGATAAATGCGGGCAGTAAAGGTGGTTGAACTAAACATAACTATTGTTGCCATGAGTTGAGGGCAGCAAGTCAGATGAACTTAACATTTCACGGTAATTTAATATTGGTATTAAAAAAAAAACACGATGAAAACCGTGGACTTTAAAGCATTCTTTTAAATGCTACTAATCTTAAGTTTAACATAATTACAATCTACATACTTCATAGTAAATATTTTTAGATGAATTATAAAAATTCCTATGCGTATACAGCCTACACACATTACATTACATTTAATTAATCCTAATTTAATTTCCAGTATCTAAATATTTTATACATAAAAGTATTAATAAATATCATGCAAATATATATTTGTGACTTTTTTTTCCTGTGACTTTTTTCCTGTGACTTTTTTCCTGTGACTTTTTTTCTGTATTTTTTTTCCTGTGTTTTTTTCCTGTGACTTTTTTTCCTGTGACTTTTTTTCTGTTTTTTTTCTGTGTTTTTTTCCTGTGTTTTTTTTTTTCTGTGACTTTTTTTTCCTATGACTTTTTTCCTGTGTTTTTTTTTCCTGTGACTTTTTTTTCCTACAATCCCAGGCCCAGCCCTCTCCACCACTTGCAGCCACTAGAGGCAGCCACAGGTTGGACACTGAAAACCTATCCAGACTTTGATCCATTGGATGGCAGGACGGCCCTGCTACCTTCTACCCACCTAGACGGCCTTGCTACCTTGTACCTACCTGGACGGCAGGATTCTCCTGTTACCGTTGACGTTGAACTGTGTAAAGCCCGTGGGGGCCATCTTGTCTCTAGCAGGGGACGCCAGGGTGTAGTTGAACTGGAGCGTGTCAACCAGCTGATTGCTCTGGGTGTCCTTGTCGTACACGTAGACGGTGGTCAGCACTGTGCCCTGCAACATTGGACACAACATTCAGCTTGGACGGGGGAAGAGGAACCTAAGGTGTAATGTTGCAGGATGATGAAATAATAAACTGAGATCATCTAAATATCTGTGTCTACTTCTCTTTAACATCAATCTTGGAGCAGAAACTTACCGGCCATCTTTTGACCATCTTTTGACCAACTTACAGGCCATCTTTTGACCAACTTACCGGCCATCTTTTGACCAACTTACCGGCCATTTTTTGACCAACTTACCCGCCATCTTTTGACCAACTTACCAGCCATCTTTTGACCAACTTACCGGCCATCTTTTGACCAACTTACCGGCCATCTTTTGACCAACTTACCGGCCATCTTTTGACCAACTTACCGGCCATCTTTTGACCAACTTACCGGCCATCTTTTGACCTACTTACCGGCCATCTTTTGACCTACTTACCGGCCATCTTTTGACCAACTTACCGGCCTCTTACCGGCCATCTTTTGACCAACTTACCGGCCATCTTTTGACCAACTTACCGGCCATCTTTTGACCAACTTACCGGCCTCTTACCGGCCATCTTTTGACCAACTTACCGGCCTCTTACCGGCCATCTTTTGACCAACTTACAGGCCATCTTTTGACCAACTTACCGGCCATCTTGACCAACTTACCTTCCATCTTTTGACCAACTTAACGGCCATCTTTTGATCAACTTAACGGCCATCTTTTGACCAACTTACAGGCCATCTTTTGACCAACTTACAGGCCATCTTTTGACCAACTTACCGGCCTCTTACCGGCCATTTTTTGACCAACTTACCGGCCATCTTTTGACCAACTTACCGGCCATCTTTTTACCCCTATGAGGGCGGGATTGCTGTACCCATCAGGAAAGATAGTGGGAAAACTAAAAGACGATTCGTCTGTCTCGAGGCTACCCAGGTTCAATTCCGCTAGACTGCAAGGCGCGCCGGCTCTAGAACAAACAAGCAATTTCATGATGTGGCAATTTTCGTAATGGGGCAATTTTCGTCATGGGTAGTTTTTGTAATGGGAACAGTTTTTGTAGTGGGCAGTTTTTTTTTTGTTTTTTTTTTTTCTTGTTTTTTTTTTATTTTTTTATTTTTTTATTTTTTTTTTTAATTTTTTTTTTTGAAACGTTTAGTGCAATTAAGCATCTCTTATTTAAATACTTGGGCAGGATAAATTCGGGCAGTTTTTGGCAATTTTTTGTGTGTGATTCAACAGTAGCTTCTACGGGGCAGTTCTTGTAAAATACAGGCATATGATGTTAACTAAGTAATTTCAACTTACACCTGGTTGGGTCTCGGTCCAAATGTTTTTTTCTGACTAGCCTACTTAAAGTAACACACATAGAACCCATCTATGCAGAATGAAAAGATTCACACAAGAAAAAATAAGCTGATTGACAAGTATTAAAATGGGTGAGAAACGCAAACCTCCTTTAGCCACTGTATACAGCGCTACTTGTTTTGCATACTAATGTTCCTTATGGCGTACGTCTGTCACTTCACTTCGCCTGTATTAAATTCTCTTTACAATTTTACAGATAAAGTTGGTTAAGATTCATGTTTGGTTTCAGTGCATCAGTACTAATCTACGTCGTATGTCGCTTCTTATGATCATCCTTTTTTACTGAACTGAAGAAAAAGCTTTACTTAATCTTGCACGAGTTGTCTTCCTTAATTAAAACATTCTGAGTTAGTTCCCTTTATTGGGCACTACATGAGTATTAATAGGGACTATTTTTTTTTTAACTCCGCGCATGTTTTGTTTTAAAGTAGTGACCCACCACACTGATAGTACTTTGTCGTGAGGCTTTGTTGGATTAATCAATGGAAGTAATTTAAAATACATTTTCTTTGTTAAAGGAAGACAAAAACCTAAGACCGCCCACGGAGTAGCTAAGATTTTTAGACTGCAGTTAAAATGTAATATGTCAAGCCGGTTACTTTAGTTTTGAGTCCTTACATTTTAAAACGTTCATAAACTTCAAGTTGTGTTACATGTGCGTTGTATTTAAGGACCTATGTACTAAACGTTTCCGTGAAACAATGGATTCCACGACCAGCAGTTTAAAATCCCATCCGTGCTATAAATAGATAGACTAGTACACATACCAGAGGCAACGGATTAGAGGGGTGGTTGTGGTTTATTTTAAAATCAGTCAGGGGTGTTTGAACAGATTCTATTTGTCTTACGTCATGGCCGCCATATTTGCGCAGGGGGTTGGGGAGGGGTCACGTGATGGTTGAGTGAATCACTCTAGGCTTGTCGGGGGTTGTACCTGTGCGTGCATATTGACCAGGAGGCTTGGTTCACTGAGCTTGCATTCCCTATAGGCTGAGCGGGGGTTCGGGTTGGCGCAGATTCCAAAATCACAAAATTTACATAATCCTCCCATAACTAACTTCAACTCTTTTCTTTAATTAAATTTTTTCTTATTTCTTTAAGTTTCTTTTTACTTTGTTAATGGCCAAAAAAGCCAAGATTAGCTGCATAAGTGCTAGCGTAATTATTAGCAAAAATAATGAGTTTTTTTAATATAAAATTACTCTGATGTTTTAAACGGTGTGGTTAGCGTACAAAAATGCACTTCTTTTTAAAAATCGTTGTTATACTCACAAGAATAAATTCACTCCCTTCCAAAATCAAAATAATTTAATTCAAATGTATGCAGGTAAAAACAAGATTTTTTATGAGAAAAAAGTCTAAAGACCACTCACCCCTCCCCGATACACACGGTTATGCTGTAGTCGCATCCCTTGGTGCAATTTGCCTCCCTTAGCTCGCCGTCGCAACAAGTGCCGTCTTCTTGCAGACTACCCGGGTTCGTATACTGATCGAATTTTAAAGAAATCTTCGCGGAACCTTCAATCTCCAGAGGACACTGAAACAAAAAATTGTATTTAATAAAACTCAATTGAAATAACCGAACGACTTAATAAATTTTAAATCAATTAAAAAAAAAAAGAATAAAGCAAGATTTAGCTCAACTGAACTGTCTTACATATTCTTACATGGTGGAAACTGAATATAAAGTTTGTGGCAATAGAGGCGAAAGGTTCGGAGAATTTGCAGCTTTATCAAAATATATAAAATTATCAAATTCTTAAGGTGTTTTAGAAACCTGAAATAAAGTACTAGTTTTGTGTTTCCCGGCAATCGCTCCAAAGATGACATAAACACACGCACAGGACGTAATACTTCTATATGAAATTTCGACGATCGAAATGAAACGATACTCAAGTTATGAAGTACACACACAAACACACACAGACGCACACATACGGACAATATTGCAAAAATGGTGGGGGTTTTTTTTTTCAAAAAAAATTTTTTGCACGATTTCAAAATTCACTCCGATTCTGAATATATGGGAAAGTAAAAAAGGAATATATATACTTTTTTTTTAATGCGTAGCTTTAAGTTCAATGTCATAGCACCCAAGTGGCCGATATTGTTGAAAATTTTGTTCAAATTATTTTTATTAAATATTTTATATTTTTCAGGTAGTCGAGCTTTCCGGGTTTTTTTTTGTTCCTACTGTGGTTATATAACAATAAAAAGTGTGTTTCTACTGTGGTTATATAACAATAAAAAGTGTGTTTCTACTGTGGTTATATAACAATCAAGGGTTGTTACATTTGTAAAGTTCTCTGAACATGTCGAGGCCAATGGTTTTCATGAAAATAAAAAAATATAAAATAATTTTGACGGAAGTTTGGCTCGACAAATGCTGAAATAGAATAAACCGGGAGTGATCTCCCCTAAACTTTCTCGAATATTCTTATATAAAATAACAGGGGATGGGAACTCGGGCTATAGACATGATTTTTAATCCATTTTAAATACTTTAAGTTTTAAAAATAGAATAAAATGTCGTAGACAAATTAATTGCACACCAAGTGAACGCGAATAAAAAAGCGCATAATAGTGCGCAATATTATTAGTACTTTTAAAATTTACATTAGTTTTTTGAGAAATCGGAAGTAGCGTAAATAAGTACTTCCGGTCAACGAAAAATTCTCAAAATTTGACAGAAGGTAGAGAATTAGATCTTTTACTTACATATCAAATTTCATCTATCTATCTGAAATAGTACTCAAGTTATAGGCTTTTGAAAAATTCAAAGTAGAAAAAGTACCACTTCCGGTTATCCGAAATCGCTCAAAAGTTGATACGGATCTACGATTTTGATAAAATACTTGTATATGAAATTTCATCAACCTAGCTGTAACGGTACTCAAGTTATCGTGTTTACACACGGACACACACACACACACACACAGACACACAGACATACGGACAAGATTGCAAAATTATGTTTTTCCGTATCAGTGAGATGTAAAACGTCGAGATTTGCAAAAATCTCGATTTTTTTTTTTTGCACGATTACAAGACTTTCTCTATACTTCGTATATACGAGAAAGTAAAAATGTATGGCGCTTTAACTAAACACTGTATTTTTAATCACTGCATGGTTAGTGTCTTACCATTGAAACCTAAACCCCAGTAATTTGGACCTAACCCTAAATCCAAGTAATTGGGACATAACCCTAAATCCAAGTAATTGGGACCTAACCCTAAATTCAAGTAATTGGGACCTAACCCTAAATATAACAAAACTCGACAACTTACATGAAGTATAGCGACCATAAGCGGGAGGATTATCCACATAAATCTCTTAATCCTGACATTTGGCGAAGTAAAACTTCTAGGAAACATGGTATATAAGTCACAAGAAAGTTTTCCCAATTTATTATCAGGAAAGTTGGGAATCCTGAATTAATATTTACAGCAATCGCCTGAATCTCACAATTACATAAGTCTGCATAAATTACGTTCAAATACTCAGCAATAATTAACTTTTAAAAACGACTAATTTATGTTTAAATAAATTCACTTTCTATACTGAATTAACTATTTTTAAATTTTTAAACTAAAAAGTAGAAAACATTTCTCATGTATGTTCACGATATTAGCGGCACCTTATATACCGACACGCTAAACGGTCTATACAAATGTCATGTATCCATGTGCTGGCGCATTAATCTCTAATCCAAAGACAAATAAGTGCAGTCACAAAGTAGTACCAAGTGCTTATTTTTCGCCATCTCCCGTTAATGGGAAAGCAAAACGAACGCAAGGTGACGCTCCTTCGCTTTTGTTAGCTAAAGGTTCGTTTGTCTGTGTGTGTGTGTCAATGAGCATTGTGTCTCTGTGTGTGTCCACTGTGTCTGAACAATATGTCTATGTGTGTGAGTAAAGTTCGTGTATGATTATTGTAAAAAAAAAATGTGAACACGTGAAGACGCAAAAATTAATACATTTATTGGTTACATGAATTCGACACAATATTAAAATTATGGAAAAAAACATAAACGTATCTATGTGTGTAGACAATGTGTCTGTCTAGACAGTTCACTGTCATCGAACCTGCCCAATACACCTGTTCGGGTATGCCCGTTGTCTAAATTTATTTCAGTCGTTGACTTAGTCAGGTAGCTATTTGTTCACTGACAGGCAGTGGGGTGCGCAAATAATCTGTTATTTAAATACATTGGTTGCACCTCTTTCTCTGTGAGACTTGCTGTCGATTTATACATACACACATACACACACGCGCATATATATATATATATATATATATATATATATATATATATATATATATATATATATATATATATATATATATATATATATATATATATATATATATATATATATATATATATATATATATATATATATATATATATATAGGGAAAGATGGGTCCAAAAGTCACGGGGCAAGTTGACAAAAACCGCATATGGGCATAATTTGTTGATTAAATTTCGAAACTATTGCTAAGATCCTTACACAAATGTTAACTTATCGTGGTAGAATGAAGCAACTCTTTATAAGTGGAATTTGATTTTTTTTTTTAATAAATGTTTAATTAAATTAAATAACGTTAATTAAGATGGAGAATTGTATAAGTCAATCTATTTTTAGAATACTTGCAAATAGTAAGTCTAAACACATTAAGAAGCGTTTATTTAAGGCAATACTCTACCCCAAAAAATGTGTTTGTTTGGGTTAATTAGTTAATTAATTAGGCTCCTAAATTAATTAAGTTGCGACTATTGCCAACTGCCAACGCAAGGCGTGTGGGTAACAAATGGTGCGTCTCTATAACCTCTTTACACAACCCGCGTCTCATAAAAATCGTGAGAGTTACGGTTCTTGCTCGGCCTGTCCCGCGTTCTTTACCCTAAACGTTTTCATCGATGGCGTTCAATTCAAGGTGTTTATCTAAGTAGCTGTTTCGGCTCCTCTGTCAACAGCCCACTGTCTTCAAGCCGTTATAAACCCCCTCCCCCCCCCCCCAACGGGCGTGAAATCGGAGGTATCCGGGATGTATCGGTGCACATGGGCTGAAAGCGTGGTCCCTTTACACGCCGCTCCCTGGAACAACAGCTAGGATGGTCAATTCCCACCCCACATACTGACAAGGAGAGGTCCCCTCCCACATGATACGGTTATAAGCATTAATGCTTTTCTATTCTCTACCCCCCCCCTCCTATCAGTCGATTTAAACATAAACATATATACAATTGTATACAATATACGCCTGCAAGAAGCGGTGTTGTTTGTTTTTTTTTACATATTCTGAAGCAGTAATAGTATTTGTTTCTACCCCCCCCCCCCACGTCCCCCACCATTAAGCAAAAACTGATCCCAACCCTCCAAAAGTTAATGCCAGAATCATGTTCTACAATGCGAATATTTCACAACTTTGTGAACAAGCAGTTTAAAAATTGACATTCTTATTTTAGGATGCGCGCTGAGTTTGTCTTTGTGTTGATTCCAGTATTTGAACGAGTCTGCTAAAAACGTCATACCACCCCCCCCCCCACCCCCACACACACATAAAACCTACACATACTAACAGGCCCGTTCGTGGGTTAACCCACACTGTGTAAATTTGCAGCGATTAGCCACAAGCCGATCAGAACGTAAGAGCTTACCCACCACTGACATTTTTAATCTCTAAGCGCAGTGTCAATAGTTTTCAAAAGTTACAATATGAACAGAGCTTTCACTGAACTCAAGTCATCTGACGCCACTGATTAAACTGAATCTTTTATTGGTAGAAATTTATGTTATTTGAAATTTATAAGCGTATTTTTATATGGGAATTTCATCACCAAATATTTTGAAATATTTTATTTCAAACAAAACTGAATATTTTTCGTAGAAAAATAATAAAGTGACGCGTTCAGTAAATTAAAAGAGACGAAAATTTACAATGATGTCAGTAAAATCAAGATGCCTTGGTAGCTTTTGTGAAAACATTCGTTTTATTAACCAAATTAATTATAAAAGTAAATAAGCTAACGTTTCGAACATGGCCTAGTCATATGAATAGATAGGTAGTCAGAGCTATGCCCAGCCATCTTTACTTTCACTAACGTAGGCTAACATCAGGGCTTTGTGGACTCAGACTGAGGACTAAGATTTGAACACAAGATTTACGGGTTTGCAGTCGTACGCTCTAACAACCCACCACGCAGTCTCAATATTAAATTACCCTATTTAAATTACAATTGTTTTTAATAACTCACTGCTACACTCCAGTACGTATCAAGATGTTTATTGTACACAATACAATAAACACAGAATGTATGTTGCGAAATTTGTATTTGTATATTGTTGTCAATGTTTTATGCGCTGACAATATCTCATGTCATACTTTAGGAAAGAAGTACATTGATAGTATTTCCCAGCTACATATCACTCATGGAATGGCGTGGTCGAGAAGCAAAGCCCACGAATAGTTCTACGGAGTTTGGGTTCGAATCCCCGCGAACAAGGCTCAAATGGCTACTTGAGTAGACGGCTGGGCCTTTGTAATGCTGGCACTAAAGACATAGGAGCAACAGCTCATTACATAATTAACATAAAAATATGATCCTACGTACTAAATTAGCATACCCTCCTAAGTCCATGTACATAACATGTATTAACTTAACCAAGTAGGCTACATGCAGGGCCTATATATAACAATATTATCTTATTAATTGTTTTTTACAAACATTTCCACTAAGATTGTGTCGAATCTGGTGATGTTGCTCTCTGTCATTCAGTGCTTCAATGCAATCATTTTTTAAATAATTAATTACTTGAATAATTCACCCGCCCCACACGCCTCATACGATAACAAAGTTCACCCACCCCACACCCCTCATACAATAACATCACAAAGTTCACCCCACACCCCTCATACAATAACAAAGTTCACCCACCCCACACCCCTCATAAAATAACAAAGTTCACCCGCCCCACACCCCTCATACTAGAACATCACTAAGTTAACCCATCCCCAACCCTCATACAATAACATCCCCCCCCCCCCCCAAACGAAATACAACGTATATAAAAAATATATACTTTTACCTCTCCCCCGGAGAATAAAATCTGCCCTCCCCCCTTCAAAAAAATCATTCAAGTGCCCCCCCCCCCCCCCCGCGCCCCCCTCCCCACCCCCCGGAGAAAAAAAAGTCTGCAAGAAACACTATCTGAATGGTTGAGGTTTAGCGGCCAAACATAGGAAAAGGGTCTATATAATAGAAGTAGGGTCAAACTTTAGCCTGTGTGATCTACAAATCCGACCAGTGTTTCTTTCAGACTTTTTTCCCCGGAGGAGGGGGGACTCTTCTTCTTCTTCTTCTTCGTTCTTAATTATTAGTGTTGAAGGGGATCGAGATTTATCTGCCAGTGGGTTTGAACTCGAGACTTTGTTCGAATTTATCAACCATGAGCTTTTTGCCGACTCGACCACGTCTCCAACACAATTAAGCGTTACGTGTCAACTGGTTATGCGCCATTGAGGCCATTGACTCCGATTTCAGCCTGCTTTTCTTTTTGGATTTGCTTCCATAGCCTTTGTCCAACCAAGAACAAACTACAAGGCAGCAGTTGTTTAATTTTGGAGTTGTCTCTCGTAGAAGAGTGGCTGTCCCCAGCTAACGAGCCTCATCTGGCCGAGGGTTCGAACTCGAGACTTTTTTTGGTATAGCAACCATGAGCTTTACCGACTCGACCACGCCGACCACTGGAGGGGGGACGACTTGAAATTTTCGGGTGGTTTAGCCCCCCCCCCCCCCTAGGAATAGTTGCCTAAAAGAGACTCTAAATGCGACTTTTGTCAAGTTTGAGCTTTGGTGCAAGGTTTAAGGGTATGACTACGACTTTATTTAGTATGAATGTGCTATAACTACGTATAGATCAAGGTTAAATCAGGCCAAAATTCCAATTCTGGATAAAAATCCGTTTTCAATTTCAATTTTCGTTTCTGGTTAAATTTGAAATTGAGGTGGTGACTTTGGTTTTGGTTTAGAGAAAATTACAACACTATCAGTATTTCTCCCTCAACGGTTGGTCAGAGAGAGACTTGCTAATCCCCAGAAATATCAGATAAGATTCACTAATGTATGTTGTGTTGTATGTTAGGGGTCGTCCATAAATGACGTCACGCTTTTTTGGACGATTTTTACCTCCCCCTCCCATCCATAACACACCGTCACAAAAAGCCAGACCCCCCCCCCAAAAAAAATGACGTCACGCCTCAGCCTACAACCCCCCTCAAAAATGCAGTTGAATTTTTTTTTAAACATTCTATATTTTTCCAAAATCTTGTCTAAAACTCAGTCAAAATAGAGTATTTTAATCAATTCCTATTAGAATCTACAATTTTTTAAAACAGTTTTCTAAAACGCGAAATAACGTCTAAAATTCGTTTTCTAACATTGCTTTTTTATAATGCAAAAGTGTGACGACGCACCATCTGAACCCCCCCCCCCCCCCCCCCCCCCCCTCCCCGTCATCACACACCGTCACAAAATTACGGACCCCCCTCCCCCTACGAGTGTGACGTCATTTATGGACGACCCCTTACTAGTGAAATGAACTGTGAAAATTAACATGTTTATAAGCATAAAATGTAAATTGATATGGGCCTAACTACCTATAGTTTTTTGTTGTTTTATAAAAATTCCGTAGAGACTTAAAATGTATCCTAAGCCTAAGCAGTCTAAGTCTAGCATGATCAGCTGATTGAGTTGGCCTATTTTGGCATTGAGATTAAAAGCTGTTGATAGATCTAGATCTCAATAAAAATGAGCGTACAATAAAAATAACACACCCCTAAAAGGATAAAATAAAATTTGTGGTTAAACTAAAAAGTTTGTTCATATTTTAATTACGGTCCATTTACTAGATACAAAGCACCTATTTTATAATATTGTTTCACGTTCACGTACATCAATTTATGGTTTTTATATAACCCAAATTCACCGGCGGAAGTAGGAAAGTCCAAAATTGCTTTCTCACCTCCGTTGACTGCTTCTATAAATTAAACAAAACATTTTATTGTTGCTGTAAATTTGTTATTCGTTAAACCTATAAAATGGCAGCCACGATGAGCATAACTTCTGCTGGTAATTACATTATTCTTCTAGATGTTGGCTAATCTAATCTAAAAATGAAGAATCTAGGCCTAATATCATAAATGGAGGCCAGCGAGTTGACGAGATTCCTTCTATAATGTTGTTGACATGGAGTAAAAACGTGATTTTTAGATTTAGACCGTAAAAAAAATAAAAACTTAAGCCTAAAATTAATTTAGAAATTTTATATTTTTAGAATAAATGCTAGATCTAGATCTATACTATAAAAGTTGCAAATCCAGAGAACTTGAAAATAATTTGTTGAGTTTAAGGCTACATTTCTATTTATTTTTATCAAGCCTAAGTTATAACCGGATGTTTCACTTTCGTAAGACAAATATTGATTGGCTGTACAGTAACTTAGAGATCGATAACTATTTGTTTACAAAACTTTACAGATCAAGTTTTTAAATTACAATGCAAATTTAAAACCCCATGACCTAGTTTTCTATTTTTAGCTTACAATGTGTACAATAAAATCAATGGCGGCCTATCCAATAGCAGGATGCCATTGTTTATGTCGCCATTACACGTGAAAACCAAATTGTTTTTGCTTTTTTTTTAAATTTTATTTAGTTACCGAAAATATTAAAAACATCAAATACGTCCAATCTTTAGTAAAGTCCAAAAATAACCAGAAAGACAGGATTTTATAACCATATTAATTGTAACTACGCCGTGCAAGATTTTTAAATTAATTTATGCACCTCTCAAATACCTTTGAGACTTTTCTCGCTCGTGTCCATTTAGGGTTCTTCTTCTTTGCTTGGTTCCACTTCTTGGCTTGGTTGTCACTGGACCAAAATGTCAAAAGATGACACAGTCTTTAGCTTGGACAAATCTAATCTAGATCTAGTGTAGTATTTATTTAACTCTTTTATTTTTGTTTTGTTGAGTTAGTCTTTAAATCAGTAGTTCTTCACCTTTACGAGCAACCAAACCCCACCAGTTTCATATGCACATTCACCAAATCCTTCTTATTCTTAATATTTTTATTATTTTTGTCCGCCACAAAATCCAATTGTTAGTCATTTGATATGAGATGGGTGTGTGAATTGTGTGTGTCTGTTTTGACCTCCGCTGAACCCCTGAGATAATCCTTGGTTAATAACCACCGCTCTAGTTTGTAATTTAGATCTATATGATGATTTACTGTTTTAGTAAGTTAAACTTGAGGTAATGACTAAGAAAAAAATTGCCACGTTAAAAAATATAGCCTATATGCCTTAAAAAATCTAGGGTTTCTTGCTTAATCTACACAATTCACAAATTAACAATAGACTGCATCAAATCAATCAACCGTTGACTTGGAAACTAGAATGGACGTTGGGTTGTTAAAAATCCTTCCATTATTGTTGTTGACATGGAAAAAAAAATATTTTGTCAAAGTGCGCTAATAGCAGACAAAAAAAAAATTTAACTCATGGGCCTAAGCTGAAAATTGTTTTAAAATGTAGCCTACTATTTTAAGAATCAATGGGATAAAAGTTGTTAATTTAACCACTACTCTAAAATACAGTGGGTTTTTTTTTTGTTGTTGTTACATTTGATTAATCTGCCTGTTTTTTCATAAGAGTATATTTCTTCCCAACCAAAAAATTATTGAAACTCTAGCCTCTCCTAGCTTGGATTTAGCTGTTCATGAAGTTGCCAAGATAATCTATTGCACTCAAGAGACAAGTATTGATTATTTAATTAGTTGTCTAACTTACACATTTTTAAACTTTATTTTCAGCCGGGGTGATATCTCTTCTGGATGAACCTGAGCCACATCTAAAAACATTTGCTCTAAATAAGTTAGACAACATTGTTGATGTCTTTTGGGCTGAAATTTCAGAGAATGTTGACAAAATTGAAGTTCTTTATGAGGATGCCAGTTTCATATCCCACCAGCTCGCAGCCTTAGTGGCTTCTAAAGTTTACTACCACTTGGGAGCATTTGAGGAATCTTTAACCTTTGCCCTCGGCGCTGGACCCCTTTTCAATGTAAATGATACATCAGAATTTGTTGAAACCATCATTTCTAAATGTATTGACCATTACACTAAAATGAGAGTTCACAATGCAGAAGTTACTAATGAAGCTGATAAAAAGGAGATTGATCCAAGACTAGAAGCTGTTGTAAATAGAATGTTTCAGCGGTGCCTTGATGACAAACAGTTCAAGCAGGCGGTGGGCATAGCCCTGGAAACAAGAAGAATAGACATCTTTGAGAAGGCCATCACTCTGGCTGATGACGTACCCAGCATGCTGTCCTATGCCTTCAAAGTCTGCATGTCTTTGATACAAAGTCGCCACTTCCGCAATACCATCCTTCGTGTTTTAACCAATCTGTACATGGGACTTGGTACCCCAGACTACATCAATGTTTGCCAGTGCTACATCTTTTTGGATGATGCTCAGGCTGTTGCCCATATCCTAGTGCAGCTCACCAAGGGAAATGAGGACAGTGTGCTCATGGCCTATCAGATTGGGTTTGATCTGTATGAAAGTGCAACCCAGCAGTTCCTTCAGCGCGTGCAGGCAGCCCTGCGGGTTGCCGCCCCTGCTCCAATATCTGCCCCTCCTGCTATGAATACAAAGAAGCCAAGCAGCAGCACAGAGCTGAAAGAGACAGAGACCCCAATGGAGACTGACGAGAGTAGCGTGAGCCCAGATCCTAAGCCAGTGAAAGATTTGAGCACTTTGACTGAAGATGAAAAGCGTCAACAGGAGCGCATTGAACGCTTGCACACAATTCTAGGAGGGGAGACTAGTATTTTTCTCCGCCTCCAATTTTTAATTAAAAACAACAAAACAGATATGCTAATCTTAAAGAATACCAAGGACGGTGTCCGTAACTCTGTGTGCCACACTGCTACTGTCATTGCCAACTCATTCATGCACTGTGGAACAACATCTGACCAGTTTTTGAGAGACAACCTCGAATGGCTGGCAAGAGCCACAAACTGGGCCAAATTCTCGGCCACGGCCAGCCTGGGGGTCATCCATAAGGGCCATGAGAAGGAAGCTCTAAATTTGATGTCACAGTATCTGCCTAAAGATATGGGGCCAGGGTCATCATACTCTGAGGGTGGAGGGCTGTATGCTCTAGGTCTGATCCATGCAAACCATGGAGGGGAGATAACTGACTATCTCCTAAACCAGCTGAAAGAAGCTTCCACTGACATGGTCCGCCACGGTGGGTGTCTGGGGTTGGGGTTGGCTGCCATGGGATCAGCCAGGCATGACATCTACGAGCAGCTCAAGTTCAACCTGTTTCAAGATGATGCTGTAACAGGAGAAGCAGCTGGTCTAGCTATGGGCCTGGTCATGTTAGGCACCAAGTCCTCTACGGCTATCACTGATATGGTGCAGTATGCCCAGGAAACCCAGCATGAGAAAATCCTTAGAGGCTTAGCTGTTGGCATAGCCCTCACTATGTATGGTCGCCTGGAAGAGGCTGACGCGCTGATCGAGTCACTTATGAGGGATAAAGATCCCATCCTGCGTTGGTCAGGCATGTACACCCTGGCCATGGCCTACTGCGGGACTGGAAACAACCAGGCCATTCGCAGACTGCTGCATGTCGCTGTGAGTGATGTCAATGATGATGTACGCAGGGTAGCCGTCACCTGCCTGGGTTTCCTCCTGTACAGAACCCCAGAGCAGTGCCCCAGTGTTGTGTCCCTTCTGTCTGAGAGCTACAATCCTCATGTTCGTTTTGGTGCTGCCATGGCCCTGGGTATTGCTTGTGCTGGCACTGGCTTAAAGGATGCTATTGGACTTCTTGAGCCCATGACCAATGATCCTATTAATTATGTCCGCCAAGGAGCACTTATTGCATCAGCTCTTATCCTGATCCAGCATAACGAGTCTACCTGCCCTAAAGTAACCCACTTCCGTCAACTGTATGCTAAAGTTATTGCGGATAAACACGAGGATGTCATGGCCAAATTTGGTTCCATTCTGGCCCAGGGTATCATAGATGCTGGCGGCCGCAACTGCACAGTTTCGTTGCTGTCTCGTACAGGCCACACCAACATGGAAGCAGTGGTGGGTATGTTGGTCTTCTGTCAGCATTGGTTTTGGTACCCACTCACCCACTTCCTCTCACTTGCGTTTAAACCATCTTGCATTATTGGACTGAATATTGATCTCAAGATGCCTAAGGTTGAGTTCAAATCCAACGCCAAGCCATCCATGTTTGCCTACCCACCAGTTCTTGAAGAAAAGAAGGATAAAGCCAAGGAAAAGGTATGTAGGCTTCTTATTAACAGAATTTAATAGAGAATTTTCAAATCTTTATTTTTTGTAGCTCATTTTAAAGTTATGTTTGTGTCAAGTTTTGCTTCTTACAAAAATCTTATAAATGGACTTTTCATCAGACTGTAGCTGTATTACATAGTGTTGTAAGGATGTTTTATGTATTAAAATAACACTTGGTCACACTGCAACTATTACAATTCTATAAAAATTTATTATGCCAAGATAAATTGGCTTTTCTTGTATGTATACACCACAGTCAGTCAGTTTAGATTGAATTCCTTGAAAATATTACCTGATTGAATTCTTCCACTTATTTGTTGATCAAGTGCAAAGTGCAAGGCTACATATCTTTTTTTTTTTCTTTCAATCAAGCTTTTGAATGTTTATATTTTACTTATACGTTACAGGTAGAAACAGCAGTTTTATCCATCACAGCCAAACAGAAGAAGAAAGATTTAGAGAAGAAGAAAGACTCTCAGACCAGTGTTGATAGCATGGATGTTGATGAAGTTTCATCTAAAAAGGAGCCTGCTGGGAAAGATAAAAAAGATAAAAAGAAGGTGTGTTGAAGATAATTATTTCTCAACTGCCTTGTTCAGAACAATTAAAAACTTTATGTATTTTAATTAATGAATTTTTTTATGTTAATCATTGTATGTCTTGCAGGAAGCCACATCCTCAGATAAAAACAAAAATGCAGGAGAGGACGAATCATCAGAATCTCTGCTCACAGAATCTATCACAGAAAAGAAAGAACCAGAACCAACTTTTGAGATTCTCTCCAACCCAGCCAGGGTTATGAAGGTAGGTTTGGTGTTGTCCACATTTCATGGAACCAGTGTAAAGTATTAAACCAATGTAAAGTAACCACCACCATTAGTCTGTTGATGGTCTCACACTCCTCATCTGTCTGCAGGCCCAGCTGAAGGTCCTGACACTGGACACCCTCAGGTACTCTGTGGTGAAAGACTTGTCCCACGGTGGCATCATCATGCTGAAGAACAGCAAGCCAGGGGAGCAGGAGGACATTGTGGAGACAGTGCAGGCGGGCGGCCCTAAGGCTGAGGAGGAAGAGGAAGAACCTGAACCCCCAGAGGCATTTGAGTGGACAGAGGATTAGGTGCTTGGGGTGTTTAGTTTTACAGTTTTGGTTTTATTTTCAAGCATACATCCCTGTTGGGCTCATATCATGTCCATTGAATATTTTGTTTACATTATGGCTGTTTTGGAGACAATAAAACTACAGGCAATTGATTGGTCTTGTGCTCAGCTTCTGTTGGTTGCTTATAAGGTTCTGAGAAAATTGTATTTATTTCAAACTTTTAATTCTGTCATACTAGTTGTAGATCCTCAGTACTGGGTCTAAGTGTATGTCAGCCTCTAGGGGTAGGCTGTGACTACATCTAGAGTGGAGATGATCTATCCTTCCTATTTCAGATGATCTAAAGCTGTCATTTATTTTAGTATTGTTTTCATTCAGTCTCATTGTTTTTGTTGAATACCAACATTTTGTCCCTAGAATGGGTTGTAGTTGTGCTACCATCTTAATGAGGATTATACCTATTTGTTGTTTATACTATGTATGCTCTTCTCATTTTTTTTTAAAAACCTGAATATTCAAACATGTCTTAGTAGAATTGTATGAGGTCAGCCTCTTTTGTCATACATTGCTTAAGACAAAACTCAAGTCAATTTACCAGAATGTTTATTGATTGTATTAAAAAAGATTAAAAAGCAAAAGCTGTTTAATTTTGTACAAGTGTGAGATGAAAAGTATGATTGAATTGTTACAATTGTCATTTAAGATATTTTAGTGGTGACATTGTGATCAAGATTGAACATGTACAAGTAGGTTAGTTCGATGAAATTTTTTCTATAGCATTAGGTTTTATGGAAAACTTGTTTCAATTGAGGTATACAAGTAACAAGTTACCTATTTAGGGTATACAACCATCTTAAACCGTCAAGTTGTAGGACAGGTGTATCAACCTCTAAGCTCTGCCACAGTCATTACTGTCATGGTGGACAGGGACACAGGGCAAAGTTCCTGTAAACCGTCAGGAATGGTGCTGAAATTGGCCTATTAGTGCTTGGATTTTTAAGAAAATGTGTTTTTTAAATTAATCTTTCCAGTTAGTCAATTTGTTATATTTTGTAAAATGGCCTGTGACTTGGTAGACTTCAGTGTTGTCTTTGATGAAAAAAAAACACAGTATGAAAGTTTAAGTAGGGAGAGAGAGAGCTTTCATGATTTTCTGCTTGGATACAGCCAGTCAACACCTGGCTGTCCAGTATTTAGAATTAACGAGAAATATGTGATACAGGTATTTACATTTAGGCAGATAGTACTAAATCAATAGTTCTTGTGGTGTGTTGCCATGGTGACAGCCAGCATCTTATGGTGTATGATGTGGTGTGGTCAAGCTGACAGCCAGCATCTTATGGTGTGTGATGTGGTATGGTCAAGCTGACAGCCAGCATCTTATGGTGTGTGATGTGGTATGGTCAAGCTGACAGCCAGCATCTTATGGTGTGTGATGTGGTATGGTCAAGCTGACAGCCAGCATCTTATGGTGTGTGATGTGGTATGGTCAAGCTGACAGCCAGCATCTTATGGTGTGTGATGTGGTATGGTCAAGCTGACAGCCAGCATCTTATGGTGTGTGATGTGGTATGGTCAAGCTGACAGCCAGCATCTTATGGTGTGTGATGTGGTGTGTTGCTATGGTGACAGCCAGCATCTTATGGTGTGTGATGTGGTATGGTCAAGCTGACAGCCAGCATCTTATGGTGTGTGATGTGGTATGGTCAAGCTGACAGCCAGCATCTTATGGTGTGTGATGTGGTATGGTCAAGCTGACAGCCAGCATCTTATGGTGTGTGATGTGGTGTGTTGCTATGGTGACAGCCAGCATCTTATGGTGTGTGATGTGGTATGGTCAAGCTGACAGCCAGCATCTTATGGTGTGTGATGTGGTGTGTTGCTATGGTGACAGCCAGCATCTTATGGTGTGTGATGTGGTATGGTCAAGCTGACAGCCAGCATCTTATGGTGTGTGATGTGGTATGGTCAAGCTGACAGCCAGCATCTTATGGTGTGTGATGTGGTATGGTCAAGCTGACAGCCAGCATCTTATGGTGTGTGATGTGGTGTGTTGCTATGGTGACAGCCAGCATCTTATGGTGTGTGATGTGGTATGGTCAAGCTGACAGCCAGCATCTTATGGTGTGTGATGTGGTATGGTCAAGCTGACAGCCAGCATCTTATGGTGTGTGATGTGGCATTGCCAAGGTGACAGCCAGCATCTTATGGTGTGTGATGTGGTATGGTCAAGCTGACAGCCAGCATCTTATGGTGTGTGATGTGGTGTGTTGCTATGGTGACAGCCAGCATCTTATGGTGTGTGATGTGGCATTGCCAAGGTGACAGCCAGCACACTGGACAGTGTCATGATGACTGTAGTGGACGATGTAGCTTTGCCTGCCCCGCTGTATAGCGTGTACAGTGTCCTGGGTTTCCTGTTGGGCGCTATGCCGGCGTCGTACCTGGGCGGGCAGTCATCAAACAGCCTCTCTGTCTCCGTCAGCTCCAGGTAGAGCCTGGCCCCGTCGATCTCGTAGCTCCTCGAGTTCTGGTTCTTGGGGCAGCGGGCAGTCTCGGCTCTGGACAGGGCGATGTCCGTCCAGCTGATCCGCTCGTACACCCAGCATCGGAACTTGGAGACGGCGTCCTCCTCGTCGTACGTCACCAGGTAGGACTTCATGTCCTCCAGCCAGTAGCCCGCGCAGGTCAGTATGTGATCCGGCTCGTCGTACTCCCCAACCGGCCGCCCCCTGTAGTCCACCGTCTCGCAGTAGGAGGCGTCGATCTCGATCTTGCTCAGGTCGCCGTCACACGATTTGATCTCGGACACGTTCAGCAGACAGTTGATTCGATTCCGTGGACTCAGTGTCACACCGCGAATCCTGGTATCGTACAGCTGGTAGAAGTCGTTCGAGTACTGCCTGAACGAGTACCGGCCACCTATCGGGCAGATGACGGGAGACGGGGGGTTCTGTATGAGAACTTCGTACTTCCAATCTACGTTGTCTCGCGAAAAAGTCAGCCATTGCCAGCTGCAGGTCTCCTTGAAGGAATCAACCAGGAAATCTTTATCGCGGTTTCGTTCGTCTAAATTAAACGGCAGTTTGACTGATCGTCCAACGCGGTATCGAACAATCCCGTGATGCCGCGGTACAAGATCGAAGCAGACGAGACTGATCTCACACCTGCCCACGACGACCTTGGACATGAGGTAGCGCGTGCCAAGGTTGGCTTGACACGAGAACCAGGTCTCCTCGTAGTCGAACTGACTCATCATGGTCCTGTAGTAGATGTGGCTCTCGTTGATCCACACGTTGGACGCGAACTGGATCCCCTGGGTGAACCAGGTCCCTGTCAGGTTCCTGGGCAGGGTGCATTGTGGGAAGGTGAAGCTGGTCTTGGGCGGGACCCGCCTCAGTACGATCCTGATGGGAGACTGCTCCAGGCTCTTGAGGTTTCTGCAGTCGCCAAACCTGCTGAGGCCCCAGCGTATCGTGTTGTCTGTAGTGTGTTGGTCCCTGGACAAGATAACCATTTGTACTCGCTTAATATAAACAGCTATATATATATATATATATATATATATATATATATATATATATATATATATATATATATATATATATATATATATATATATATATATATGTGTGTATGTATGTATGTATGTACGACTGTAACACAGATTTTACCTGAGGGTCATGAGACACTTGTACTTGTCTTGAATGACACCTGTCTCATCATGTACAAGTCCAACGAAGGTGTACACGTTGTTGTTCATGTACGCCACCCAGGTGCCCATACATTTGTACCTGAGTAGAACATAAGAGGTAAGTACCGGTACAGTGTAGAACTTAACACTTAAGACGGTGACAGCCTACATAGACCTCGAGAAATTTACTGTAAGCCAAGATTTTTTAGCGGAGAAAGCCCAAACCCCAATATTATTTTTCATACATATCCATTTATTCTTTTTTCTATGATAAAACGGTTTAAAAAAAAATCTGCATGTATTTGAATTCCTGAAATATTCATATAGGCCTACATACTCCGTTGTGAATATAGCAAATCTATGAAAAATATCCTAATGATTTTATTCTATACTTCACCGTCATTATTAGAGTGGAAAAAACGATTGCTGTTTCGATTTGATGCTTTGTACATAAGCTGACTTATATTAAGAGACGTATTTTACACAAGTAGGCTAATACATTGTGTTTAAAATAATGTAGTTGGCACGTATTTTCTCATTTTTTACTGTAAATATCGCGTGAGTAGGTGGGATGTTTACCTGATCGTCTGCCTGAAGCTGGTCTGGACGTCTGGGCAGATCCTGAAGCTCATGAGGAAATCTTTGTTGTCGTAGTTTGGTGAGCCGGGGGTCTGACAGGCCTGGAGGAGATTCTCGCTGTTGTTGCAGATCCCGCCCCCTGTGGGGCAAGGCTATATTTAGACATCTCTGTAACAGTGTGGTACTTAACTCGACCCGGGGGAGGGGGTCAGGCCCATGACTTTAGGCCAAGCATTCCTATTTTTTAATTTTTATGGAAGTATAGTCTAACAATCTGTTTGGCATTATTATAAAAGCCACTAATCTGAATGCTTGCTTTGGACTTTCTATTCTAACCTCCATAACTCATAATTAATGTATAAATGGATACGCAAACGTATTGTGATATAAATGACAAATTTAAATATTTCAAGCCAAAATAAAATAAAAAAATTTCAAAAAGACAATATGGTATACATTTGTTTTAAAACAAGGTTAGGCAAAGACAACCATTGCGATATTGGCCCTAAATCGTTGATTTACTATGCATCGTCGCATGAAAAGATAATTCACCTTACATACAGGGCATACAGTTGAATAGAGTTACTCGCCTTTTTCATTGATCTCATAAGAAAACTGAAAAAGTCCTTCAATACTTGATATGCAGTCCATGACAGGACTGACTTCTTCTGCAAAAAAAAAAAAAAAAAAAAAAAAAAAAAAAAAAAAAAAGCAATAATAGCAATAAACATACTGTAAATAAATGTAGGCAGCAATAAATGCATACTCCAATATATAAATGGACACCCACTCATATTATCCTACGTGAAAAACCGTTTCCAGAAAAGCTAGGCGGACGGCAACAGGACGAAGAATTGGGCTGTTCCAGCACCCATGCTGCCAGACCGCTAGAACCGTACTTTGACAAGATACACTCATCAACTCTACCACCCGCTCGAGCCGTACTTTGACAAGACACACTCATCAACTCTACCACCCGCTAGACCCGTGGATTTTCTCGACGCTGGTGCCTTTAATGCTACAAGTTTGGGGGACAGAGTTTCTTCAAGGCATCTATTGGGATTGGGGCATTCCCCCCCCCCCCCCCCTCCGAAAGAAATGGAATTTATATAGAAAATAATATATACTTTTACCAGTGTCCGCCCCCGGAACATTAGTCCGCCACCCCCTTCCCAAATATCAAGCGCCCCCCCCCCTCCGGAGAAAAAAAAACTCTAAAAAAAACACCAGGGATACGTGTGTCTATAATAATGCAAGGGTGGGGGGCTGGTGGAGGGGGCCTAGAATGACTTGATTTAAGAAAAAAAAATGTAAAAAATGACTTGCTGAACATGGTGACCAACTCAGCGTGCTCAGTCACTTCATTGATTTCGCTACATTTGCTGATGTCTGCTTCAGTCATGCAGTCACCTGGAACATAGCGCAGTCAAATAATTGTTTGATAATGATTTCATTCGTTGCTTCTTTCTACGTTAAATCATACACATATTAAGCCGTGTAACGGCCTCTTTTTAAAAACATTGACATAAATGTTTCAATGAACTTTTAAAACGTATTTTTTACTTTCTCGTATATACGAAGTATAGAGAAAGTCTTGTAATCGTGCAAAAAAAAAAAATCGAGATTTTTACAAATCTCGACGTTTTACACCTCACTGATACGGAAAAACATAATTTTGCAATCTTGTCCGTATGTCTGTGTGTCTGTCTGTGTGTCTGTGTGTCTGTCTGTCCGTGTGTAAACACGATAACTTGAGTACCGTTACAGCTACGTTGATGAAATTTCATATATAAGTATTTTATCAAAATCGTAGATCCGTATCAACTTTTGAGCGATTTCCGATAACCGGAAGTGGTACTTTTCCTACTTTGAATTTTTCAAAAGCCTATAACTTGAGTACTATTTCAGATAGATAAATGAAATTTCAAATGTAAGTAAAAGATCTAATTCTCTACCTTCTGTTAAATTTTGAGTAATTTCCGTTGACTGGAAGTAGTAATTTACGCTACTTCCGATTTCTCAAAAAACTAATGTAAATTTTAAAAGTACTAATAATATTGCGCACCATTATGCGCTTTTTTATTTGGCGTTCACTTGGTGTGCAATTAATTTGTCTACGAGATTTTATTCTATTTTTAAAACTTTAAGTATTTAAAATGGATTAAAAATCATGTCTATAGCCCGAGTTCCCATCCCCTGTTATTTTATATAAGAATATTCGAGAAAGTTTAGGGGAGATCACTCCCGGTTTATTTTGTATGTATATCGAATGTAAACAATAACGTTAAAACTTAATTTGTTTATATTGTAAGATGTATATTGATATGTAAACAATAACGTTTAAACTTACTTTGTTTATATTGTAAGATGTATATTGATTTGTAAACAATAACGTTTTAAACTTACTTTGTTTATATTGTAAGATGTATATTAATATGTAAACAATGACGTTTAAACTTACTTTGTTTATATTGTAAGATGTATATTGATCTGTAAATAACATCCAGGCACATGTAACAGTTGGCATTTGTTCTGGGGAAAAGACATTAAAAAGTTATTAATTAAAACGTTTGATTACAGATAAAAGATATGTCTCATATCTACTTCAGACACTGTGGGTGGGGGGAGAGGGAAGGGTGGGGGGGGGGGGGGGGGGTTTACAGGCTGATTTAACTGTTTTCTACACCACTTGGGTGACACCAATTTTTTGTATGTTAAGGGATAGTGGTGCAGTAGCTGATTTTGCTTGTGGTGCGACGTTTAACAATCACTATATATATATATATATATATATATATATATATATATATATATATATATATATATATATATATATATATATATATATATATATATATATATGCCTATATGTGTGTGCATGTGTTGTGTCACACACAACAATACATTGTTTAATCCTACCCATAACACAACATGATACCTTAAGCGTTGCTTGAACAAACACATACTTACGTCTTTAACAGAATGGTGGCGTTGACGCCGTCACTGACCACTTCCGGCTTGTGCAGGATCTGCTGGTAGCACTGGACGCCCTCCCCCCACGTGCCGGAGGTGGCACTGATGATCAGACGGGTGTCCGTGCCGGAATCCCGATGGTACCAGGAGCCGTCGTAGTAGTTGGGGAACTGGCACACTCCCACGGCAGCTGAAATCACGGTGTTTATTTACAGTTGGACTCGATTTCTATTTATAGAATCTACATGTTTAATTTGTGTAACAGATTTCATGAGCCATAAATGCTTTTATTATTTTTATAGTTTTTTTTTTAGTTTTTTTTTTTAGTTTTTTTTTTTTAAAGGAAGTTTTTTTTTCAGTGTACTAAACAGTTATAAAGTTTTGAAGATTTTCAATATTTTTTTAGCCGAATTACAACATATTTACCTGGCAGCTGGAGAAAAACACTGAGAATCACCGTGGAAATCACGCTGGTCAACTTCATGGTTAGTTCCACAGGTTCCCTCTCAATGGGACATTGTTGTGTTGCCTGTTGGCTTCAGAGGGTGAATAAACTAATGTCTGTTAGTTTAGTCAAACGGAAGATGAATCACCTAATGCCTGTTAGCTTGGTCAAAAAGAGAATAAATCACCGAAGGTCTTCTGGGGAACAGAAGATGAGAATATAATGTCTCGCGACTTGCTCTAAAAATCCCGCGCCTTTCTGTACTCACCTCAAATTAAGGCCTAATGAATACAAACCAATGACAACCTTTTATCAAAGTCAGCCTGCCATTTTGTTTTTCCCTCTCAACAACTCTACACATTCAACAACAAACGTTTGAATCTACACATCCAACTAACGTTTGAATCACCACAGATAACAAAGGAAAAAATTATGCACGCTACTAAACTTGGCCAACGTGTGCTAAAGATAAAATCATATCTTGGCCTGTTGACCCCTGGGTGTTGATAAAACCAATTAGAAATCATAATAGTGTCGGGGGGCCGGGGCTAGTTTTTTAAATACATCAACTGGAGATATTGAAACACATTTCAACTGGCTAGGCTATTATTTTTTCCAGCTAGTTCTTGATATTTCGTGTAACTATTTCAAGCCCAACAAATTATATACACGATATAGTAAAGTTGTAGCCATCATTTAATTAATTAGATTTAATTCTAACGGTAATTTTCAGATATAGAGCTGGATTCCTATAACAAAATACGGTTTTCGGTTTCTTGAATGAGATGAGTCTTTAGAATTTGAACCAGACAACACTGTCTCTGCTGTTGCTTTAGAATAGGTCCCTTGAGATATAAACAAACATGGTACACTTGGTTGAGTTGCAATGATGATGCTTGCGTGTAATGAACATCGAGAAAAACATGGTTCTTTAATATTTGGACCATCTTGATGGTAATTACTTGACAGATAGACATGGATGTACCGAGTGAAAGTTTTCAAATATCTCTGACTAAAGCTCAAGCATTCTTGCTGGTATTCCAGCTAAAGCTCAAGCATTCTCGCTGGTATTGGATGTTTTCCCGAAGTTTTTAGGTTTCTCTGGCCCTTTATTGAACAAGTCCAACACCCTGACCGCTTTGACAGTTTGTTTGCTTACATTGGTACTACAATCAACCCAAGATCAAATTGTATGCTTTGGATGAATTTGACCCCAGCCCATCTCCACGAACTAATCTAACGTGAGCGACTTGTTTTACCCCACTTACTTGATTCCCCCCCCCCCCCCCCCCCCCCGCGCCAACCAAATTGAATGACTACTGTTTTAGCCAACCACTGACTTGACCCCCCCCCCTCCCCCTCACACCAAATTGAATGACTACTGTTTTATCCAAAGTTTAAAAAAAAAAAAACAACTCATTATCTCTACACAGTAACCTCTAGATAAAGCGCCATGTTTAACGAGGTTAAGGACTTCAAGTACTGACCAGTGGGATGTGGTTTGGCGTGTGCTCATTGTTTCAGCAACAATCATCAGTGACTGGTGAAGGATGAGCGATTAAGGTAGGTCTGAAAACTTACAGCAGTCTTTAATATCTCTACATCAAACTAAAACATTAGGTAGGTCTAAAAACTTATAGCTGTCTTTAATATCTCTACATCAAACTAAAACATTAGGTAGGTCTGAAAACTTATAGCAGTCTTAAATATCTCTACATCAAACTAAAACATTAGGTAGGTCTGAAAACATAGCAGTCTTAAATATCTCTACATCAAACTAAAACATTAGGTAGGTCTAAAAACTTATAGCTGCCTTTAATAAATTAATATCTCTACATCAAACTAAAACATTAGGTAGGTCTGAAAACTTATAGCTGTCTTAAATATCTCTACATCAAACTAAAACATTAGGTAGGTGTGAAAACTTATAGCAGTCTTAAATATCTCTACATCAAACTAAAACATTAGGTAGGTCTAAAAACTTATAGCAGTCTTTAATATCTCGACATCAAACTAAAAGGATGAGCGATTTAGCTAGGTGAAAACTTATCTTAGTATTTTAAAAGATTTTTTCTGCAAACTAAAACATTTCTAACATGAGTGATTAAGGTAGGTCAGAAAACTTATAGCTGTCTTTAATATCTCTACATCAAACTAAAACATGATATATTAGACATATGTTAGCATTGCGATTCTATGAGACATGTTGGGACTGATTTTGTCTATCACGGAGGTTCTGTCAGACATTATGTCATTAGCTTAAAAGGCATGTTCAAATGACAACAGCTAAAAAAGAAAGCAGTTGTCAAGTACAACTTGTTGACATTACGATAGTACTATTGGTGTAATTGTTAACTTCTGTCATAAAACTTGTGTCAATGTTGACATAACAATGTACTTAAGTACTTTAGAATTGTTAACCTGTTACTGTTAAAATGCTATGTAACCAAAAAAAAACCAACAGCATATTGTAGCTTTTACATAACTTTATTCAGTAAAATATGTATTAAAAACATTATAATGATATGGAATGCGAACTTTGAATCTAGTTACCGTAGAAACCATCATACAAAATACCAGAACATTTGCTGCAACAAAGCTTTGAAATGGGGGTTTTAACTGATGGTAGAATATCTCTCAAAACTCATTATGCATAAAAATAGTAACAGAATAAAAAATTGCTACGAATAGTTCAGTTTAAGAGAACAAAAACTTTACAAAATATATTTTTGAAAAGATAACGCATTTTTAAAATCCAAATGTTGATTGTATTAAAACTGAACCAACCTTGAACAGTTTTTGAAGAAAACGTTATTTGAACGAGGTACTTAAAATGCTGATTGACAGCATATGAGAAAAGGGACATAATTCTGACAGCAAAATTTTAGACTTTTTGTGTATTTGTGGATGGGCGGAAAAAATAAAAATATGCATGACATTTACAGATAACCCCTAACAACATTTAGGGATATCATACAAAGATTTGCATATTTTATATACACATTATAACACTCATTTATTCAAACAAAAAACAAGGCACAAATTCTTCTCATCACATATTGATAGCAACTCTACCATCAAGAATAAAATGTCTACAAGCCAATGTTTAAAAAAATATCTAAGATGATAAGATTTACACCAGACAAAGTGGAGCAGCTGACATTAAAATCAAATTTTAAATTGTGGTAGTTACTTTTTCAAACTCAATGAACTTGAACCTTGACCTAGCAGCTCAAGCTATTCTTAGCCTTAGTTTACTGTACAGAGCTTACATTACAATGATCAAAACGTATTTTATAGCAACAAGGGGAGTTAACTGCCTTTATTTACATCTAGTAAAGACTGAATTCATAAAGTCATGTCAGGTATGCTGTAGTGTGTTGGAGATAACAAAACATGGTGATGAATGAGTATCCATTGGTACTGACAGTTGAGCACATGGATGGTACAGATGGGGGCGGGTGGGGGGGGGGGGGGGGGGGAATCAATATTTACAGACACAGTGAGTGGCAGAAAAAGATCTCTCTCACACATGAAAACATTTGCATGTTAATGGATGATTACACAAGGAAAAATTAATTTCTTAAAAATATTAATAGAAAAATAATTATATACAAAATTCAGATCTAATCCAGCTTAAGATTGTACACGTATGTGACTGTACACCTATTTACATTTCATATAAGTAATACAGGTGATATAAAATTGTTGATTTGGTCAATTTCACTGCACTCAAGTAGCCAGATCAATTATTTGAATCAGAGCCAAATTTTTTCACACTTCAGAGTTTTACACACATTGCCAGCCACACCTCATTTACCAATCTCACATGTAATTCAAACATTTACTCACTCTAGCTAGACTCACTTCATCAAGATGTGTGTGACTAGCAGAACTATGAGAGTATTCAACAAAACAGCTACAGGTACCATTCTAGCTGGGCTGCCACTGAGTACATAGATCACAGTGGGCTTTAGGTAAGGGTTAAGTCCTGGGTCAAACCTCTGGGGGCAATCATCATCTGGGAAGTTATTGAGAGGAAATGTTTACAATCAGTTTTACTAATGGAAATTAAATGTAATCTATTGATTCGGCTAAACAGAACATTAAAAAAAATATAGGCCTAATGCTTTAAAAAGTTTATTTTTTTTATAGCAAATAATAATTTGCTTTAAACTAACTACACTTTAAATAAAATTGTAAAAACTTTATTTTTAAACTGAATTGTATTACAATAAAACTTTTAAAAAATCATTACATTTCAAACTATTTATAATTTTGTTTAGTTATAATATTCTTGGCTATTTAAGAAATTCATATTTCTTAATGGTGATTTTTAAGTGTACTACAAATTTTTAAGACAACTATTGTTAGAGTACCACTATTGTTAGTGAGATATTTTGATGGACTAGTGAAGTTTGGCACAACTGAAGTGAGCTGTTTGTATGAAAAGTTGTACTCACATAGCCTCTCACTTTCTGTGAGCTTCATGTTGAGGCCAGTGCCCTCTATCATGTAGCTCTGGGAGTTCTGCTCACGTCTGCAGCGGGCAGTCTGACTTCTGGACAGAGACAGGTCGGTCCAGCTCACACGTTCATACACCTGGCATGAATGATATGACATCATTGTATGTTAGCACCAAATTATTGTTTGGTTAGAGTTATCTTGAGCTGTACATAAAAAAACCTCTTATAACCAGATCCAGACCCACCAAAAGTTATGAAAAGATTAGACAGGACCTACCCAACAACGGAATCTTGAGATGGCGTCTTCTTCATCGTATGTGACCAGGTAGGACTTCATGTCCTCCATCCAGAAACCCACACAGGTCAAAATGTGATCAGGCTCATCTGTGCAAGGTAAATTCATTGTTGATGTTACATTCACAACAGACCATAGTCAAATGTACTCAGGGCGAAAATCAACTCATAAAAATGTAATCAAAACTGAATCTATTAAAGGTAAGGTGCGTCTACAATGCCCAGGGTGGTTACTAAAATTTCCAGCAATTTGATGCTGAGTTATGCAATAACCGTATTGACCATCCCATTATCCTCTGTATGTACCCACTTCACCACTGCTCTCCCCTGCCCTAACCACAACACTGACTCAGACACTTACCATACTCTCCAAGAGGCCTGCCCCTGTAATCAACACTCTCACAGTACTCCTCATCCACCTCAATCTTAGACCTGTCCTGGCTGCAGGATTTGAACTCTGAGACAGTGATCCTGCAGTTGATGGAGTTACGAGGTCTGTCAGTGACACCACGGATCCTGGTCTTGTATTTCTCTAGCTCACCATTGGCATTCTGGATGAAGCTGTACCTGCCCCCAATAGGGCAGGACACTGGTGAGGGTGGGTCCACTAGTAGACACAAGTTTTTTCAACAGTTAGATAACCAGAGGGGGAATGGTTTGGTCTCATTATGACTGGCTGACACAAGTTTTTCAATAGTTTGATAACCAGGGGAATGGTTTGGTCTAATTATGACTAGCTAGATTCAAGTTTTACAACAGTTAGATAACCAGAGGGGGGAATTGTTTGGTCTAATTATGACTAGCTAGACACAAGTTTTTCAATAGTTTGATAACCAGGGGAATGGTTTGGTCTAATTATGACAAGCTGCATACAGATTTTAAGTCATATAATAAACTACTGCACAATGGTTAAGTCTATAAGTATATAATTACTTGAAGCATAAAGGTACAGAAAATAATCATTAGCTTTAAAACAATACGTTGAAATGCAATCTAAAGAAAAAGATTTTAACTAAGGCTAGTAGAACACTATCACTGTACAATAATACTATGAAGATTTAATATCTGAAGTTTGACATTACTGTTGGTTTATTTGGACTAGTAAAATGGACTAATCTGAAGGTTTATATTACAGTTGGCTTACATAAAGTTGAACGTGTAAGCACTTACTGATCAGGACTTCATACTTCCAGTCTGTATCATTACGGTTAAAGGTGAACGACTGCCAACTACAAACTTCACGGAACTTTTTGGTCATGAACTGCGGGTCTGCTATTTCTTCTGGTGTTAGACGTGAAGGCTTACCTTGGGTGGACAAACAAAACAAGAAGTTATGGCAAGGGAGACAACTAACTTAGAAGGTAAAGAACTGTTAATAAATAATAAACAGAAACACAAAAAATGTATTTCCCACCACGAGAAATTCAATTTTTTAAATTGTTTCTTACAATAGAAGTTTTTTGAGAATAAATTGATTAAAAGTCAGGTGAGCATTACAAGTTATTAGCCATGGCCACAGAATATTTTACAACACTCAATTGTGAACTTAAACATCCACTAAGCTAATAGCAAAACTAACTTATAAATTAATTTAAATGACTACAAATAGTAATAGTATTACAAAGTCAAGTAAATATCTACAAAATATGTTTAACTCACCAACTCTGTACCTGACAATTCCATGGTGTCTGGGCAGGATATCATAGCACACAAAGTCAACCTCACTAACGGACAGAAATTTATAGTTTAAACATACAAATCTCACTAAATGTCAGAATGTTTCAAGTGTATAAAGATTTCATAACAGGCTAAAAGTTTATCAAGATTTGAAAACAGAATAAGTAATAAAAGTACTTAAACATTGTAGGCCTAAATCAAACAAACTTAAACTTTAGGAGAGCGTATCTGATGAAACTGACCATGTAATGTACTTGGCCATGACCAGTATAAAACTTATAAAGTAAGAGAGCGTATCTGATAAAACTGACCATTTGCCCACGATGTACTTGGTCATGACCAGAATAAAAAGTAAGTGTATCTGATAAAACTGACCATTTGCCCACGATGTACTTGGTCATGACCAGAATAAAAAGTAAGTGTATCTGATAAAACTGACCATTTGCCCACGATGTACTTGGTCATGACCAGAATAAAAAGTAAGTGTATCTGATAAAACTGACCATTTGCCCACGATGTACTTGGTCATGAGGTAACGGGTCCCTAGAGTCTGCTGGCAGGAGAGATACGTCTCTTCAAACTCAAACTCATTCTTGGTGGTGAAGTAGTGGATGTGGGTGTCATTGACCACCACGCGGGACATGAACTGGATCCCCTGGGTGTACCATTCACCTGACACATTCCTCGGCAGGTTGCACTGTGGTGTGATGTATGGTGTCAGGGGAGGGACTGAAAGTGTCCATATAAAAATATTTAATTATCTCACTGAAACTTTCTATCTGATATAATATTAGGTTAACAGAAGATGCATTGAAACTTTTTTTAAGTCACCTGTAACTTAGATTGTTGGGTATTATAAGGACATTTTATGTATATTTTTCATTCTTAGAATGAAGGTGAGGACATAAAATAAAAAATCTTTCAAATAAGCAAATTAAGGATTTTTCTGACAGATGTAATTAAAAAAATATCTAAAATACAAAATTAAACAAATGTGGATTAGCCTGGCTTGTCAGTTACAATAATTGCAAGATTACAATAGGTAATCTTTAAAAAAAAAGAGAGAAAAAAATTACTTCTTCTGAGGACAATTCTGACTGGAGCTTCATACAAGCTGTTGAGGGATGAGCAGTCAGCAAATCTGGACATAGCCCACCTAATAGAATTATCTGCTTGCTTTTGATCTCGATTTGTCATCTAGAAAACAGGAACTTAATATGTAGTTTATTGATTTAAATTAAAAGTAGCAAAATCTAACAATGTAAATTAACAATAAAAAAAGAATTTTCAAATGAAACTTTAACTAGACAAAAAGAGAAGCTGATGAAAGAAGTGCCACTCATTTTATAAGTGCACCCTGAAATTCAACTGCCCCAATTTTACCAACCCTAAAAGAAGGAATTTTAAAATCCCCGAACCTTATCATCATCACTTGATAAATTAACTTTACTATGTTTTGATTGCTTTTCAATAGTTGATAAACATCAAATCTAGTACACTGTATTTAAATGCCTTAAAACAATATTTAAGCAAAAACTCTAACAGGTTGTGCACAAACACAGTAAAACAAAAATTACAAAATTATGGCACAAGATTTTATTATACTCTCGCATGATTTTCACCTATATAATTCTCTTTTTACCAAATAAATATAAGGAGAAAATAATTGCTCATGTAATCTCTACTGCATTTACCATGCACTTGTATTTTTCCCTAGTATCCTTCTGTACTGTATCAGCAATGGCAGAAAATGTGTAGCCTGTATTTCCAATAACAGCAAACCAGGTACCCATACATTGGTAGCGAATAGCTGAAAGTAATTCATTACAACTTATTACCATCAACTGTGGTGTTTAAACTATAAAATAATGCAGAGATAAAATATTTAGTTTGAAAGTATACCTACTTAACATTTGTATGAAAACTCTATAAAAATTTTATATATGAAAACCTACTTAAATTTTGAATAAAAACCTAAATAAAGTCTATATGTGAAAACCTACTTAAGGTTTGTATAAAAACCTACTTTGAGATCTTGAAGTCTGCACACTAGGACACCTGGCGTATGTGATCAAAAACACCTGGTTGTCAACATATGCTGACCCTGGGTCCTGGCACGCCTTGAGGACACTGTCTGGGTTGTCACAGATACCACCACCGCCCCAGCTGACTTCATACGTGAACTGGTACACGCCTTCCCAAGTCTCAATACAGTTCACAGTCTTTAGTGTTTGACCTAAAAATAAAACAAGTCTCCAGGTGAGTAGAGGTGGTTATGTATAGTGGTCAACTGTCCAGTCAACTTAAAAATTGCATGCATAAGGATACAAACTTCTAGGGAATTAAAACACACACAATGAGTTTATTTTTAAACTATTTTTTTAATTAAATAACAAAACTAATTAGTGCAAATAAAAAAAATTAAAAATAGCTTATCCGTTTAAATAAAATAATTATCTAACATGATGAATATAACACTAAATAAATAATTATACTAGGCACTAAGTATATATTAATGAAGTTTAATGTGTATGATTTCTTGCTATTAAAGCAAATAATTCTCTGCTCTATTTCAAGAAAAAAAAATGAACCTACGGAAAAGTGTTGTCAGTTGGTCTTGAGATGGAAGTTGGTTGACACCTTTACACATGACTTTGAAGTCAGTTTCTGTTGTGAAGCAGCTACCTGAATAAACGTGGCAGTTAATTAGCTAATGAGCTTTTTCTTATCTCTAGCATTGCCAAAAAATGTACAAGAATACTATGTCGACATATCTAAATCAAAACATTTCTCAATTATTAACAAAACCTATTAGCCCTTATTTAAAATTAAAATAGCAAAAAAAAAAAAAAAAAAAAACACAGCTAAAATTAGATATAAGACAATGCAACTCTTGCATACATTTTGTTTGGTTAAGTTTGAAAACAGTCAAATTTAGATACTACACTTACTCTTCCTGTACTGAAGAATATTTGGAGTTCTCCATAGAATATCAACACACATAAGACAGTTGTCTCCCCCCCTGAAGATAAAAACAAACAATTGATCTTAAAGCTTTTCTCCATATGATGAAGTGCTATTAACTATTGGATTATCATTTATTTGTGTAAGATTAATTAGCCAAACATTCTTTAAACAGCTTTAAGAAGGATGAAAATATTACAATAGTATTTAAATAAAATAAAACTATTTAAAATTATTACTTATTACTTCGTTAAGACAGATTTATCAAGTGACATTAAATGAATGATCTCTTCTTCTTCTTCGTTCTTAATTATTAGTGTTGAAGGGGATCGAGATTTATCTGCGAGTGGGTTTGAACTCGAGACTTAAATGAATGATGAATACGTAAATCTAAGCCAATAAACAGATTGATCCTCTATGTTGTTTTGCCCATCTCAATAAAGTCAATTGTTAATATTTCTGAAAATAATTCATTTATTTCAGGGAAAAGCCCAGAATTTTTGGCTTATCAGTAAATTACAGTAGACTTCCAGGAATCTAAGGAGGCCAAAACAGTAAGCTTTTTATCACCTGTGCACCATAAAATATCTGTTATCCTAAGTTTATACATATATTTAAGTTTTACATTAAGTAAGCAACACTAAAATAAAATGTAACATGAAGCCTTACACTGCTTTCTTCATCAGCATGGTCATGTTGACACCTTCCACAAACTGGGCCTCTATTGGATGCTGGTACTGTTTCAGGCAGATCATGTCACCCCAGCGGTCTTTGGAAACTGGAGTAAACACATCGGCACCAGTTTCCATGGAGTACCAATCTCCTAAATATGAATCGTGTATTGGACATCCTGCAGCTGATTGAGCTATGGGAGGAGAAATGGTTGCATACAAATTAATCTTTGTAATCAATGTGTAGTACTCTGTAGGTTTAAAAATTGTGCACTTAGAACACTAAACATTAAATATTTCTAGTATTACTTTAGTGTTAAATCATTTTCAAGTTATAATTTAAATTTAAGAGTTAGGTTTAAAGACAGATATGTTTGGCCTATAATTGTTCTCTATTACTCTTCACTGGCCAAAGCTGCATACTCCCCCATGACTTATCAAAGGCTATCAAAACACAACCATTCTATTTCTAGTTTCATAATTCTTATTTGAAACATAAATGATGCTTACTACTGAACCGATATTGGGGATGTTATAGACAAAACACCAGTAGCGTAGCTAGGGGGGCGGGGGGACACATGTCCCCGGGCGCCAACCTTAGGGGGCGCCAAAATGGGTTGGAAAAATAAATTGAAAAGTTGAGGGGGGTGCAAATCGAACCTTTGAGGGGGGGGGGTGCAAATCGAAAAGTTTGTCCCCGGGCGCCGGGAAGGGTCGCTACGCCTCTGCAAAACAGTTTTTTCTGTTTTTGACTTAACAGGAAAATGCAGTCTCGAGTCTGTAGAATGATTGGCAGTGATTTGTTTAAGTTTGAAGTTTGTTATGGATCTAGGTCTAGAGATCTAGATCTAGAGACCTAGACCATTGCAATTATTTTTGTAAAGGAATTTATTTATGTGTAAAAAAGAATACAATTATTCTTTTTCTTGTCTCACACACGATATTAATAAGACTAACTGGCTCTAGATATCTAGATCTAGATCTACCACTATTAGTAGATATAGAAATCTAGTACAGTACAGGTAGAGCACAGAGGAGTTTCTTTCAGGCATCTGTTGTGCGCCCCCCCCCCCCCCTACCTTCTAGGCAAAACAGGGGGAAAAAATATAATTTATAAATTATAGTGTTCAGTTCATAAGTAATACTTCCTTATATTTGTAAGCCTAGGCCTCTAACTTGAAATCTAGATCTACCTGAGTAGACCGAGTTTTTTATGATGCTTCTCAGAGCTTCTCGTTCTCACTGTTTGGTTATTTCCGGGTTTTGTTTCCAGTGTTTTAAAATAATTTAAGAATTTAAAATCTTACGAAAAGATACCCAGAAAAACAGCAAGTACACTAAATATCAGTGCAAAAACAGTTGATGAAACAAATACCTTCAGAAATTCTAACAGTCCCTGCCAGCAGCACCGTGAAAACTAACACGGTACCTATCGCTGTTGACGCCATCTTAAAAGTTTTCCCCCGTGTCCCCTGTCGCCAAACCGAGGCTGACATTCAGGTGTGTGACACAGTTCCAGTTGAATAATTCCTTCTGAAACACAAGAGCAACTGTAGTCGGCCAGCCGATCCTACACGGTCGGCGGTTGGTTTGTAAATAATGTTGGTCTAAATCATCTAAATGTCGTATGTAAACTTAAAACCTAAACAGTATTTTCTTTTAATAATAATGTGAGAACGCAGGCCTACAGGATTAAGAGAAACTAAGAAATAAAAACTAATGTTAGTATTAGTTTGTTTTTTTTTATTTGTATGAAACTTTAATAAAGGCAAAAAGACAGCTAATAACTAGATCTATAAACATTACAGTATATTGCGCACTAATCTAGTTTTGATACAACTTTACAGTTTAATATAATTTTTTTCGCGAATTATTATACGTATGCCTAATAACCGTTTACTTGATAAGCAGTGTTTCTTTCAGACTTTTCTTCCGGGGGGGGGGGGGGGGGGGAGAGGGGGCGGACACTGTTAAAAGTATATATTTTCTATATAAATTTCATTTCGTTCGGGGGGGGGGGGGGGGGGGGGGGGGGGGGGGGGGGGGGGGGGGGGGGGGGGGGGAGCGGGTAGACTCTCCTCGGGGGTAGGGAGGGGGGGAGCGGGAAGAGATGCCTGGAAGAAACACTGTTGATAAGTAACTTGATAAGTAGGCCTAACTTAAAAGCAAAAAATCTCATCTGATATTTTTTAAATTAATAAAATAAAAGACGGAGTGTTTGGAGTCTTTGTTTTTAAGGTTTTTGTTTCAATTTGTTTCGGTTCCTACAAACACATTTCCAGAAGCGGTGTTTTGGGTGGCAAATTGGGCGGTTACCCCGGGCCCCCGCTCTTGACTGCTCAGCCCCCCAGCGATCAGAGTTTCTTCCAGGCATCTCTTCGGGGGGGGGGGGGGGGGGGCTTTGCCCCCCCCCCCCCCCCCCCCGAAAATTTTTTTACCGCCCCCCGAACGAAATGAAATTTATATAATTTATATAGAAAATATAGGGCCTATACTTTTAACAGTGTCCCCCCCCCCCCCCCCCCCCCGGAGAAAAAAGTCTGGAAGAAACACTGCAAGCGATTTCTTGCTCTATGTGTATTTCGTGACTTTAAAATGAAGTACTATGTGCAATACGGAACGGATATTCACTTCTGATTCATGTCCAGAGTTTCTTCCAGGCATCTCTTAAAGTCTACCGCCACCCCCACCCCCCCCCCCCAACGAAATGAAATTAATTTAGAAAATATATACTTTTAACTATGACCGCCCCTCTAGAAAATTTTAGTACGCCCCCCCCCCCCCCCCCCGTTCATGTCATTCTTAGCAGCAAGTAGGCGGATCTTGCTACAACATCTTTATCAAAACGTTTGTGTGATATCGTTATATCTTTAACCTATCCTTATCAGTTTCTCTAGGTGAGCGGGTGGTAATTGGCGGGGTGTAATGCTCTATTGTATTTACTGGGGGGGGGGCTACAGGGGGCTATTGACGAGCGGTAATTTATAACAGGGAGGGTAATGTCCTGCTACGATATAATAATATAAAAAAAAAACCCTGAATTTGACCAAAGCGGCTCTCCGTGTCAACCACCGCCTTATTATCAGCGTGTAGGCCTATACATGTTTAAAAAAAAAGATTGAACTAACAAATTAATGAGTTAATTTTAATTTTATTTTATTTGCTATACAAGAAACCCATAGGTCGGGCCTATGCTTGCTCGCTCTCAACGAAAAACTGAACGCGCTGCTCTATTGGACGGCTTGAAGAGTCGGGAACATCTAGGGATGTAAGCATTAATTGTATTACTCCATTGAGACTAAATAGCCGTAGAAGCAGAGGCGTAGCGAGGGGGGGGGGGGGACGGGCGGGGTGCGGACCGCACCGGGTGACACCATTTAGGGGGGTGACACCAAGGCAAAAATAGCAGGGTGACACCATTAAGTGCCACACCGGGAGACACCCAACCTCGCTACGCTAATGGGTAGAAGTTATGGCTTGGTAACTCGGGTTAGGACTGGCCATAGGGCTGTAGTTAGAGGTCTTTGCTAGACGCAGTTGAGTGGTGGGGGAGGTAGCTAGCTACAGTAAGACGTGGCTTGCTAGCTAATTTTATGGCTGTTCACTAGACACAGTTAAAAGTGGCTTAATATACGCAGACTGAGGCGGCGAATGTAACCAGCACACAACAATGGAGTTATGATTCGTCTTAAGATCTGTTGTTCAGGTTCAGTGTATGTACCATAGGAGGTCTGCGAGTTGGGTCGGTATAGCTTATAGGTGCTAACACGAAACATCCCGAGTTCGAAACCCCAGGCAGATGAGGTTCGATAGCTGGGGACAGCAACTCATCTAAGAGAGAAAACTCTAAAATTAAACCACTGATGCTAACTCGGCATCACTGGGTGTATGACCTTCCAGTAAAGGTCACCGGCCAGGGCGCAAGAGTTCTCAGATAAACTTCAACGGCCACGTGTTCGTGAGCAAGCCAGGTAGGGCGAGCCACCTAGGTGTAGATGTGCTATAACAACTATGTGAAGATTTGGACAACAACAGAGAATTAATCAACAAAATGATCAGTTATATAATGTGTTTTTTTTAATTTGCAATTATTGCAACAAAGACAAATCGCATGATCATAAGTACTTCAGTTGTGATTATCGTTCTTGGTCATCACCACTTCAATTGTGATTATCGTTCTTGGCCATCACCACTTCAATTGTGATTATCGTTCTTGGTCATCAATGTTTGCTGATACAGTGATATGGTTAATTCTAATACGAGAGCCGATGGCAGGCAACTAGTAAATACTGTGATAAAAATAATGAAATAGATTGTATGCCTCTTCTTATAATTATGCTCACTTGTCATTCTTGTCACCATCATTGAAAATGAAGGCGATAAATCCTAGATTCTCTACTATGGCAGTTAATAAAATGTCGACAATAATATTAACTAACGATGTTGATAGTAACTTGTATGTATTGTAAAGTATTTTAGATCTATCTGGCCGTAACAACAGTCACTGATACTTAAACATTACATATCTAGAGTTTTATGTATTGCTCTTTGTGATGTTGTGGGCATCTAGCTGCATATAATTAGTAAACGATTCTCCATGTCATTAAGCTCAAGAGTCATATTTTATAATTTTTTGTCATTGTGAATAGATAGTTCCCATTGAGTAAGGAAATTTTAGAAAAAAAGAAATGATCCAAAGTATTTTCTGAGGTCAGTGAAGTTGGCTACATTTTAAGAGACATTGTTTCACACTTTTCCCATCACTTTCTAGAAAATGAGAACCAGACAGCTCTTCTGTGATTAGTGCAGCAACTTTTAAATGGCTTTATTTCAAGGGGAAAAATTAAAAAGTAAAATAAAATACAACATGAATAACCATCAATCATTTCAGCTTACTGCTGTAATTACATTTATTATCAAATTTTTACAAAATACAATTTGTATCACATCAAACAATTTGTTTACATTTTACATCACACCACACATTTTACAAAATGTATACAATTTTACATCACTCAATTTGTAGCAGACCACATATTTTACAAAATGGATCGCATTTTACATCACACAGTACAATCACAGACTGAAAATGTAATAACTAAACCAAGCTGGTATCAAACAAATAATTTCAGCTGTAGCAAGTTGTTGAGCATCACTCTATATACCACACCAACCTATTGGCCTACAAAAGTCGTGCAGAGATATACAGAGGAATATCTGTGGCTAGAAGCTTTATTACTTTATACAATCAACTACAGAAAAACTAAAAGAGCTTTAAAATTCATATAATAGTTATGATTCAAATAAAATGAGCAAATAACATGACTAAAACTTGGAGATCAATATTAAATTATTTCATTCAAAATGGTATTAACATTGTTTAGTTGCTGCTGTCCCAGAATGCAGTTGTTGAAACTATTTTTTAAACTGCACAAGATAACGTAAACAGACTTGTGCTGGATCAGAAACAATGTACTCCGTCATGATGCTGTTTGTTATGTGACTCGCCTGCGATGAGTTTTGGGCAATGCTCACACCTGTCATCAAAGAAAGTTTCAGTAAATGTGTAACTCTTTTAAAAAAATTAATATCAAAATTTAATTCTACGAGCACAGTTAGACTAGGGTGAAGTTACCTGAGGGTAAGATGAACCAATCCGATGGACTGAAGCAATATGGATGACTTTGGACAACAACAGAGTTGTAGGACTTGTCACTGTTTTTCTGTGCATTACCTGCCCTTTGTTCTTTATAGTAGTCTTTTATTTCCCCTAAAGCTACCTGTTACATTAAAGTGATGTAAGTTGACTAAAAATAATGGTGAAAATATTTTTAAAATAGAAAGTTAATCACAAATTTCTATCTGCAACTGAATTTTGATCTTGGCAAATTTAAACTGACTGCTATGATTCAGTTAATTTAAATTGCTCTTCAGTCAATGGAGAAAAAAAAATTATTTCAATGATCAAATGGCAAATAAATTTTGCTGGTTGGTATCAATAGATACAAAATATTGGGTACTGTTTAAAAGTGGATTGGCTAAATTCTAACACATGTCAAACGTGAGGTCTATTTGTAAGAAAAGTTTTTAGACACTCTGCACTTTGTGGATCATTTTCTACCATTGCCTAATAAGCCTACTGAGTTATTTTAAGGCAAATTTTAAGCTACGTTTAGCAAGTGATTATGTCATCTACACATACCTCACACAGTAACATATACATGTTTCCTGAATCTGACCACACATAGCTGGCACTTTTATTGAATGAATCTGACAAGTAGATGCCCTGGAAAAATAAATTTTCCGTTACTATCCTCACATATTAAACAATACATGTACAATTTTTTTTAAGTGTGTATATTGTGTGAGAATGAGGAAACTAAAACTTAAACTTTTAAAAGCGCAGTTAAAATAAAGTTTTAAATGTGTAAAGTTTGTTTACTTTTCCGTAGGCCCAGCCAGACATTCTGGCCTCAGGTGGAGCCACCAGCAAGCCTCTGTTTAAAATACTCAGCAGGTTGCAAGTGTTGCTCCCATGCCACAGTAGACGCCTGTTGCCCAGACCAGTAGCCTTTAACCTTTGCTCCTCACCTTGTCTGTGTACTTTGTAAATGCTGTTTACTTTATAACCTGGAGTAAAATAACACATTGGTATTTATTCATAAGTCTGTAAAAAAACAACTTAAATTGAAACCAAGAAAATTGATAACTTTTCTGCGTAAATAAAGGGAATATTTAAATTAAGTAATTTCCTACCCAATATGATTCAAATGTGTATCATCTAAACAGACATTATTTAAGTTTAAGAACAACAAAACAGTTGAGTTTATTTTGGCCTGATTAGTTAATGGATACATTTGAGAGCAATTTTAATTTGTATTTTACTCTAGTAGACAAAAACAGAATAAAAACATGCAAAAATTAGAGGAAAAATCCAAGGAAACAAAATTAGAAAAATAAAATACCTGGACCAGTTAGGTAAATATATTTAAGAATCATTTGAGACATGGCATCATCCTGGCTCATCATCTCCACCTGGCAACCCAAGCTGGCATACACGTAGTCCACAGGGTTGTACTCTGTGAACAAAATTGATATTCAGACACTGTCTTTATGAGGCTTAACAATAGCTTAATGCTGGAACTAACTAGACATGTGTTATGGGAGAACTGAGGGTGATTACAGTTGTTATTCACTGTTTGTTCTCATTATCTGTGCATCCTTCTTGGACAAGAAGGTTTACAAAACCTCAGCAAACCAACTACACACTTAAGCAGTATGCTGTATTAAACACGTCTACCTCATCCTTAGACTAGCTTTCAACTGCACAAGCAGAGCTCCCCTCCATTTCATATGCCTGGCATGTAACCTAGAGTGACCGGAGAGGGAAGGGCATATGTGTTCATGTCTGATCACTAATTGAATCTGACATGCCATCAGGCCCCACAGAACTGTGACATTGAAATTATGCTATATTGGTAAAACAGGAGGGAGGGGGAGTGAATGGGATACCAGCCAACAAAAGTGTAACTTTAAACCAAGAAAATTTTATGGGGATGGTCAAAAATAATTTTAAAAAGATAGAAAACACATTAAGAAGAAATAGTTTGATCTGTGTTGACAATTCACAAACAATATTTGACCTGTTTTAAAGTGCATGGCTGCCAAGAGCATCTTACAGGCCACCTCATAATCAAGGAGGTTGCTGATGCTGTACATCTGGCCCATCAGTTTTTGACGTTTGTCCAAAGGTCGGATCTTCTCATAAGAAAAGTTTTTACAGGGTAGCAGATGAAAGTATTCATTGCTTAGTTCTGCTATCTGAGGACAGATATTGGTTAAAAATGGTTACTCTCTCTCACATCTTCCTCTATAATAGGCTTATAATATATATAATTAAAATAAATATATTTATGATATTACTTTTTCTAAATTTGCTTGGTAAGCTTCCCTCAGTTCCTTCTTTTCAACCTCTGAGTGTGGTGCTGACCTAAATTCTTCTACCTTGTCAACAAATTTTCTGAAATAATAAATAAAGTTTTCTGCATAGAATTAGAACTATAATTTGTTTTAAAATAACTGGATTATGTTGTTTCTTTTTGTTATGAGCACAAATAAAACAAAATCAACATGAGGTTTTCGAAGCGATTTTAAAAACTTAGATCTTTCACCCCACCAATTTTATATCTATTATTGAAATCAGTCAAAGTTTTTAACTTACTCTATTTGTTCTAGAAGCTCTTTCCCTCGCAGTAAGGTCTCTTTGTTCAAGTTGCCAAATGTCTGTGATTGAATGTTCAGACATTTGGTCTTGTTGACAGACAGCTGCATCTCCTTGGGGTTCATCTAAATAAACAATAAAATAAAGTCATTTAATGGAAAATCTCTAAACTTGTGTCATATCATGGAATAATCTCTAAACTTCACAAAAGTTTTTAAACTTGATAGCAAGACTTACTATAGTTTTGATGAGCTGATAAAGCAAGGCTTACCATAGTTTTGATGAGTTGATATACATATTTGGGCAGAACTGATGGAGTACTGCTAGTGAGGTCAATGTCAAGGTCCTTCTGTGGGGGTTGAGTTTTCCTGGCGTTGTCTTCAACAAGCCTGTACTTGTTTGGTTTTCTTTCAAAGCTGAACACAATTTCATACAATGTTGACAAAACATCAGGCAAACTTATACATAACAAACAGCTGTTGTAAAAGTACTTATTCTTTCACCATACTACTAAAATATACTTTCATTATCACCAACCTACTAAAATGTATTCATACTGTCATCAAACTTATTAAATGTTCTTAAAATTGTCTCCAAACTACTAAAATGTTCATAATATCGTCACCATACTACTAAAATGTACTTAATATTGTCACTTTACTACTAAAATGTTCTTAATATTGTCACTTTACTATAAAATGTTCTTAATATCGTCACTATACTACTAAAATGTTCTCAATATTGTCACTATACTACTAAAATCTTCTCAATATTGTCACTATACTACTAAAATGTTCTCAATATTGTCACTATACTACTAAAATGTACTCACTTCTTGATGTCAATCCATTTATTCCCACTCTTCTCTCTAAATATTTTCATGAATTCCTTCACCGCCTGTTCCCTATCAGGGAATGGTGTATGCTGGAACTGACCTTTGTCCTCTATGCGACCCCATCTTGTAAACAAAATATACAACGATTTGCTGGGTTGAAATACAAGCTGAAATAAGAAAGAGTTTTTAAAATTTTAGATTTTCTAAATTGAGTTTTAAAAATAACAAGAGAAGAAATATTTTTTAAATGGGTTAAACAGGAAAACATATTTTATAACAGCCATCTTAGTAACATTATACAAATTTTTTTACATTTATTTCAGATGTAGATAATTGGATGATTAATTAGATCTAGCTAATAGTAAAAGCGATGCACAATATACTGGCTATTCAAAACTACATTGAAGCACACAGAAAAAAAAATCACCTGAATTTGATAAAAGTTGTATAGACCCCATTCTCCTTGTTTGACATCAACTTTTGTCAGAAGAACATCATAGAATAACCCAAGCTGTTCATCTTTAACAAGCTCCCTGAAAACAGAGGGAATTGGAATTTTTTTTTATAAGTTTTGAATACGATCAAACACATTTTTTAAAAAAATAGCTAAAATAAATAAAACTTTGAAACTAAGTATTTTTTTAAAAAATTATTTCAATTTATAAATACTGAAACTATAGATTAGGTGTTTATAAATTATAATTTTATAATAATATTCATTCCATCATATTTATAGTTGTAAAAGGTGAAAGTTAGAAAATGTTTTCTTGACAAACCCATTTTTGATGTTACAGTTAGAATCCACTAGGTGGAGTTCAGTGTCGTCCACATCCATATTTAAATCATGCACTTGTAAAACTTTGTCTGCAGCATCTTTAAAATCTGGTACATTTTTTAGTGAATGAGGTAAATTATCCTTTATATGAGAGTCTCTTTCAGTCCTTGCCTTCTGTAAATAAAATTTTAAAATTCTGATACATTTTTAATGTGAAAAAACACAAAGAATTTTACTATAAAACAATATGATTGCTGTGTTATTGTGTTTCACCCAAGCACAATTAATCTGCTATTATTTTTTTAAAAGAAAGAAATATAAATAAATACATTATTATTAGGCCTATTAATAAAATATTTAATTTTTAAAATCATTTATCTAACAACATAAATATAATTTTTAAAGATGGAAATAATTTCAACTTTTATAAATTTTATTAAAAAAGAATAAAACTCCTTCACAAATGAGAAATTATTTAATAAACCAAACTTCAGTAAATTTGTTTACCTTGTTTTGTTGTGTTAAATTGAAATGCATTCTCAATACATTAGCCACATTATCTGCCCCTGTCTTCAGTGCCAATTGATAGGGGTTTAGCCCTGAGAAATCTACTGTCAGTTTAGCACCGGCCTTCACCAGCACAAAAGCAATTTCAGCATTATCAAAAGTGCCAGTGGCATGTGTCCTGCAGGTGTAGTGAAGTGCTGTCCATCCTTTGTTATCTTTGTATGCCAGGTTTACATTGCTTGTCTTCTTAACTGGCCTAAATTCTAAATTGGAAACAGTATTTTATTAATAAATCAGTCATTATTGTGGTACAAATATTTAAAAAAGGAAATGAGCAAAGAATTATAAACAAAAATTATTTTTTAAGGAAGCAGCAAGCAATAATTAATAAGGTCTGTTGCCAATGAAGTCACTGTAGGAAGATAATTTTGCATATAAAATTACCACGTATAAGCATCTATATATATAATTCTCTTCTGGGAGATGCTAGAAAACAAGCTGTAACCGCGCTCCCTACCTCCCCACCCCTACATGGTCTGGTGAGCTGTGGTTCACGCTGTTTACAAGCAGAGCTGGGTTTAGTGACGGCTATTAGGGGCAGATAATTTAGTTTGAAACGATTTTAAACTATGGGGAGGTAACTAAGAAGAGGCTGCTTTCACGAGGGGGGGGGGGTGTAGGGTAGGGGTAGTATCGTCCTTAACGACCTACTGATAGTGTTTTAAAGCAAATATTTTCAGTGGCAGCATTGGTTCTGTCAAATTCACAAATTATGAATTACTGAAAAGTAGAAAATAAAACAACTAAATAGCGGCGTATGATATGCCGCGGGTCGGCTTGTTTGTCTTATTTTGAATCCATCCATATGGGACCAACAAGTATGGTCTATGAAATAATTTTAACTTACATTGCTGTTATCCACATCTTCATCTATATTTTCTTTTATAACCAATGTTATAATTACTATTCATTATCGAGTAGAAATATAATTACAGTATCACAAATTATTTCAAGTCTTTAACATCAAACCACCTGGGTTAGAAAACCACTCACCTGGATTCTTCTGGTCATCATCGCTGTTTTGCTCATCTTCATCCATACTTTCCTCATCCTCTTCCTCACTGCTCTCACTACTCTCCTCGGTCACCTTTAGCTTGAAGGCAGCTTTTTTGTTCCAGTTTTTGACCTTCTTTGTGGCAGCTGTCTTTGTCTCCTCTGGTTTATTTGGGTCAAACTCATAGTTCAAAATCTGCTTGACATGATTCACTTTACCCTGTGCATGAACGTTGGGAAAATAGGTCAGTTAATATTTTCAAGTGTTTTCAATGTTTTTGATGAAACAATAGAAAATTTCATTTAAACATTTGATTGGTCGGTAGACACCTACCTGAATAACTGCATGCATGAGTGGAGAAATATCGTCTCCATCTGTTTTGTTGGGGTCGGCTCCTAGTTTCAACAAACTTTGTGACACTGTGAAGCAGTTGCAAGATATGGCTGCAATAAGTGCAGTGGTCTTGTTGTCTGGATAGCTATTGGAAAGAATTAAGCCATAAAACTGTTACCACCACAGTAAATGTTTACATTGAAAGATTTATATTTAAGACATAACATATTTCAAGTTATAACTTAATCAAATCAAACTTTTTATAGAATATCAAACAAATGACAAGATAAAGAACATTGGCATAAAAAAAAATCTAGTACAAACCTTTGCCAGTAGTCAGGATCAAGTTTATTGTTTCCACTAACAAGGGAAGCAAACTCTGGGTTTAAGGGGAGGTCAATATGCTGGTTAATGTTTATTCCATTTTTAATCATCTTTTCCAGAAAGTTCCTGAACAATAAGTTAGTAACAGAAAGTTTGTCAATCAGGCATATTTTAAAAAGAAACTGAAAAAGTCACAGTTATTTACAATGTTAATATTTTGTATTGTAATTTGTAACATTTTAGGTAATATTTTAATTACTACATATAATTTATAGACACAATAATTTCTTTCATTGTAGTATTAATAAGTTATTTTCTTCAATTAAATGTACCAAGACTTACCATGTAGGTCCACATATCCCCTTTGACTGGCACTTCCATAGAGCAGCTGCTAAATATGACCTCTTAAAACCATCTGTGTAGTTTACATTATACCCCTTGTCCTTTTCTAAATGAAGCAAAAATATTTTAGTCTATAAGCATTGGGGCAAAAACCAAATATTTTTTTACACTCCAATCATATACATAATTAATTAATATAAATAATTAATTAATATTAAATGATTAAGTATTATGTAACATATACATAATTAATTAATATAAATAATTAATATTAAATTATTAAGTATTATGTAACATATACATAATTAATATAAATAATTAATATTAAATGATTAAGTATTATGTAACCTATACCTGCTAAGAAATCAGCTAATGCAAACATTCTGTTCAAGACAGCATAAAGAATGGGAGAGCAGTTAAACATGTCAGGCTTTTTCACTGAAACACCTGCAAGTACTAGGAACTCAGCAATCTGGAACAGTAGAAACAATGGTCATAAAATAAAGCACTAGCCATACTTATCACAGCAGCCTGTTTATGTATCAAAGTAAATAGTTAATACTTTGATATTTTACTTTATTAGATAAGTAAAATGTTATATAGTTTAAGCCAAATTGTCTACTAGTTTAAAAAAAAAGATATTCCATAAGTTTAAACAAAAACAACTATATTTTAAGCATCAGGTTTTTAAAAATACTTTATTTAAATATAGAAGTGGGCTTATATTTTTTCCCCTATAACTATTGCCTTTAAATATTATGTTAGTTGATTAACTATGAGATAGTTAGAACCTTTATTATGACAGGAGCATCATTCACTGCAACATTTTCACAGCTGAGAGCTAAAACATGCAGCAAGTTGCGCTCGTGTTCTCTAAGCTCTGTCAGAATACTCAGGTTGGTTGTAGTGCACAGCAGTCGCAAAGCAATATTGAACTTGCAGGATTTTATGCAAATCTGGAACAAGAAATAGGTGTATGTTATCTTGTTCACATAAGCTAGTTTTTAAACAACATAATCTAGCCAAAATAAGGGTAACAAAGGTGTCTAACCCTAGGCCAGTATTACAAAAAGCCATCTAACCCTAACCTAGAACTTACAACAGTAGAATCTAACCCTAAAATAGTACTTACAACAATGGCATCTAACCCTAACCTAGAACTTACAACAGTAGAATCTAACCCTAAAATAGTACTTACAACAGTGGCATCTAACCATAACCTAGGACTTACAACAATGGCATCCAGTTCACTCAGCCCAGATCTGCTTTGATCAGCTTCAGTAACAAACATGGCCACACCATTCAGGCTGTTCTCAATGGCAGCCTAAAAGAACAGTGTAACATAAAAATAAAATTCAAATAAAATTTGGAGGTTTGAATCCACATTAACTGATAACTTTTTCAAATTTAAGAATAAAGTTTCTGTCTTCAAATAAGCAATTACATGCATTAGAGAAAAAGAAAGTAATAATTTTACCTGATAAAGTGACAAAGTTTTTATACTTTCTTCTTTCAACACATTTAGAGCAGGCTTCCACTTCCATATCTCCTTTTCAGCTAAAATACAAATCAGGACACCTATTTTTAGAACACTTTAACATCTAACAGAGCAAGAAAGTAAATAATAATTATAGATAGGTGTTACCAAGGCAACAAATTGTAGTAATACACAATTTCTAGTAACATTTTTTTTTTCAAGTGGTGTTTAACAACAGATATTGGATCAGTAAGTAAAAAATGTATTCTTTATCACTTAATGCATTCTTTTAAAACAAGCATACACAAATGAACTTTTAAAGTAAATATAGCAAATTATTTAATTTCATTAAAAAATTATGATTCTTACACAGGAGGAGGGGCACTGGATGACACCATTTAGGGGATGACAAAAGGCAAAAAATGAAAAACATATTTAGAAGAAAATGCTTTTTCCAGATCAAACCCTACATGGGGGGGGGGGGGGGGGTCACAATTGTAGTTACCTTCCTCTTCATCTGCTTGATTCTCCTTGAGCTTTTTCTTTTGAATTTTTCTTTTTTCTAGTTCTTGTGAAGATATAACTGCAACTTTAGACTTCAGATTGGCACCAGACTGTATCAATGTTGTAGCACAACTTTGGAAATAAAAAATATGAGCTAAGAAGTTAGAAGTGATTTTAAACAGCTAATAAGAAAATATTTTATCTATTATTTCATGATTGAAGGTAATATAAATTTTAGATAAACAATGTCAATGTTGATTAAATGCCAAGTCTTTCTCTAATTAAAATACATCATGAGAATTTGAAAAAAATATTTTTAATTTACAAAATCATTGGCATTTTCTTTTAACTTTCTTCCAGTTAATTGTAAATAACGATGTAGGCTATACCTATATTACCTATATTAGAAATGAAAGCAAAACTAGATGACTAACCCATCATGTTTATTTTGTACTGCTAAAGATAGTGCAGAGTTACCATCTTTATCTTCTAGGTTTACAGATAAGAAAACCTGTCAAGTTTTAATTGCAACATGTTACTTCAATGTATCTCTGCATTTATGCAATTGTACATCTTTAGTTTTAATGCTTTTATAAAAAAATATTCTGACAGTAGCATCACACAAGTGTGCCGCCATCCACACCAGGTGACACCCGACATAGTGACATCACAGAGACTTTAATTTTTTAAAATTGTCATTTAACAGAGAGATCAGCTGTACAGAATTATCAAAATAAATTAATTTAAAAACGATGACCAAAAACCAAATGTTGAGATTGGTTTGAATTTTCTTCACTAAGAACAGATATTTTTAAAGAGAACAGATTCAACTTGACAAGTGGGTTTACCAGTGTAAGATACATGCAACACATTGTTGCTCCATTTTGGGCAGCATAATGAAGGGCAGTAAATCCACGTCTGTCTTGCTGATTGATCTCCTCTTGGCTCATGTTTCGACCAATTAATTTGACTAATTCAACAGGATCCTTAGTTTCATTTGTTCTCCAAATATTTGCTGAGTAGCTGTTTAAATAAAAATATTTATTTTAATTTGTTAAAAAAATTAATGCTTCATTTTTTAATTTCATTTTACGATTATTATATTTAAAGAAGAAAGTAAACATTACTAGAAAAAAATGTTGCTTGTTACACTGCAATTACCGTTTTCCTTTTTTAAAAACATAATGCAGTGCTGTCCTTCCATAAATATCAGCTGATCCGACATTTACACCCAGCTGGATGAACTTGACCTCAAGTTCATGACTCTGGTTTAGAGCACCATTGTTTCCCCTGAATGACACAAAATGGATTGTCATTTATTATAACATGAACAGTACAATGATTTCATAGATTGTCATTTATCACAACATGAATATTACAATGATTTAAAAGATTTAGTTGTGTGACTAAGTTTTTTATAAGCTTACGCTTAAATGAAAGGATACATGTAAATAACTAACAGCATACACTTTCATGACAGCATATATAGTTAACGTATATGATAGCATACACTTCCATGACTACATACACTTACACAACAGTATACAGTTATGATAGCATACACTTACATGACAGCGTAATGCAGGACTGATCTTTTCTTCTCATCCAATGTGTTGAAATTGAAATCTTTTTTTTCTTGAAGTTTTCTGACTATTTTTAGTAGATCTAAACAACAAATTTAAATTATATGTTATACAAACTAATTAAGAGGGTTATTTTTATATTAATGGCACTGGTTCTTGTTTTTAGCCATATTATTTATGGTAAGCAATCTACTGGCTTCAAATATTTAAAAAATCATTCAATAATATTCTGAAAGTAAGTTAAGAATGTAATAGCCAAAAGTAAACTTCAAACCTAAAATATAAAAATATTTCTTACTTTCCCTAGCCCCTGCGTGAGCTTGTTTGGTAAGAATATGCAGGAAAGTCTGTTTGTTTTTCTTAGAGACACACTTGGTATCACAACCTAACTCAATCAATTTGCAGATCATTTCTGTTTCATTCTTTTTTTGCTGTTCATTGTAAGATACAGGATTTTCAAACCTATAATTATAGAAATAAATAACATAACAAGTTGGTTAGTTGCAACTACAAACAGAAACATCTATTATAATGTTTGTATCCATTAAACATGAAACATTATATTGGATATTAAAATATGACTTGTCCCTGAAATTAAATTTTAAATAGAGGTCTGCAGCCATGAACTTCATTAATAAATATGCTACAGCAGTAGATCTTTATTTTAAAAGGCTCCAATGGAGGCGAGCGAGTTGACGAGATTCCGTCCCCAATGTTGTTGACATGGAATAAAAACGTGCTTTTTAGATTTAGACCGTAAAAAAAAATAAAAAATAAAAACTTAAGCCTAAAATTAATTTAGAAATTTTATATTTTTAGAATAAATGTTATAAAAGTTGCAAATCCAGAGAACTTGAAAATAATTTGTTGAGTTTAAGGCTACATTTCTATTTATTTTCATCAAGCCTAAGTTATAACCGGATGTTTCACTTTCGTAAGACAAATATTGATTGGCTGTACAGTAACTTAGTGATCGATAACTATTTGTTTACAAAACTTTGCAGATCAAGTTTTTAAATTACAATGCAAATTTAAAACCCCATGACCTAGTTTTCTATTTTTAGCTTACAATGTGTACAATAAAATCAATGGCGGCCTATCCAATAGCAGGATGCCATTGTTTATGTCGCCATTACACGTGAAAACCAAATTGTTTTTGCTTTTTTTTAAATTTTTATTTAGTTACCGAAAATATTATAAACATCAAATACATCCAATCTTTAGTAAAGTCCGAAAAAAACCAGATAGACAGGATTTTATAACCATATTAATTGTAACTACGCTGTGCATGATTTTTAAATGAATTTATACACCTCTCAAATACCTTTGAGACTTTTCTCGCTGGTGTCCATTAGTAAATAATACTAATAGATGTTCTTCCCCAAAGTTCTTAAAATTTGTGTACATACCTCAAACTGGCAAACATAAGGGGATTAACCATCTCCCCATCAGGTTCATTAACTATGCTTCTGATGTTCTGATTAAAATCACAGTTGCCTTTATCAGCCTAAAACAAAATAAATAACTTATTTTAAGAAATGCCTAAGCAATCATATTTGGGAAAGCTAAATTTCGTCCATATATAATCTGTTTCAAACATTGTAAATCTAAGTTCAATACACTAGGAAAGATTCTAACCATGAAGTCAAAAAGACTGGATTGGTAACTCTGGATGCAAGTGGATAGTGGTGTGTTTCCATATTCATCTACCAAGTTTAAATCTGCACCACGATTGACTAGCTCTTTAAAAATTTGCCCTGACTGTGCAGGCTCAATAATGTTGAAATCTTTGTCAAAGAGAGGGTCTTTTTTCAGCATCACTATGTGGGCAGATGTTTTTCCAGCTAATGAAAAAATATAAAATAATTATCTGATTTATAAATTATAATATTTTTTAACAGTTAAATAGTCTTTACAAGTGAATAAAATATTTTATTTAAAAATTGTTTTACTCTCTGTAAGAAACTGATCCAAAAGTTTAGTTACCAGTATCTTGTGATTCCCACCATAGAGAAGAATTTACTTCAGGCTCATCTTCTTCATTGAAAAACTTTTTCTGAACCTACAGCAATTAAAAGTAAATCATTTTATTATATTAGAAGTAACAAATTAACTTGCTTTGTAATATCAAGTTAATTTTCTTAAAGATATGACAATTATAATGCAAAATTTTTCTTAATGTTGCACTATTTCAAATTTGTTTTCTATATAAGGTTTTATTTGTAATTTTGAAAATATCTGCATTACCTTTGCATTTACATCTGCATCAAACTCATCCACTAATCTTTTGATGAAAGATCTCACATTGTCCCATTTCGCTTTCAAATTTTTTCTGACAGCAATTTCTGGGTCATTTGAAGTCTGTTTTTTTTTAAAAATATGATAGCAATGATAGACACATTTTTTTCCCAAACTAATAAACAGCATTAATTTTTTTATGTATACTATGTGAAATTTTAAAAAGATTATTTGGTAAAATATAATACCTTTCCTTCAGAGATTACTCGACAGGCTAAATGCAAGGGAGTGAAGCCATTGCAGTCAACATATCTGGTCATTGTCTTGGCTACATCTGTGAACTTCTGTTGTAGATAACAAAATTAGTTGGTAGAGATATCAGAGCCTATAGATGTCAGCAAGAAATCTGTCCTATGACAAATTAATATGATGGCTTAAACCACACACATCATTTAAATTTGAGTTATACAATCTAGACAACTTACATATTTTTTAATTAAATTCAATAATTTATCCAAATTGGCTGGATCTAACCAAATATGTTTTGCTATTTCATGCAACACAGATGTAGAGGGGTCTCCTGCTGGTGGGGCTAGAATCTGACACCCTTTAGACAGGAGAAAGTCATAGAGGGGAAGGTTCCTCACCTGTGTGGACAGATAAATAAATAATTAGTTGATTTGTTTCTTTTCTTCTTTTTTTTTTACAAAAAATCATGTTAGAGTTTTATTAAAAATTAAGCTAAAAGTAATTTGAATTTTACATCTCAAAAACAGTTTAAAATTTTATCAGTTTTATCAGAACCAAAGTAACAAATTTATTTTTAAACTAACAATTTAAGATCTAATTTTATAATAATGGAAAAAATTACAGATGTTAAAGCTATCATGACAGCTGTGTTGCCTTGTTTATCAACGGCATGAAGGTCACAGCCATGCTTTAGCAGAAGCTCAGCTATAGCTATACTTTGCTTATATGCCTGTGCCTGGTTTAGAAATGACATAATAAACACAATAATACTTCAAAATATTAAATTAAAATTAGATTAATTGCTAATATCAACTGGTGGCACATTTTTAGACATTTGATTAGGACTAATTAAAATTTACTTTAACCTGCAATGTTTATTGTTTACTATTTCCTTAATATTGTGTTTTAATAGCTTTTTTTTTAATTAGCCTAACATCATGTTAATGTTTGACTTTTTTTTTAAAATTAAATTTTTTTTTTACTGAAATTGATTGTTGCAAAATTATTTTATTTTTATATTTCATTACATTTCATTATTTTTACTAAGGGGACATCCATAAAAGATTTCAATTTGAAGATTTTTACATCCCCTTTACCCCCTTCATCATACATTGTCCCTGAGGTGATGTCACTCATGTTACACCTGAGTCTTACACCTCCAGCCAATTGGTTGTTTTTATGAAATAGAGGTTTCTATTTAAAATATTAACTAAATTAGGTCAAATTTAGGTATATTAATGTACTTTTAAAAATCTAATGATAATAAAGAAGTGCAAAGGTTGAAATCTAAAATTAAACATACCTTTACTTCACTTTCCTCAGAATCAACATAAGCATCCGCTAAATAGTGGAGCTAGATAAATAAAATTATCTCAGCATTACAAACAATTTTGTTGAAAAATTAGTTTACAGCAGTTTTTGTAAATGATGAAATGTGGTTTTAGCAAAAATGTCCCCAATCTCATAAATAGTATTACAACTTGAGACGACCATTTTTATCAAACCTTTAGTTGTCAATATTTGGAAGGTCACTTGTGTGATTACAAGTTAGTTATGTATAACTTAATTTAAATGGTAATATCGTAAAGATGTGTTGATTATCTTTGGATTTTACAAAACTTTTCTGTGGGATCAGTCAATATGTCTGCCCTGTATTGCTACAACAATATTTTTTTTAAACTACTGAAAACAATCAAAGTAGTATCTCCTTAGTTTACAAGCAAGCAAACAATTTACAAAAAAAATGAAAAATAAAGAGTCTCAGTTTTTTACTTTACATTTGATAAATACGTATTTATGACAAAACGTACTGGAGTACGCCCTTCATTATCTTTGAGCGTGCAGATAGCGCCCTTCTCTTCAATCATATATTGTATCTGATCCCAAAGGTCTTTCTGTGTGAGATCACTTGAGCAAGCATGAAAAATCAAGGTCACACCTGAAGAAGGAAATTGCTCTTTATTAAAAAATTTTCTTCAATCCTTTTAAACGAAAAATTGTATTTTAATTATTAATAAATTAATGTTTCTTTAGCCTATGTTTTTATTTTATTTTAAAAAATTTAACTTTAAAAAAAAAATTTAGTTTATAGACTTTATTGAAAATAATTAACTAGAGAAGAAAACCATTCTCCATCTATTGCTTGAAATTTAAAAAACCCTCAAATATATAAACAAATATATAAACAAATATATAAACAATCTACCATCATCATCAGTAAAATTGATGTCTACTTTGTCATGGCATAACAGCTCCTGCATAATCCCAACTTGGGCCTTCAGGTAGGCAATGTTGACAGGTGTTAACTAAATAAAAGAAATTTTTACTCCATTAATGCTTGCAAGTTTGCAAGTTTTTTGAGAAACATTATTTTAATGTCATATAAATGTAATTTCCATGAAATAAAATTAATAAGTAATAATTTATAAACAAATGCTTATACATGACATTTTAACTGAAAGTTTATTTACATATTTAATGATACATATCAGTAGTTCAAATGTTACTTGACAGTTGATATCAAGTTATCTAAGACAAATATTTTAATCGGAAAAGAATTTATGTAATTTATTTTTTTTTAAATTGTAGATTGTTGAGTTGATTCAAATATAGAAACCAACCAAAATTGTACCCAGCAGAGGTAATGCAAACCTTGAAAACTACTAAAATTGTCTGAATGTACTGTGAAACCAACCTTCCACATGTTGCTGACATTTGGGTTGACCCCTGACTGTAGGAGAAGTTTGGTGGTGAAGAACCAGCCATATGCAGCCGCGTAGTGTAGGGGTGAGTTGCCCGAGTTGTCAGGGTGCTCACCACTGGCCCCAATGTTCAGCAGGTAGGACAGGACGCTGGTGGCCCCGTTCATGCAAGCATGGGTGACTGCTGTACGCTCCATTCGATCTGGGGGACCAAAACAGAACTCAGTTTACTTATAACTTATAGTTCTACAATGTCAGATTTTAAAAACCAAGTCAAAATGAATAAGCTATGTATTAGATAATTGACCAGTCTATCAGTGCAAGATCAAGTACTTATATAGTAACAAGTTCTGACAATTTTAATCAGTAACAATTTGTCTCCCCTCCCGACAAGAGTTATGCTTGCTCACCTCTTTGTTCCACTACTGCACCATATTGAACCAAAAGTCGAACCATTCTCAAATTTCCTTGAGCTGCAGCTATCATTAAAGGAGTTGTCTGATTTTTTGATACATTTAACTTAGCATTGACATCTGCTCCATACTTTAACAAGATTTCAGCCACTTCCTTTACATGGAAACAATGTGTAAAAAGTAAGTTAAATATGATTTTAAGCAAAATAAAGGAATTTACAATTATTTTTGTCTTATTTTAATGTAATTAAAGTAGACCATATAAAAAATGATGAGCCAAAAATAAGAAGAACAACTAACCACAAACTGATATTCTGCTGCCAGATGAAGAGGAGTTTTATTGTAATTGTCTCTACGGTTCACTCCACCCACCCCAAACTGGGCAGCAAATGGATCCGTCTGATCTAAAATTTGATAATACTTTGGCTACATTTCACTTGCATTATATTTTAAGTTTAACTTCAAGTTTAGTAATTTATAAAACATGGCTTGTATATTACAGGCATTCGATACAAAATTTATTTAGAATAATAACTTGTAATGTTGAACATTTATATAGAAACAATAACTTGTAATGTTTAACAAGCAAATACTTTTCTGAGCCTCTTGGAGAAGTAATTCAACATTCTGTGGCCTGTTTGCTTTAACTGCATAGTGTAGAGGGATAAGCCTGCTTCCATTTGTATCATTGGGATTTCCTCCCCTGCAAAAAAAAGAATTATTTTTTTAAAAATTTAAATAAAAAAATAAAAAAACAATTATTTTTTAATCTAGAATCTAGAGATTTTATTATCCCAATAAAAACAGTTTGGAATAAAAACTTTGAAGCCAATTAGAACTTTTAAGCAACAAAAATTCTAATAATTCATTTAAGGAATATTGTTAAATAAGTTTCAGTGTTTGGTTTTAAAACTTTTAACATGGTTTATATCATAGACATACAGGTGTCTTAAATTTTTGACAGCATTGGAGATACAGTGTTTAGAAAAATATCGTTTTTTAACGATAACTCACTTTTCCAGCAAAAGTTTTAGGTTGGAACTTGAGCTGCAAGCTGCTGCAAAATGGATTGGTCGATTTCCTTTTGCATCAACAGCATTGAAGTCAGCATATACTGAAAGTAGTTTTTCTAGATATTTGCTGTTTGGGTTGGCAGCAGCACAGTGGATGGGAGTCAACTTTAAAGAAAGAGATATATTAGACTTTTAAGTACAAGAGTTACAATTATATTTTAGTGATATTCATATTTGGACATAATACTTAAATGGGAAATTATACAGACACCAGCTCATACTACATAATTGTACATAAAAATAGTGAAAAATAGTGTAAAAATATTCAAGAACATGTGTTATTAAATATGTAAAGATGTTGAGCATCCATAAATTTTGGTCTTTAGAAAATTTATTTTCACTTTTTAAAATTCATATTTATTTAGTAATTTTAGCACTGATATCTATGGTTTTTAAACAGGAAAGATGTTTAAAATTAGAACCTGGGTTTAAATTACCCGAGAGCAATTGCCTACCTTGTAAACTTTTTTACTAACAAATCTGATGGTTGACGGTGAACATCCAGTAAGTTCTTCTGTTGTAAAGAGGAGAACCTGCGAATTGAATAGTTGTAAGATTATTCCTTTAGTTGGATGAATTATCAAAAAATAAATAGTTGTAAGATTATTCCTTTAGTTAAATGAATTATCAAAAAATAAATAGTTGTAAGATTATTCCTTTAGTTGAATGAATTATCAAAAAATAAATAGTTGTAAGATTATTCCTTTAGTTGAATGAATTATCAAAAAATAAATAGTTGTAAGATTATTCCTTTAGGTGAATGAATTATCAAAAAATAAATAGTTGTAAGATTATTCCTTTAGTTGGATGAATTATCAAAAAATAAATAGTTGTAAGATTATTCCTTTAGTTGGATGAATTATCAAAAAATAAATAGTTGTAAGATTATTCCTTTAGTTGGATGAATTATCAAAAAATAGATAATTGTAAGATTATTCCTTTAGTTGGATGAATTATCAAAAAATAAATAGTTGTAAGATTATTCCTTTATTTGAATGAATTATCAAAAAATAAATAGTTGTAAGATTATTCCTTTAGTTGGATGAATTATCAAAAAATAGATAGTTGTAAGGTTATTTATTTAGTTGGATGAATTATCAAAAAATAGTTGTAAGGTTATTTATTTAAATGAATAATAAAAAAGATAGATATAAATCACACTAAATTACTATTGAATAGAAATGCTTTTATTTCAAAGTAAACATGGATATAAAATAAAAATTTACTGTCTCACTGTAATAAAGTATAAAGAATTATTAGCTGCTTACATCTCTGTAAAGATGATTGAAAAATCTGCAATAACCCTTGAGGTAAGATTCAATTACTTTTCCTGCAATTTGATGTTTTCCTTTCAGGAGCAGCTCATGAACATCTTGAGGATCAAAAACATCCCTCTGTGTTAAAAAATTTTTAAAATCAAATCATTAAAGAATATTAGCAAGTATAAAATTGAAAAGCTTTTATATTTAATCATCAGATATATTCATGAAAGATAGTTTTATCATTAGCTAAGTTTTATGAATATAAAATATTATTTACATACAATTAATATAAACTTAAAAAAATATTTCAAATAGTTACATAAAAGTTTCTTTTGTCATCCTTGAAAAATTTTTCAACTAAGGCTAGCAGAGCTGGGTCTAGGTCAAAACTGGTAACTCCTTTTGCATAATCATTGTCATAATAATCAATGGGATCTTCTGTCTAAAGAGATACAAAGAAAAAATTATTAGATGCAAAGTATATTTGTATTAAAAAAAGAACTGCAGTATTTAAGGAAAATGCATTCATCACTTGTACTAAAAAAAAACTAATCAGCATAAATATTCTAAAAAGTAGTTCTTTTGGTTATTAGACTGAGCAATAAATGATTTTTAAACATATTACATACTTTTGTTAAAGCATTATTTCCTTCCCGGCTCCCTCGACTGGCTGTTATTTTACGAATGAAATGAATTCCTAATGATCGTCGATTATAGCTGTAAAAAATTTATTAGTTTCAAAACATTTTAGTTATTTAAAATATTTATATATTTTTATTCTAAAATATAACACAGTTATGATTTTAGCTTCACAATGTAGTCAACTAATTCTTTTTACCTACCCACTCAAATTTTGCATTTAACAGTTTTTATGTCTTACTTTCCTGTGTTGAGTTTATTTATCATAGTCTTGTCTTCCCTATTGTGACTCCGTCTCTCACTGAACTTTGTGCCGCAGACCTCCTGTAATATCGTCTGAAACACTGCCATGTCCTGCACCTGAGCTGCTGCGTGGTAGGGGGTGTGGGGGTTGTCCAGTGACTTGGGATACAGCTGAGGATACACAGAGTTATGTACTCACATGATTAGGGTTCATTTTAAATTCATTTTAGACAAGAATACTTGTAGATGTGGAGGGATATATTTTTATGTATAAGGACCACACATATTTAATAGTTGAATAATTGCATTTAAATATTTTTCTCAAAAAATATTTTTTAGGCCAACTCGTCATAGTTTAAAAATTTCCTTTTCCATATCGTCAAACACTTCATTTTAAACATTCTTTAGATAATTAAATTTACAAAGCTTGGAGAGGTTTTGAGCTACAAATAACACAAAGTAAAGAGAACAAACTAGTTTAAAAAAGGAATTACCTGATATATTTTGTTACCATCTTTCAGAAGCTTGGTCAAAAGTTTATTATCTTTTAAGTAGATGGCTCTGAAAACCAATCTAGAGTTGGCTACTTTAGAAATATATGGCATCGGTTCTCTGTGAAATAATTTAATTTTTTATTTATTTTTACATCTGTGGCATAAATTATCATTCTACAGGATGTAAAACTATATTTTTTATAATGTGATGTATCAAATATACAGGTGTAAATATTTATTCTGTTATTCACAATTGTAATATAAATTGAAATGATTAAAGGAAAGAGTAAATAAAAGTATTGCTAATTATGTTTTGAATTATTCACCTGGATTCAAAAAGAGGATCAAGCTCCAGCACTTTAATGTCAGGTCGTGGATGTAGCTCAAGGTCTGCAACCTTCTTTGGAGCAGATTTTCTTTTTCTTTCTGTCTTTGCTAATGAATTGAATTTGAATATTATAAAAATTATTTGACAGAATTATTTTAGAAGTGTAATACAGTGTTTGCACTTGTGACAAGTATACTTTACAAGTCAAGAAAAAAAACCTCGCAGCTAGTTAGTATATCTGTTCTTTAGGGTAAATGTTTTCATATAACATTAATTTGCTCAACATTTATAGTATACATGTGGCAAGTGTAAATGAGGTGTAACATTAAATTTCCATCCACAACAATATTTACATTGCTTTCCTGATAAAAGTAACTTACTAAAATTCAAGTAGGCCCTACACTATTTAAAAAGTTATTAGGATATGTTTAAATAATACTGCAATAAGGTGAAATTTAAACTTTAAAAAGAAATCAGAATAAAAACTCACAAGCTTGAGCACATTTTACTTTTGCCAGTTTCTTTGTTCCTGAGCTTGAACTAATCTTTTTCCTTGCATTTCTTTTAACTGTTGACATAAGAGGACCATAGACATACGCTCAATAAAAAACATTTATTTAGGCTATAAATGCACAAGCAGATACACTTTAATAGGAATGCACATGATTTAGATATTAAAGACTGATACAGGTAAAACTCATACTTTTGTCTGATGCCCTCTGGGATGGAGTTTTTTGTAGTCTTGCCCTTTTGACAACTGGCTCTTCAATAAAATGAACTTCCTCAACTGTCAACAAATTTTAAAAAATGCCAGTGTAACAAATATTTATTTATCAATCTATCATTATTTCCTGTGTTTAATTACGTTTTGTTTAATCTGAAACTTAAAATAATAAGCCCAATTAAATACAATTTGGTAGAGAATCTTTGAATCCGAAAAAAACATTTAAACAACAAAGAAAATCTCAATAAATCTTTAAGGAATATTGTTAAATAAGTTTAAATGTTTGGTTTATATATGTGAGACATTTAAGTTTTAGCATCTCAATAAACTTTGAACATTGAGATATCATGTTTAAGTAACTCTGCTCTCTATAACAACATTACCATCATCATCCACATCAGCCAGAGATGCTTTTCCAGTTTCCACATCCTGTGCAAGTTTTAAAAGTTTCTGAATCTCAGTCAGCTGATCTGGTGGTAGTTGATAAGTCACAGAAGACAACTGGTTCAGACTGACCTAAACAAAACCATATTATCATAAACAAGTTTGTAAAGTAACTGATTAAAACATTTTATTTAAAAAAAAAAAAGATTTGACAAAAAATAAAATCAACTGTTGATTTAACAAAAAATAGTGTGTTACCTCTAAAAGAATGCATGCTGGGTCTATTGTATCTCTGTACGTGATCTTGTATGTATTGGCAATCCCTTTTTTACCTTGTGTCAGCCAGTTGATTTTTACCTCCCTTGAATAGTTGTAAACATTACTCCAAGTGCGACAGAGATAAAACTCATTTGCTGAAATGCACCATGTTTGTTTTTTAATTTTAAAAATAGTAAAAGCAATTACAATTTTTAATCTGTAAAAGTGCTTACATTTAGAACAACATGAAAGAAAAAAGGTTTAATTTACCATTTTCAGTGCGGACAGCTAAAATTGCTGCTTTAGGAAACCATAACTTTGTTTCAGTTGTGTTTCCATTGGACAATTTTGAATGTCTTGTTTCAGCATTATCTCCACTTTTAGACTTTTGTAGTGAAGTTTTAGATGGCAACTTGGCAATATTTATCAGGCTGTTAGAGGCATTGACAGATTTATTTTTATGGAGTGAAGCTTTAGATGGGGCCTTTGTAAGATCTGTCTGGCTGTTAGAAACTGATTTAGCCCTAGTTGATGCACTCCTTAATAAACTGGTCTGTTTAGAGATTATTTCTGAGGTCTTCCTCGACTTTTCTTTGGAAACACCAGAAACCGAATTTCTTAAACTTGTTCTGCTTCCTTTAAAATAAAATTAAAGACATTTGTTTTGTAGTTGAAGTTTACAGATTGTTTTAATTTTTTTTCATTAGCTGATTATTAAAGATTGTTTCAATTTTAATTTTCGATATTTTAATTAGCTGATTATGACCTACTTTGTTTAGAAGACTTCTGCTGTATTGAAAGCTTCCCAGAGTTCCCTGTGTTGGTACGGGAACTTCTCCTTGAGTTAGCCAGACTCTCCTGCAGCAGTTCGTGTGTGGACTGTCTCCTGAGGCTGGATATCTCTGCATTGCTTTCAGCTTCAGCTTCTGGCACTTTACTCACGTCTGTCGACTTTTTGCTGGATGACAGCGAGCTGGACAGAGATTTGAGCTAGCAAAAATAATAGAATTGGTTGTTTTTTTTAGAATACCCAAAATTGCATTAAATCTCGAGACTTCTGAAATCCTTACTACAAATATCCTTTGCTATTTTTATTTAATTATTTTTTTTTTTTGCGCGAAAATCTGAAAACATGGGAGGTAATCTAAAATCAGAGACAACTGGTAATTTTTTTTTTATCAGCAAAATCAGATTCCACAATTTTAATATTCTAAATTGAACTCAATATACGCATTAAAATATAAGTCACATGACACATAGATGGCTACAGGACATTACCCCCTGGATATTTCCCCCCCCCCGGACATTTCCCCCCCGTATTTACCCCCCCGGAGCAATTACCCCCCTGTCAATTACCCCCCTGGGGAATTACCCCCCCCCCCCCCTCTCAAGTTAAAATCCTAACTCTAACTAGAATTTTATACTTATATACTACTTTAATCCAAACCTTAAGAAAAAGACCAAAACCTAAGCATCCACCTTAGCCTTAAACTTCACACAAAACCAAAGCTAGACACAACCCTAACCCTAAAACTAGCTCTAACCCTAACCCTAGCCCGTAACCCTAACCCTAGCCCTAAACCTAAACCTAAACCTAAACCTAAACCTAAACCTTAACCTAAACCTGAACCTAAACCTAGCCATAAAACCTAACCCTAGCCCTAGCCCTAAAACCTAACCCTAACCCTAACCCAAACCCTAACCCTAACCCTAACCCTAACCCTAACCCTAACCCTAACCCTAACCCTAACCCTAACCCTAGCCCTAGCCCTAGCCCTAGCCCTAGCCCTAGCCCTAGCCCTGGCCTTAGCCCTAAACTTAACCCTAAACCTAACCCTGTCGGGGGGGGGGGGGTAATGTCCTACTGGGCGGGGGGTAATTGACAGGGGGGAAATTGACAGGGGGGTAATTACTCTGGGGGGTAATGTCGGGGGGGAAATATCCGGGGGGTAATTGACAGGGGGGAAATGCCCTGTTCCCCACATAGATATAGACAAGAAAAAATAATAATGCTTAAATATTTTGGCAATACCACTTATAGCCTACATAAGAAAAAAATGTCATAAAAAAACGTTTTAATAACAAGCTTTTATGTAATAGTTCTAGATCTAGAATCTAGGCGTCTTTTACATTTATGGATGACCCCTAAGCTGGAAAACGAATTTGATTTACTTACAAATGGTAACATTTTTAAAAATTGTAATCACTGCGCAGCAATGTGGCTTCCAAACTGCCGCTGTGTAGTCTGAAGATACATTATAAAGATAATCATTTAGTAACAATATAGATATCATAATGAGAAGCGTTTAACCTATTGCAAGTATACTTGCAGTTAAAAAAACTAATAATAAAAACGATAGTAAGTATACGCCAGTAACTAGAGTTTCCTAAAGGCATCTCTTCGGCGGGGGGAGGGGGCGCTTCTTCCCACCCCCCCCCCCCTCCACTGGAGAAATAACTCAAAGAAACTCTAGTTTTCTGATAAATTGCCGATCAATTGACACGAAAAAAAAGCTCTTATAAATCTCTAATGCCAACACAAGCAAACAGCCTGGTCTGTTGGCCAACATCCCCCCCCCCACCACCGAAAAGACCAAATACCCCCGGAGAACAAATGTCTGAAAGAAACATTGACAGTACTTCTTAAAAGTTAAAGGCACGCGTCAGTAACCATCTCTCAGTAAAAAGCAAATAAAAAATTATTCCTGCTAAAAAGTTTATCTGTCACCTGTTTGTCGAGTAGGCCTAGGCTGACATATACCCCAACTAATCAGAGTTTCTTCCAGGCATCTCTTCGCCCCCCCCCCCCCCCCCCACGAAATTTTTTTACCCCCCCCCCCCCCCGAACGAAATGAAATTTATATAATTTATATAGAAAATATATACTTTTAACAGTGTCCGCCCCCCCCCCCCCGAAGAAAGTTTACCGCCCCCCCCCCCCCCGAAAATTTCAAGTGCCCCCCCCCCCCCCCGGAGAAAAAAGTCTGGAAGAAACACTGCAACTAAGGAAAAATGGATGTGTTTTTTTTTTTACTCATAGAGCCGGAGTCTTGTCTGACAATTTTATACGCGACACTAAGGAAATGTTTGCTCACGCTTAGCTATTCTGTTAACGGTCGTATGCGGGCAGTGTTTCTTCCAGATTTTTATTTCCGAGGGAGGGGGGCACCTGATATTTTCGTGGGGGGGGGGGGGGGTGGACATTGGTAGAAGTATGTTTTCTATATAAATTTTGTTGGGGGCAGGGGGAGGTAGACTTTCTTCGGGGGGGGGGGGTGAAGAGATGCCTAGAAGAAACACTGGGGTAAGGGGTATTTCTTTAATTGTGGGGTGGGGGGGGGGTGATTATTTAATGAATTTGGCTTAACTATCAAATATTCCGGTTTTTTTTGTTTGGTTTTTTTTACACACATAGGCTCAAATTGACTTGTAACAATTAAATAATAATAAAATAAAATTAATTAAAAAGTTTTTGCAGATGGTTACAGTTTTTGTCATAGTAATTATTTTTCAAGATAGAGGAAATATCCCACACCACCGAAGAACGGGAAATTCAGCTAGTATGCTTTATATAATAAGTTAATTCTTGCTGATTTACAGTAAATTACATTTAGGCTGAAGCTGATAGGCCTATAATACTAAAGTGGGAGGGGCACTAAAGGCCTAAAATTTCAAATGCTACGTTGACACGTTTACACATAAACACCCCTTTTTCCCCACAGAAAACAAACATTAATCTTAAGTTATACATTTTTGTAAAAACTTACTTTTCTGACGAACTTGCTTTAAGTGCCAGATTTAAAACAAGGTCCGCAATATTTATATACAGACCTACCGGCAACTGCAGGCGGTGACTACGAATGCTTCGCGGAAACAAGATAGAATACTTGACCTTCACCCTATTTTGTCTATTTAGCGCTTAAAACATGTCTTTAAAATATTCTATGGGAAATATTTATTTCTCCATTCTAACACGCTAAAAGTAATTGTAAGATTTGTTTTAGATTAATGAAAGATTAAGATTTTAAGCAACAACCGATTTGTTAAACATTGGTAAATAAATACAACCCCCTTTGCTTCGCGGATCTGAAGAATGATTAATTTTCTAAATATAGAATCGATTTGACAGCATACAAGCCGTAACACGTCAGTGGGTACGAGTAAAAAGTTAAATTATACAAAGACATTGAATCGATCACTTATTGATCTTCTTCTCGATATTACTGGTACATTTGGCTCAATACTTCTGTCAGACTGGGGTAAAAGAGAATACATTACAGCAATCAAACAGATCTTTGTTCAATCAAAACCTAAATTAAAAAGTAGGCTAATAAGTAATATTGCTGAGCGAATCTATTGCTCGGGGCTATTACACAGTAACCTTATAGTTCTAGTAGACATTTGCTGGGGGGGGGGGTGTTAAAACAACTACTTGAGAGAAGACAGTGGAGAGTAAAAAAGTACCCCCCCCCCCATTCCACCTCATAGCTGTTGTGTTATTCATCAGTGTATGTGCATGTTTACACTAAGCAGTAATTGCTCTACACACGAATGTCATGTTCCACATACAGACCTACACACGAATGTTATGGTCCACATACAGACCTACACACGAATGTCATGGTCCACATACAGACCTACACACGAATGTCATGGTCCACATACAGACCTACACACGAATGTCATGGTCCACATACAGACCTACACACGAATGTCATGGTCCACATACAGACCTACACACGAATGTTATGGTCCACATACAGACCTACACACGAATTTTATGGTCCACATACAGACCTACACACGAATGTCATGGTCCACATACAGACCTACACACGAATGTCATGGTCCACATACAGACCTACACACGAATGTTATGGTCCACATACAGACCTACACACGAATGTTATGGTCCACATACAGACCTACACACGAATGTTATGGTCCACATACAGACCTACACACGAATGTTATGGTCCACATACAGACCTACACACGAATGTTATGGTCCACATACAGACCTACACACGAATGTCATGGTCCACATACAGACCTACACACGAATGTCATGGTCCACATACAGACCTACACACGAATGTCATGGTCCACATACAGACCTACCTACACACGACAAAGACTCATGTTCCACATACAGACCTACACACGAATGTCATGGTCCACATACAGACCTACACACGAATGTCATGGTCCACATACAGACCTACACACGACATAGACCTACACACAGCATAGACCTACTCACAACATAGACCTACACACAACATAGACCTACACACAACATAGACCTACACACAACATAGACCTACACACGACATAGACCCACACATGACATAGACCTACACACAACATAGACCTACACAACATATAGACCTACACATAACATAGACCTACACACAACATAGACCTACACATGACATAGACCTACACACAACATAGACCTACACACAACATAGACCTACACACGACATAGACCTAAACACAACATAGACCTAAACACAACATAGACCTACACACAACATAGACCTACACATGACATAGACCTACACACAACATAGACCTACACACAACATAGACCTACACACGACATAGACCTAAACACAACATAGACCTAAACACAACATAGACCTACACACGACATAGACCTACACACAACATAGACCTACACACAACATAGACCTACACACGACATAGACCTAAACACAACATAGACCTAAACACAACATAGACCTAAACACAACATAGACCTAAACACGACATAGACCTACACACGACATAGACCTACACACAACATAGACCTACACACGACATAGACCTAAACACAACATAGACCTAAACACGACATAGACCTACACACGACATAGACCTACACACAACATAGACCTACACACAACATAGACCTACACACAACATAGACCTACAGTCCTACACACATGACATAGACCTACACACAACATAGACCTACACATGACATAGACCTACACACAACATAGACCTACACACAACATAGACCTACACACAACATAGACCTACACACAACATAGACCTAAACACGACATAGACCTACACACAACATAGACCTACACACAACATAGACCTACACACAACATAGACCTACACACAACATAGACCTACACACGACATAGACCTACACACGACATAGACCTATACATGACATAGACCTACACACAACATAGACCTACACACAACATAGACCTACACACAACATAGACCTACACACAACATAGACCTACACACGACATAGACCTACACATGACATAGACCTACACACAACATAGACCTACACACAACATAGACCTACACACAACATAGACCTACACACAACATAGACCTACACACAACATAGACCTACACACGACATAGACCTACACACAACATAGACCTACACACGACATAGACCTACACATGACATAGACCTACACACAACATAGACCTACACACGACATAGACCTACACACAACATAGACCTACACACGACATAGACCTACACATGACATAGACCTACACACAACATAGACCTTCACATGACATAGACCTACACACGACTGTCATGTTGCACATATTGACCTTCTTAGCCTAATTCAACGTCTCACTTATTACTTAATGTGTCTATGACCGTCGTTTTGGAGTCTCACACTTTTTGTGTATCTGTGATTTCATGTATAGCCTTGCCTGTTAATACTGACTTGTTAATAAAAAAAATATTGTATACATAAATACATGCCTTTTTGTATCTAGCAAACATTTGAGTTGCCTAATTGTTTTTGTCGTGAAATTAAGTCGGTGAATTGTATATTAGACATTAGAGGCTATAACATTTTTTTCTCATTTGATGTGTAACTATGGAAACAACGCTCGGCGTATGAATCTGCTACTTGATGTTTTATTTCATTAAATATTTGTGACAAAGTGTACTTCTATTTCTTTGGTTTAACTGCCGGTTATGTTTTTTTCTCTCTCTAGCAGAGCAGCATTGTTGAATCTTTATCATGCTTCGCACAATTGCTTAAAGTAGTTCATCTTCATTAAGTTTCGAATTTTAAGTTCTTTCCGGCAGAAGAGTTGGGCTTGTTCATCTTCATAATGCCCCTCTCGCGGATGATGAGCTGAGCCAGCAGTTTTTGCCATGTCGCGTCACCCTCAACGGTGTAGTCCTGTGGACAAATATCAAAATCTCTAACACCAGGGGTAAAACTTGTGGACAAATATCAAAATCTCTAACACCAGGGGTAAAACTTGTGGACAAATATCAAAATCTCTAACACCAGGGGTAAAACATGTAATACTGTGGACAAACATTAAAATAGAGATAAAACTTGTATTTAATGTTGCGGTTGGAGCTCCTCTCTTTATGATGTTTTTTATGGTGGGGGCAGAATGGAAATCTACCTTGAGATATTACGTAGTTCATCTTGGGTTAAGTATCTCATAGGGCTATGGTAGCCCACAGAATAGTTTAAATATAAAAATATTGTGTTTCGAGACTTAATGTTTGTTTCAAAAAAATAAAAAATCATTTTAATCGACAGAAGAAAGGTAATAAAGTGACTTAAAACAAGGCTCATTTATACAAAAAAGTTCTCCACAAAAGACGTCACGCTATTTTTAACCTTCTTGTATTCTCTACCCTCATGTTATACGTCGTGGCAAATTGTCACACCTCACACTTTAAATTTTCATCATATTCGTTCTTAAAGCTAAAAACTATTTGTTATGTCATATTTCTTCCTTCCCCATGTAGCAGTAACCCATGAGCCTACCTTGTAAGAAATTGATCTTATTCAAGGACAACCTATCCGCTTACCTTGTAAGCAATGTAGTGACCGAAGTTGAAAAACTTGGGGTTGATCCAGGTGATGACGATTCGTGAGAAAGGTAAAGGTGTCACCACAGCCCTGGATACATTCAAATGGTGGGGTGGGGGGGGCATGATAATTTAATTTATTTCAGTATCATTTCATTAACCAACTAGATACACTGGTTTCAAGTTCACCCAACGTCTAGAATTAGTGCTTGCGGTAAAATTTAGTATCAGTAATTTATGTCAGTTGCGTGTATCCAATCAAGATCTAAGGTCTATGTTAATGTTCCCGCCAAAACTAATGTGTAATGTTGCCGTCATTTTATCAAATTTAATGTTGGCGTCACATTTTAACGTTAATGGTAATGTTCCCCTAAGATTATCACATCGAATGTTCCCGTCCGATTCTTACGAATATGTTAATGTTCCCGTCAAAACTAACGTCGATGTAAATGTTCCCGTCAATACTAACGTGTACGCCGATTTCATGGACTCAAAGACAACGATCAATGTGTGATCTCCCTTTCTTATGGTGAAAACAAAGGGACCGAATCTGAAAAATAAAACAGAAAAATAAACTCTTGTGACAGCTTTAACCACTAACCGAGGAATTTAAAACGTTCGGTGAAAAGATAAGCAAAAACATTGACTCGGCACGGCATTTAAAAAAAAAATATTTTGCCATTTTGTTGATACTTAAAAAAACAAACTACTTAGGACATCATCATGCACTATTTATAGATGTTGTTAAGGAGAGTGGAGTTGTTCCTCTTGTCTACAGATATAACGCATTAATGTAGGGAAACTCGGAGATGGAATTGAAGTTGTTTTGTGTGTATGAATTCTTTCATCTGTAGCAAGTTTAGTGCAGTGGTTTTACATCTTTGGTGACTAGTTACCTTTTTGAATTGATTAGACATCTTTGGTGATATATTACCTTTGTACAGCGATTTTACATTATTGGCAAAGCGTTATATTTAATGATACATTATTGGTGAGATGTTACCTGCGGTTATTCATCATTGGTGATGTGTAACCGAAGTGAATGATTGCACATGATTGGTGAGGTGTTAGCTTTGTGAAATGATTGTACATGATTGGTGAGGTGTTAGCTTTGTGAAATGATTGTACATGATTGGTGTTACCTTTGAAGCCATTCACAGATGGTCTCCACGTCGTAAGATTTGTTGTCAAACTTGACCTGAACTGCGGACAGCGGCAGGTAGTGCTCACTTTTTCTGGCACAACCATACAAGATATGGGGCGAGATGGTTCTAGAAGAGAGATGGTAGAGGATGGTAGAGATGGTAGGCAGGTTAAAGATAGCACGGGAGGGTAGAGACGGTAGAGGCGGTAGGGGAGGGTAGAAATGGTAGGTAAAAGTAGAGATGGTTAGACAAATGTAAATGTACAGAGTTGGGGACAGTACTGTTGTTTGAAGATGCTTGGAGAAATGGAGAGAGATAACATTTAGGAGAAACGAAGTGATCTACCACCTACCCTGGCGGCAAACGTTCCGACAACCTCATCAAGTTTGACGAGAGTATACCTGCAGAGTAAAGGTGGTTAGAGTGACCGAACCTTGGTGCTACATAGCACTTCTATATTAGCCGTACCATTTAACCAGCACCTTGGTGCTACATAGCACTTCTATATTAGCCGTACCATTTAACCAGCACCTTGATGCTACATAGCACTTCTATATTAGCCGTACCGTTTAACCAGCACCTTGGTGCTACATAGCTCTTCTATATTAGCCGTACCATCTAACCAGCACCTTGATGCTACATAGCACTTCTATATTAGCCCTATTATCTAGAGTGACCGAACCTTGGTGCTACATAGCACATCTATCTTAGCCGTATCATTTATAACATCATACGATAATCGTGGCAGCAAACGCTTACAGTTACAGAAAGAGACTTTGATTTCTTTTTTCGGCTTGAAGGATCCTTTGACTGAGGCACCCTCCACTTGACTCATCTTCCCGTAGGCGACCTGTGGGTGGATGGATGTTAGCGTGCAGTCATCGATACATACACACACATACATGAAGAGGATTTTATATACATATATAAGTGCGGGTAAACATAAAGATAGAGACAAAGAAGCGTATTTATAAACACACACATACACACATGATTAGCAGTTATGTAACATTTTTGCAGTTTTAAAGGTGTCTTTGTATTTTAAAACCACACCTATAGTTATTAAAATTCATCATGTATATGTGTGTGTGTGTATATGTATATATATATATATATATATATATATATATATATATATATATATATATATATATATATATATATATATATTATATAGGATACACACATATATATATATATATATATATATATATATATATATATATATATATATATATATATATATATATATATATATATTTATTTATTTATTTATTTATTTATTTATTTATTTATTTATTTATTTATTAATATGGTGTGGTGAGTTACATTAAACTCCCTCGACAAAGACGAGCAATGGTATGGCGCCTTGTTGAGTGTCGTGAAGGGCGTGGCCTCCTTTAAGTTGAGCCCCTGCAAGCGCCCCATCGTGTTGAACGCCTCCCTCCAGGCATTGGCCTCGTATTCGTACAGCTCGATGCTGTCCTGTACCTTGGGGTGCTCCACCCGCGGGCTGAACTTGTAGCATCGTAGCTCTACACCCCTGGGGGTTGTTGAGGGTGAGGGTGGTAGTGGTGGTGATGGTGATGATGTATCGTTTTAACCTAATGTTAATAACCTCCTGATTTGTTGAAGGAGGTGAGGAGGATTATGGTGATGATGATGGTGGCTATGATGGTGATGGGTGATGGTGGTTATGATCGTGGTGATGACGGTGGTTATGATGGTGATGGGTGATGGTGGTTATGATGGTGATGAATTATCATTAATAACCTGCCGATTGTGCTAGTCGCTGTTGAAGAAGGTGAGGATGATGGTGATGGTGGTTGATGGTGATGAAGATGGTGATGATGTATCGTTAATAACCTGCTGATCGTGCTGGTCGATGTTGATGAAAGTGAGGATGGTGGTTGATGATGATGATGATGGTGATGGTGATGATGATGATGATGGTGGTGATGATGATGGTGATGATGATGGTGGTGATGATGATGATGATGATGATGATTATGATGATGATGATGATGATGATGATGATGGTGATGGTGGTGATGATGATGATGATGATGATGATGATGATGATGATGATGATGATGATGATGATGATGGCGATGATGTATTGTTAACAACCTGCTGATTGTGCTGGTCGCTGTTGTAGACTTGAAGACTGCAGTGAAGGATGTGCTCTGTACAAACTTGGCGGATTTCCCCCGTCGTAGTTTGTTACTGACTGAAACAATCAGGGTTGTTACTGACTGAAACAATCAGGGTTGTTACTGACTGAAACAATCAGGGTTGTTACTGAAACAATCAGGGTTGTTACTGACTGAAACAATCAGGGTTGTTACTGAAACAATCAGGGTTGTTACTGACTGAAACAATCAAGGTTGTTACTGACTGAAACAATCAGGGTTGTTACTGACTGAAACAATCAGGGTTGTTACTGACTGAAACAATCAGGGTTGTTACTGACTGAAACAATCAGGGTTGTTACTGACTGAAACAATCAGGGTTGTTACTGACTGAAACAATCAGGGTTGTTACTGAAACAATCAGGGTTGTTACTGACTGAAACAATCAGGGTTGTTACTGAAACAATCAGGGTTGTTACTGACTGAAACAATCAGGGTTGTTACTGACTGAAACAATCAGGGTTGTTACTGACTGAAACAATCAGGGTTGTTACTGAAACAATCAGGGTTGTTACTGACTGAAACAATCAGGGTTGTTACTGACTGAAACAATCAGGGTCGTTACTGACTGAAACAATCAGGGTTGTTACTGACTGAAACAATCAGGGTTGTTACTGACTGAAACAATCAGGGTTGTTACTGACTGAAACAATCAGGGTTGTTACTGACTGAAACAATCAGGGTTGTTACTGAAACAATCAGGGTTGTTACTGACTGAAACAATCAGGGTTGTTACTGACTGAAACAATCAGGGTTGTTACTGACTGAAACAATCAGGGTTGTTACTGACTGAAACAATCAGGGTTGTTACTGAAACAATCAGGGTTGTGCGCTGTATGTGAGCATCATTATATACACATGTATGTGTTTGTGTGCGTGAGTGTATGTATCTGTCGGTGTTTGTGTCTTTTTTATACGCATAAAATTAGTTCAACATAATTTGTGTTTAGCCTATACTACAATTGTACAGAACCTTGGTGCTACATAGAACACCAATATTAGCCATACCATTTAACCAGCACCTTGATGCTACATAGCACTTCTATATTAGCCGTACCATTTAACCAGCACCTTAGTGCTACATAGCACTTCTATATTAGCCGTATCATTTAACCAGCACCTTGGTGCTACATAGCACTTCTATATTAGCCGTATCATTTAACCAGCACCTTGGTGCTACATAGCACACCTATATTTATCTTACTTACAGCATCACACAATAATCCCAAAATGTTTTACCTTTAACCATCGTACAATAATTCCAAATGGGCTTACTTTAAAGTAATCATCACGCAACAATCTTAGAGTAAGTAGCCAGTGCACCCTTTATTTAAACAGTAGATCTATATACAGGAAGTGGGTGGACTAGCTATCACTCAGTGTTTCTTTCAGATCTTTTCTCTGGGGGGGGGGTACACTTGAAATTTTCGGGGACTAAATTTTCCAGTTGGGGGTGGGACACTGGTAAAAGTATATATCTTCTAGATCTAGATCTATATAAATTCTATTTCGTTCGGGGGTAGTTATAAAAGTGTCCGCACTTTATAACTGCTAAAAAGGGTAACGTATAAAATGTAAGTTTCAAATGAGATAATATAATTTATATCACCTGCTGACATGATGAATGATAAGATGAAAGCTGCTAATTTGATGCCCCCAAATAAAATTATGACTAATAGCGGGGGAAATTAAGGAAGTGACTACTTAATTAAATGTGTTCATTAGCGCGAAGCTTGCACTGGTATCGGTGAGTAGAAGTTCTTGAAAACGCGCATACAACAGACATGATATCAAATCCCCATTGTCCAATGTGGTGTTTTCACTGTGATAAGTTTTTATTATCTTAGCCCTATTGTGAAAGTTATTGTGATCGTCATAGTTACGTGTTAGTGATCTTCTGTGTCGCCCAATTTAGTCGTGTAAGACAGCCAAACTTTAATGTGATACATAATTCACAGGCAAAAGGCCAGAAAACATAGTTGTCTAAATAATTCAAAACCTACAAACACACAGTTGCCTACAAAGTTCACAGAGCAGCAAACATACTTTCTTCTTCATTTTAGTGTTGAACGGGATTCCCCCCCCCCCCCCCCCCCCAACACAATTAAGTATACGTGTCAACGGGTTATGTACCATTTAGGCCGTTGACTCCATAGCCTTTGTTCAACCAAGAACAAACTACAAGGCAGCAGTTTTGGAGTTGTCTCTCCTAGAAGAGTTGCTGTCCTCAGCTGTTGAGCCTCATCTGCCCGAGGTTTTGAACATGAGGCTTCACCGGCTCGACCACGCCGACCCCAGCAACCACACACTTGTCTACATAATTCACAGACCAACAACCATACACTTGTCTACATAATTCACAGACCAGGAACCATACACTTGTCTACATAATTCACAGACCAGCAACCATACACTTGTCTACATAATTCACAGACCAGCAACCATACACTTGTCTACATAATTCACAGACCAGGAACCATACACTTGTCTACATAATTCACAGACCAGCAACCATACACTTGTCTACATAATTCACAGACCAGCAACCATACACTTGTCTACATAATTCACAGACCAGCAACCATACACTTTTCTACATAATTCACAGACCAGCAACCATACACTTGTCTACATAATTCACAGACCAGCAACCATACACTTGTCTACATAATTCACAGACCAACAAACATACACTTGTCTACATAATTCACAGACAAAAAATATACACTTGTCTACATAATTCACAGACCAGCAACCATACACTTGTCTACATAATTCACAGACCAGCAACCATACACTTGTCTACATAATTCACAGACCAGAAACATACACTTGTCTACATAATTCACAGACCAGAAACATACACTTGTCTACATAATTCACAGACCAACAAACATACACTTGTCTACATAATTCACAGACCAGTGTGACCTACTTAGGTCGAGTCAGGTTCTATTTTTATTTTGACATTGTATAATACCTTATATGGAGTGATTGTGCAACAACCGGGGTTTTTCCGCTGACTTATTAAGGGGTCTAAGACATAGAAATTTTCCATTAAGATCTGATTGAATGATTCTGGTCAGATGACTATCCCAACCAATGGCTACATGAGAGGAGGATAATCTCCCCTGTGGCAGAAGTCTTTAATTGCACCGCACACTCGCCACACGTGGCAGTTTACCTTGATCGGGCCGTCTACCTTGATCAAACAGTCTATACCAGGCCGTCCATATTGTCCGGCAATAGATTCTGACCATTTGAACGTGAGAGAACTTAAGTCCTGTGTGTGCTACGCTTTCTTAAGTTGATTTAGTCTTCTAGTATAATATTACTTGTCGCCAAGTAATTCTTGAAGCTATAGCAGTGTTGTGTGGCCTGTGGCTATTTTTTTAGGCAGTGTAGAAATCTGTGATAGTGTTTTTTCCTACACTCTGTAAGTTGGGTTTTGATATTTTATACATTAAATATTTTATCTAGTTTAACCTTGTGTTCTGCCACAACTGTGTTCGCTTATTAAAGGTTGTATGTAGATTGGATGAGTGTTAATTACAATAGTATCACTAGTTTTCCCTAGACATCGAATTCGAGCCCTAGTGTGTCGTTGTGTTAGTGTTCATCCATTTAGGCCGTAAGGCATTTGCATATGACCCCGAAAAAAGAATCCGGGGACGTTCACCTTCTATCTGGCTGATAGATAGGGGACGTTACAAAGTGGGGGCTCGTCCGGGATTTAATCTGTCGTTCCAGTTGTTGGTTATATCAGTAAGCACTAAGTTTAGTTTGATTTGGTTGTTTTTCTATCCAGTGCGCCGTGTTCTTACAGCGCGCGCAAGCCTAGAGGTATCTAGGTCAACAGCCAGACGTGTCACGATAAGAGGTCAAGTACACGGCCCAACGCTCAGTGTTAAGTTAGTGAACCTAGGCTTGTTGTGATTTGAAAGTTAGTGTTATGGAGTCTTTTTTGGCTAATCCCACTTTTGAGCAGGTAGAGAAGTTGAGTAGAAAAGTTTTGGTTAGTGTTGTTAAGGAATTGAAATTGGATTATTCTGTTACGCAGAAGTCAGAGGTGTTGAGGGATAAAATTGTTGTTCATTTTATTAATGAAGGGGTATTTGATGAAAGTTTGTTGGCTGGTGTGTTACTCCGGGAGGAGAAAGTTGCTTTAGAGAAGGCATTAAAAGAACAGGAGTTAGAGGTTAAAATTGCTTTAGATAGGAGGAGGTTGGAATCAGAATTTGGTCAAGTTAGTGATGTTACTTCTCTGGTAGATCCAAAAAAGTTGTCGGTAGGGCAAGTGATTGCCAAATTCGGGAAATTAGTTCCTAAATTTGATGAAACAGATTTGGTCGTTTTCTTTAACTCGTTTGAGAGTTTAGCTAAGACATGTGAATGGCCCGAAACTTCCATTACTGCTTTATTGAGCTCGGTCCTTACTGGGAAAGCTGCAAAAACATACCAGGCACTCTCTCACGACGTTCAAAATAACTATAGTTTGGTCAAGACTGCCATTTTGAAGGCCTACGAGCTGACGCCTGAGGCCTATCGGACAAAATTCCGAACACTCCGCAAGTTACCCACTCAATCATACGTGGAATTTCTCTTTGAAAAGGAGAAAATATTTTCAAGGTGGCTACACTCGGAGGAAGTTTCTGAGTTTGAGAAACTCAGGTCACTTATCCTAAGGGAAGAATTCCTATCGTCCCTGCCTGAAGAGATACGACTACACATACTGGATAACAAGATAATTGACATCCGGAAGGCTGCTGAGTCGGCTGACACATATATGTTGGTGCATAAGAAACCACCAGTGTCAGGAAACCGCCTCAACCCCGTGCTTCCCCTTTTTGGCAGCAATCCTCCTGTTGGCCAACACTTGAAGGCATCACAGTCCAGAGAGAACCCAAGATCAACTCTCAATCGTCGAGCGGTATGCCAGTTCTGCAAAAGACCTGGTCATCTTGTCAAGGACTGTTACAAACGTCGTCAATATAACAGAGAGGTGGTGCGTACTTCTGCGCACTATGCTCTATCCCCTCAAGCAGCCAGTTCAACTAAGAACTCTAGAATTCTAAAGGACTCTAACCCTAAGTGTCCGCAAGAAGGTAGTCAAATCTCCACATATTATGTGCAGTCACATTTTGACTGTTCTCGCCACCATCCAGTTTCTTCAGAGTCTACCGATCTCGAGGGATCGAGAAAAGTTGACTTTTCATCTTTTATTGCCGAAGCCATCATTAGCAAACCAGGTGATCCGTTGTCTCAGCGGAATATCACCGTCCTAAGAGACACAGGAGCGTCACAATCACTTCTTTTGAAAAGTTCAATGGACATTACACCAGAGACGAACACCGGAAATATTTCCATAATCCAGGGAGTGGGGACAAAATCTACTGTCGTCCCTCTACACAAGTTTGCCCTGAAACATCATCTCGTCGAAGGTGAGGTCATTTTAGGTGTGATAGATAGTATTCCTGTCCCAGGAGTACACCTACTTCTAGGGAATGACCTTGCGGGAAGCAAAGTATACCCCTGTACGGTTTCAGACCCTTTGTCAACAGTTCCAGATAATGATAATGAACTGTATCCTGCATGCGCGGTGACAAGAAGCCAAACCAAACAATTGGCTGACACAACGTCTGAACCACACCTACCATCATCGTCAAGAAATTCGACTCCCAAACTGGAGTCTATGCTTCCAGAAAACACAAGCCTGGGCTTACCCCTGAGAATATCTCAGGAAGACATCATTAAAGCTCAACAAGTCGACGCGGAACTCAAAGCAACGGTCGAAAAATCTCTCTCATCTGACGATGGAGAATATTTCTCCGAGAACGGCCTCTTCCTTCGTCGCGCTATACCAGTGAATGCCTCACCAGCCGAACCATGGTTGGGTAAAAACCAGCTGTGGGTCCCTCCACCTTATCGGCATGAAATACTTAAGCTGGCACATGACCATCCAATGTCAGCGCACCCAGGAGTCTCTAAAACGACGGCGAAGATCAAAGAACTGTTCTTTTGGCCCAAAATGAGAAATGATGTGTCGCGTTACTGTAAAAGTTGCACAAACTGTCAGTTGGCCGGAAAGCCAAACCAGACAATTCCTAAGGCCCCTTTGAGTCCGATTCCTGTATTAGAAGAACCTTTTTCTAAAATCGTCATGGACTGTGTAGGTCCCTTGCCTAAAACCAAGGCGGGCAACGAGTACCTACTTACCTTTATGTGTTCAAGTACCCGTTTTCCCGAGGCAATTCCCTTACGGAACATTAAGGCAAAGACTGTAGTCAGAGCCATGACCCGGTTCTTCACTACCTTTGGATTACCTAGAATCGTGCAAACAGATCAAGGCAGCAACTTCACCAGTCACCATTTTCAGGAAGCACTAGCCAAGCTAGGCGTTACCCACATCACCAGCTCAGCCTACCACCCTCAGTCTCAAGGCGTACTTGAGAGGTTCCACCAAACCCTCAAAACCATGCTAAGAACGTTCACTAACAGTAACACCCAATGGGATGAGACTGTTCCTTGGATTATTTTCGCTGCGAGGGACTGTGTCCAGGACTCTTTAGGCTACTCTCCTTTTCAACTTGTGTTTGGACATTCTGTCCGAGGTCCCCTGAAGCTGATCCACGAACAGTGGACAGGTACCAGCGTTCATCCTGTGGAAAACTTTGATGATTTTCACGTTCGACTGAAAGCCGTGTGCGAAATGGCTCACAAGAACTTAAGAAGGGCCCAAGTGAGAATGAAAGGACTGTATGATAAGAGTTCTTGTAAACGAACATTCAATCCAGGCGACAAAGTTCTTGTGCTAGTGCCTAATCTGAACAATGCGTTATCCTTGAGATATTGTGGACCCTTTACTGTGCATTCAAAATTAAGTGATTTGAACTATGTTGTCAATACGCCCGACAGAAGAAAGAAACAGACAGTGTATCATGTTAATTCACTGAAAAAGTATTATGATAATTGTAACAATTTTCATTCCACAGCCAAAATTACTTTACCTGTATGTTCAAATGTTTCTGATGATGTGATACATGATAAATTGAAACCCCCAAAATTGGTAAATTCTTCCTTTTTAGATAATTTGAATGTCCACCTTATGCATTTGTCCACAGAGGAAAGCCATAGATTGTCTCAGTTATTTGAGACATTTCCCTCTATTTTTGGGGATGTCCCCAAAGAAGCGAAGGTTCCACCTCATGATGTAGACGTAGGTGACGCAAAACCCATCAAACAACACCCCTATAGAGTTAACCCGGAAAAAGCTGCTTTGATAAAAGATGAAATTGATTATATGCTCAAGAATGATATCATTGAGCCCAGTTTCAGCAACTGGAGTTCCCCATGTCTCCTAGTACCGAAAGACGGTGGATCTTTCAGGTTTGTGACCGACTTTAGGAAGGTAAATGCGCTCACCAAAGCTGATTCCTATCCATTACCACGGATAGAAGACGTTATTGATAAAGTTGGTCAGGCTAAGATAATTTCCAAAATTGATTTACTTTCAGGATACTGGCAAATCCCCTTATCTGACCGTGCAAAAGAAATATCTGCTTTTGTAACCCCTAATGGTTTTTATAGATACAAACGTATGCCCTTTGGTATGCGAAATGCTGGTCAAACTTTCCAGAGGGTCATTAACTCTGTCATTGCTGACATAGACCAATGTGAGGCCTACATAGATGATATAGTTGTATTTTCTAATACTTTTGAAGAACATATTGTTCAGTTGACTAACCTTTTTAGAAAATTGTCTGAAGTGAATTTTACTGTAAACTTACATAAAAGTGATTTCTGTAAAGCTTCAATTACCTATTTGGGTTACCAAGTGGGAACGAACCAAGTTCGGCCCATTGAAGCTAAAGTAGATGCTATTGTAAGGTTACCACCTCCCAAAAATTGTAAAGAGATCAAAAAGTTCCTTGGGATGGCTGGTTACTATAGGCGGTTCTGTCAAAACTTTTCAGCTATTGCTGAACCTCTTACTGCATTATTAAAAAAGGGTGTTGAGTTTGAATGGTCAAATAAATGTCAAGAAGTTTTTTTAACCATTAAGTCATTTTTATCTAATGCTCCTGTTATGGCTGCACCAAATCTCAGCAAGCCCTTTAAACTTGCCATTGATGCTAGCAACTTAGCCATTGGCTCAGTCCTATTTCAAGAAGACAACATGGGAATTGACCATCCCATTGCCTTTTTTTCCAGGAAGTTAAATGAGAACCAAAAGAATTACTCTACTATTGAAAAAGAAGCTTTAGCTTTGGTTTTATCACTACAACATTTTGAAGTCTATGTCTCTTCTTCAACCAATCCAGTCAGAGTGTTTTCTGACCATGATCCCCTGAAATTTACCTCTAAGTTCGGACAGACAAATCAAAGAATATTGAGATGGTGTTTATATTTCCAAAATTTTAATCTGGAAATTTCACACATTAAGGGTAGTGATAATGTTGTGGCTGATTGTTTGTCAAGGATGTAAAATCTTATTGCACACATTGATCATGTGACATGTTTTGTGGTTCATTAAGACCATACACTAGTGTTGTGTTTTCACATGAAAATGAGTGGTATGATTTTTGATTTTTTGAAAATTCCAATTCTAGTGAATATTTTGTTTATTTTCAGGTGAACCTTAATTAAAGGTGGTTTTTGATTCTATGTAATCTTTTATAATAAAATGTCTCAGATGACTCAATTGATATTGTAGCTAGTCATTGAAATAAAGGTCTTACCCTGGCGGGTTTACCACTTTTAATATCCACATGGAAATATTGTAATACCCTTTTTTGAGGGATTTAGATGTATAATTACCTTTTGAAGGGTTACTTCCCTTTCACCAATTGTAAAAGTTGGAGTTACTTCCCTTTTATGTTCAGGGATATTTTCATCTGGTATTATGATTTTGATTGCCTACATTTGTAAAACATTTTTTTTATTTCATTGCCAGATTGGTTCCTTATGTATGTTTTTGTGGAACCTATCTGTCACTTCCAAAAAGGGAGGGGATGTGACCTACTTAGGTCGAGTCAGGTTCTATTTTTATTTTGACATTGTATAATACCTTATATGGAGTGATTGTGCAACAACCGGGGTTTTTCCGCTGACTTATTAAGGGGTCTAAGACATAGAAATTTTCCATTAAGATCTGATTGAATGATTCTGGTCAGATGACTATCCCAACCAATGGCTACATGAGAGGAGGATAATCTCCCCTGTGGCAGAAGTCTTTAATTGCACCGCACACTCGCCACACGTGGCAGTTTACCTTGATCGGGCCGTCTACCTTGATCAAACAGTCTATACCAGGCCGTCCATATTGTCCGGCAATAGATTCTGACCATTTGAACGTGAGAGAACTTAAGTCCTGTGTGTGCTACGCTTTCTTAAGTTGATTTAGTCTTCTAGTATAATATTACTTGTCGCCAAGTAATTCTTGAAGCTATAGCAGTGTTGTGTGGCCTGTGGCTATTTTTTTAGGCAGTGTAGAAATCTGTGATAGTGTTTTTTCCTACACTCTGTAAGTTGGGTTTTGATATTTTATACATTAAATATTTTATCTAGTTTAACCTTGTGTTCTGCCACAACTGTGTTCGCTTATTAAAGGTTGTATGTAGATTGGATGAGTGTTAATTACAATAGTATCACTAGTTTTCCCTAGACATCGAATTCGAGCCCTAGTGTGTCGTTGTGTTAGTGTTCATCCATTTAGGCCGTAAGGCATTTGCATATGACCCCGAAAAAAGAATCCGGGGACGTTCACCTTCTATCTGGCTGATAGATAGGGGACGTTACACCAGAAACATACACTTGTCTACATAATTCACAGACCAACAAACATACACTTGTCTACATAATTCACAGACCAGCAACCATACACTTGTCTACATAATTCACAGACCAGCAACCATACACTTGTCTACATAATTCACAGACCAGCATCCATACACTTTTCTACATAATTCACAGACCAGCAACCATACACTTGTCTACATAATTCACAGACCAGCAACCATACACTTGTCTACATAATTCACAGATCAACAAACATACACTTGTCTACATAATTCACAGACAAAAAACATACACTTGTCTACATAATTCACAGACCAGCAACCATACACTTGTCTACATAATTCACAGACCAGAAACATACAGCCTACATTTGTCACACACAGGCACCGGTTCACTTTCTAAGCTGAGCTGGGGCTCTAGACAATTCACTTTCTAAGGTGGGCTGGGGCTCTAGACAATTCACTTTCTAAGGTGAGCTGGGGCTCTAGACAATTCACTTTCTAAGGTGGGCTGGGGCTCTTGACAATTCACTTTCTAAGGTGAGCTGGGGCTCTAGACAATTCACTTTCTAAGGTGAGCTGGGGCTCTAGACAATTCACTTTCTAAGGTGGGCTGGGGCTCTAGACAATTCACTTTCTAAGGTGAGCTGGGGCTCTAGACAATTCACTTTCTAAGGTGAGCTGGGGCTCTAGACAACTCACTTTCTAAGGTGAGCTGGGGCTCTAGACAATTCACTTTCTAAGGTGGGCTGGGGCTCTAGACAATTCACTTTCTAAGGTGAGCTGGGGCTCTAGACAATTCACTTTCTAAGGTGAGCTGGGGCTCTAGACAATTCACTTTCTAAGGTGAGCTGGGGCTCTAGACAATTCACTTTCTAAGGTGAGCTGGGGCTCTAGACAATTCACTTTCTAAGGTGAGCTGGGGCTCTAGACAATTCACTTTCTAAGGTGAGCTGGGGCTCTAGACAATTCACTTTCTAAGGTGAGCTGGGGCTCTAGACAATTCACTTTCTAAGGTGGGCTGGGGCTCTAGACAATTCACTTTCTAAGGTGAGCTGGGGCTCTAGACAATTCACTTTCTAAGGTGAGCTGGGGCTCTAGACAATTCACTTTCTAAGGTGGGCTGGGGCTCTAGACAATTCACTTTCTAAGGTGAGCTGGGGCTCTAGACAATTCACTTTCTAAGGTGAGCTGGGGCTCTAGACAATTCACTTTCTAAGGTGAGCTGGGGCTCTAGACAATTCACTTTCTAAGGTGGGCTGGGGCTCTAGACAATTCACTTTCTAAGGTGAGCTGGGGCTCTAGACAATTCACTTTCTAAGGTGAGCTGGGGCTCTAGACAATTCACTTTCTAAGGTGAGCTGGGGCTCTAGACAATTCACTTTCTAAGGTGAGCTGGGGCTCTAGACAATTCACTTTCTAAGGTGAGCTGGGGCTCTAGACAATTCACTTTCTAAGGTGAGCTGGGGCTCTAGACAATTCACTTTCCACACCAACGAGACATAAAATACGACCAAAAACGTAAAAGCATTTTCTTTCAAGTTTATTAAATAAATGTACAAACATAAAAAACGTTTCCAAAGCAATGTTTCAACAAAACTATTCTCATTAACCTTTAGACAAGAATCTGTTCTGTGGCTGGTTTAGGGTAACGTGACATTCAAATGGTGAATCCAACAGTTAGAGAACATTAAACAATATAAATTTTTTATAACAATATTGGAGAGGGACGGATATTTTATCACAGATGTTTGACTTGTACAAGTAATTTACAATGTAGTGGCCACCTTTATGGGGCTACTGGAGGGAATGGGTGGGTTGAATGGACTACTGGAATGACAAGTTTGGGTTGGGTGTGGCCCCCTACTGGAATGAAAAGTTTGGGTTGGGTGTGGCCCCGCACCAGTTGCCAATAAACTTGAGGGTGTCTTGTAGTTCTGGGCTGTGGGACACCTGCAAGTAGAGAAATTGTCCTGGTCAGTGACAGGTGTCACATTACTGTCACCCTGACAGCTGTCACATTTGTCACAAACACAGTTGCAACAAGTGCTAAAATATTTATGAAAATGAAATGTTACAAAGGGTGTCTCCTGGTCAAGCCTTACCTTGGTGGCCATGAGGAGCTTGTTCCAGTCTTCTTTGTTGGCTACTTTGTTTGGGTTCTTGAACTCCAGTTTGTTCCTCAACACAGGGTAACCTGCAGATAGGAAGGGGTTAATTTTACTAGCTGTGCAACATAACCTGCAGACTGTGAGGGGTTAATTTTACCAGCTGTGCAACATAACCTGCAGACAGTGAGGGGTTAATTTTACTAGCTGTGCAACATAACCTGCAGACAGTGAGGGGTTAATTTTACCAGCTGTGCAACATAACCTGCAGATAGGAAGGGGTTAATTTTACCAGCTGTGCAACATAACCTGCAGATAGGAAGGGGTTAATTTTACTAGCTGTGCAACATAACCTGCAGATAGGAAGGGGTTAATTTTACTAGCTGTGCAACATAACCTGCAGATAGGAAGGGGTTAATTTTACTAGCTGTGCAACATAACCTGCAGATAGGAAGGGGTTAATTTTACTAGCTGTGCAACATAACCTGCAGATAGGAAGGGGTTAATTTTACTAGCTGTGCAACATAACCTGCAGAAAGAAAGGGGTTAATTTTACTAGCTGTGCAACATAACCTGCAGATAGGAAGGGGTTAATTTTACTAGCTGTGTAACATAACCTGCAGACAGTGAAAGGTTAATTTACTAGCTAAGCAAGGGAAACATGTATGGCACAACCTTGAAAAACAAAACAAAATTATGGCCCACCCATCACGACAGTTAGAACAAAATTATGACCCACCCATCACAACACAGAACAAAATTATGACCCACCCATCACAACACAGAACAAAATTATGACCCACCCATCACAACACAGAACAAAATTATGACCCACCCATCACGACACAGAACAAAATTATGGCCCACCCATCACAACACAGAACAAAATTATGACCCACCCATCACGACACAGAACAAAATTATGACCCACCCATCACAACACAGAACTAAATTAAGACCCACCCATCACAACACAGAACAAAATTATGACCCACCCATCACAACACAGAACAAAATTATGACCCACCCATCACAACACAGAACAAAATTATGACCCACCCATCACGACACAGAACAAAATTATGGCCCACCCATCACAACACAGAACAAAATTATGACCCACCCATCACGACACAGAACAAAATTATGACCCACCCATCACGACACATAACAAAATTATGACCCACCTGTAACGACGCAGGGCATAGACCTTATGCCTGTATCCATGGCAACCAGAGAAGCCTCATATGTCCCCCTCTCATCTTTAGGAAGGATTTGCTCCACTTTCCTGTCCATAGACACAGCCAGCACCCATTCTTTCACCTCCTCGTGTTGCTGGCTCTGGGGGGTCAAAACATGGGGCATTTAAAGGTTGGCTCAGGGGGTCAAAACATGGGGCATTTAAAGGTTGGCTCAGGGGGTCAAAACATGGGGCATTTAAAGGCTGGCTCTGGGGGGTCAAAACATGGGGCATTTAAAGGCTGGCTCTGGGGGGTCAAAACATGGGGCATTTAAAGGCTGGCTCTGGGGGGTCAAAACATGGGGCATTTAAAGGCTGGCTCTGGGGGGTCAAAACATGGGGCATTTAAAGGTTGGCTCAGGGGGGTCAAAACATGGGGCATTTAAAGGCTGGCTCTGGGGGGTCAAAACATGGGGCATTTAAAGGCTGGCTCTGGGGGGTCAAAATATGGGGCATTTAAAGGTTGGCTCAGGGGGTCAAAACATGGGGCATTTAAAGGTTGGCTCAGGGGGTCAAAACATGGGGCATTTAAAGGTTGGCTCAGGTCAAAACATGGGGCATTTAAAGGCTGGCTCTGGGGGGTCAAAACATGGGGCATTTAAAGGCTGGCTCTGGGGGGTCAAAATATGGGGCATTTAAAGGTTGGCTCAGGGGGTCAAAACATGGGGCATTTAAAGGCTGGCTCTGGGGGGTCAAAACATGGGGCATTTAAAGGTTGGCTCAGGGGGTCAAAACATGGGGCATTTAAAGGTTGGCTCAGGGGGTCAAAACATGGGGCATTTAAAGGTTGGCTCAGGGGGTCAAAACATGGGGCATTTAAAGGTTGGCTCAGGGGGTCAAAACATGGGGCATTTACTGGTTAGTTCTTGGGGGGTCAAAACATGGGGCATTTAAAGGTTAGTTCTTGGGGGGTCAAAACATGGGGCATTTACTGGTTAGTTCTTGGGGGGTCAAAACATGGGGCATTTACTGGTTAGTTCTTGGGGGGTCAAAACATGGGGCATTTACTGGTTAGTTCTTGGGGGGTCAAAACATGGGGCATTTACTGGTTAGTTCTTGGGGGGTCAAAACATGGGGCATTTACTGGTTAGTTCTTGGGGGGTCAAAACATGGGGCATTTACTGGTTAGTTTTTGTGTGTGTGGGGGGGGGGGGGGTGTCAAAACATGGGGCATTTACTGGTTCGTTTTGTTTTTGGGGAGGGTGGTGGTGGTGGTCAAAACATGGGTTATTTACTGGTTAGTTTTTTTTTTTGAGGGGGGGTGTTCAAAACACGGGTCATTTACTGGTTGGCCCTTGGGGTTCAAAACACGGGTCATATAGTGGTTGGCCATTGGGGGAGGGGGGATGGTTTAAAACATGGGTTATTTATAGGTTGGCTTTGGGGGAAGGTGTTAAAATCTGATAGCAATGGGGGTTAAAATATCAGTCAATAAAAACAGACGGAATTAGCTTTCCCTGCCCAGACAGCAACCTACTCTAGCCCAGCTAGTCAACAGCAGCAGACTTACAGTGAGGTAAGCTTTCTCTGGAATTGGGATCTCAAATGGAATGTCTGTTTCCTGGAAGTCACTGTGGTCCAGCATGTCCAGTGTTCCTTCTTCCATGGCCTGCAAGAGCATCAAGCATGTTTATATCAGAGGGATATCATCATATGGATACAACCATTGAGTCACTACCCTCCACCCCCACACCCTTCAAACAAGCTGATCATTTGCAAAGGTGAAAAGTAAATTTTTCTCGTCACTTTATGTGTAGTCAGTACAGTTGCCAGGTATTTTTATAATGTTTCAAAGATGGCTAAATCTTAAAAATTAAAAAAATTGATTTTTTTCTACTTCACCCATGCCTCTGAAGAACACAGTAGAACTATCGTTTTGTGTGGAGCTTTATAATAAATGGTGTAAGTAGTCTCTTTAGCTCAAAACTATTCCTGATAACAAATCTAAGCTCCAATAAACTAGTGGCTAGAGGATGGGGGTCTCACCTCACTGATGTCCAGGTATCTGTTGAGGAAAACAAAGGCCATGTTCTCCCATCCTAGAGACTGAAAGTAAAACATTTCAAACCACATGTTAACATTTCAAACTATATATAGACAAATGAAATTTTATAGAAACATTTGACATTTTATATAAACATTTGAAATTTCATTCAAACATTTCAAACTATATAATATGTTTTAAAATTTCACAGATATTTTGAATTTTATTTCCTACAAACATTTATTTCACATTAAGGTTTTTTTTTAAAAAAATCAGTTTCATAAATCTATCATCTTATACAAACCTGGCTTATTTTTAAAAATTACCAGTCTTCAACACTTAAATGCATAATTTTAAAAACAATATTTAATTTAAGTTGCAGCATTCCTAACACTCTTAAACAAATGTCAGCTTACCTTACACATCATTCCTGCCTCATAGAAAGCCTTATCAGACAGATGAGGTCATCTTACCTTACACATCATTCCTGCCTCATAGAAAGCCTTATCAGACAGGTCAGCTTACCTTACACATCATTCCTGCCTCATAGAAAGCCTTATCAGACAGGTCAGCTTACCTTACACATCATTCCTGCCTCATAGAAAGCCTTATCAGACAGGTCAGCTTACCTTACACATCATTCCTGCCTCATAGAAAGCCTTATCAGCAGGAACAACGTCAGTGTGACGCAGCAGGGAGACTGACAGCTTGCCTGCGATGCTCTCCAGCGAGGGCTGGGCCTGGGCTGCACACCGCACAGCGTAGTAGTGAGAGATGAGCAGCATCTTCTCAAACTCCTCGTGGTACGGCCCATTGGCCTCGGATGTCTTGCTGATGTTTTCACACTAAAACAACAACATGTGTCAACACTTCAAGAGGGGAAAAAGTCTCTATCGTCAATATGGCAATTAAATTATTAACAATTTTGTTATTAAAACTTGTATAATGCAGTACATGAGGAAAAAGGTTGATTTTTGTCTGCGTATAATTAAATTAAAATATCCTTACTAAATCATACAGCATGTCCCTTAACTCTGCCCAAGACCTGTATGCTTCAGGCTTACTCATCTCCCTTTTAACTAGAATATCTGTAAATATCCTTTTGTATATGTTGTAGTTCTGTGAAAGAAATAACATTTATAATACTACTGTTAGCTGAGACCAAATGAATTGTATTAAAATATTCTCAAATATGGGTTAACCATTGCATATTTTAGTACATTTTGAGCAGAAAACGTCCTTTACTTCAGAAAGAGAAAATTAATAGTAGTGGGTTATGGGATTGATAGATTGATATAAATGCCACATAGAACAAACATTGTTTTTAATTTATAGCACAACAGTTGTTGCAAAGGACCACATACAATTAAATAAGTTGTAGTTATTTTTTGGCAACATTGTTGCAAAAACCTGGTCATTAATTTAGCAGCATCAGTTAGTCAACCATTTCAAACTTGCCTGTGAGTTGGCAGGTGTTCCATGTTTAGCAAAAAGGTCAAGGGCAGCTAAAGAGTTGTTGTTCTTGATGAGGTGGGTAGCATACAGTGCAATATATTTATGGAGAATCTTGGGGTTCTGAAACCAGAGCAGCAACATGTAAAATCTGGAAACATTATAACAGATACCTGACTTAAACGTGGACTTGTTGGCTTAGTTGTAAACACTTTTTAAAAAGTTTATTTTACTTTACTTAAAAACTTTTATTATAGCCAAATGTTGGTCATATTTATTTTCCACCAAAGTTAGTTTGACCAGTCAGAGAGGTAGAAAGCATCTGCTACCTTTTGTTGTTCAGCTGTCTGGATACATTTGGTCCACTCTCCTTTCTCTGCAAACATGTCCAGTGCCCCAATGATGTCCACTGTCACCAGCTGAGGTTCAAATTAACAAATACACATTTTTAAAGTTGTGTACAAATGTTGGACAATAGATTTTCTTTGAACAGGGAAATTTTTAAAGGAACCATTTTTTTAGAGTTGTAAAACTATTTGTTAAACTGACAAGCGAAATGATTTATGTAACAAAACACAAAAACTGTAAAAGGCAGTTATTTTAGTTAAAGAAGGAAAGAATATTGATACACACATCATCAGCTTTTCCTTGATTACGGCAGAATTCTTTGTACTTTTCATCCACATAACTTTCAAATCTGAAATATAACTTCTTGGTATGTATTCCGTTTATATTTGTCTTGATACATTCACTGTATATATTAATGCATCTATAAAAGATGCAATTATTTAAAAGAGACAATTACCTAGGGTCCATTTCTTTGGCCACTTTTTTAGCCTTATTCCAGTCTCCAGCAGTTATCAACATATCTACTCCTTCTTTCACCATGTCTATACTTAGAAACAGTTCAGCTGCCTGTGGATGGTTGGTGTATGTTCAAATACTCAGTAAATAAAACACATGAAGCCTATGACAGTGAATAGGTACCTACATACAGCAGTGCTCAAATAAAACAGAAAAGCTTACAGAGGCATGGCACTTGATCTCTGCCAAACGAGGTCCTACAACCTCTACCACCATTTGAGCTTTTTGGTTGTCAAGAAACTTGATGGCAATGTCACCAGCCTAGGGAGGTCAAGACATAATAGCTGTAAGATTCTGGGAGGTAAATCTAAACACAGGACACAATGTGCAAGTAGATCTAAACACAGGACACACAATGTGCAAGTAGATCTAAACACAGGACCCACAATGTGCAAGTAGATCTAAACACAGGACACACAATGTGCAAGTAGATCTAAACACAGGACACACAATGTGCAAGTAGATCTAAACACAGGACACACAATGTGCAAGTAGATGTAAACACAGGACACAATGTGCAAGTAGATCTAAACACAGGACACAATGTGCAAGTAGATCTAAACACAGGACACACAATGTGCAAGTAGATCTAAACACAGGACACAATGTGCAAGTAGATCTAAACACAGGACACAATGTGCAAGTAGATCTAAACACAGGACACACAATGTGCAAGTAGATCTAAACACAGGACACAATGTGCAAGTAGATCTAAACACAGGACCCACAATGTGCAAGTAGATCTAAACACAGGACCCACAATGTGCAAGTAGATCTAAACACAGGACACAATGTGCAAGTAGATCTAAACACAGGACACACAATGTGCAAGTCAATCTAAACACAGGACACAATGTGCAAGTAGATCTAAACACAGGACACACAATGTGCAAGTCAATCTAAACACAGGACACAATGTGCAAGTAGATCTAAACACAGGACACACAATGTGCAAGTCAATCTAAACACAGGACACAATGTGCAAGTAGATCTAAACACAGGACACACAATGTGCAAGTAGATCTAAACACAGGACACACAATGTGCAAGTCAATCTAAACACAGGACACAATGTGCAAGTAGATCTAAACACAGGACACAATGTGCAAGTAGATCTAAACACAAGACACACAATGTGCAAGTAGATCTAAACACAGGACACAATGTGCAAGTAGATCTAAACACAGGACACAAGTCATAAGAAACTCTACACACATGAGACACAGGACCAGGTAAAGACTCCATACCTTCATCAGACATTTCTCAACAATCTTCAGGTCTGGCACTGTGTCAGGTGTGACCTTCAGGTAACACTCTACAGCCCTCTGATGTTCACCTGAGGCCTCCCACTCCCTAGCCTGTCTGACAATGGCCTCCGCCCCTCTGGTCGACAAAACAAACACTGGTTCAAATCTTAGTTACACAGTACGTGACAACAGAAACAAACACTGGCTCAAATCTTAGTTACACAGTACGTGACAACAGAAACACTGGTTCAAATCTTAGTTACACAGTACGTGACAACAGAAACACTGGTTCAAATCTTAGTTACACAGTACGTGACAACAGAAACAAACACTGGCTCAAATCTTAGTTACACAGTACGTGACAACAGAAACACTGGTTCAAATCTTAGTTACACAGTACGTGACAACAGAAACACTGGTTCAAATCTTAGTTACACAGTACGTGACAACAGAAACAAACACTGGTTCAAATCTTAGTTACACAGTACGTAACAACAGAAACACTGGTTCAAATCTTAGTTACACAGTACGTGACAACAGAAGGATAAATTATGACAGACAGTACCACACATTATTTATTTAAATATATTTAAGCATATATTCTGTCTAATCTCAGGGGTAAGAAATATTTGCTTTAGCAGTATTAAATTTCTAAAAGTAAAAAAGATAAACAACAGTTATAATAACATTGGATAATTGTAGTAACCTCCTTTAGAAAAAGAAACTACACTTATAGATATGATGGTATTTAATAGTATTTAAATTTTCTAATTAAAGGGAAATAGATTTTGCTGCTTGAATCTCAAATGTGTTCACTAGAATTTTATCTATTTATAAAGCAGCTGTAAATAGCAAATAATAAAGCATAAATATTGTAAAGCTTTTATAAAGTTAACAGTGACATATTATATGGGCTGATGATCATTTTGTGAATATTAGAGTTTAGCAAATTGTGTGTGAAAGCTGTGTAGAAAAAAATATTGCAATAAAGTTTTTATCAACATTAAAAAATAAATATGTACATGGCTTTTACAAAAAAAAAACAAGTAACAAACAAAAAGTAGGATCACTTGATATTATGACATTAACTAAGTTTAAAACAACAGAGCAGGGGATAGTGCTATTCTAGTTCAAATGCTGAGTAAGCATAAAAAAAAAGAGCTTCAAGTATATAATAAATAAAATAGAAGTGTATTACAACATTGTCATTAGTTTAAATAAATAATATGGACAGGCTAGTTTAAGTATATAACTAAAACTTTAAAAGTTAGAGATACAATGTTACAAAGAGTAAAAAAAAAATGAGCATAGATTATGATGAGAACACAGCAAGCCGATACTCACCCTCCCCCCTGTGATCTGGTAGGGCAAAGAAAACTAGTGGCTCATTGTGGGCTCAAATATATAACAAGCTGTTTCACATTAGCACAAAACTAGTGGCTCATTGTGGGCTCAAATATATAACAAGCTGTTTCACATTAGCGCAACAAATTTTATAAATTGTTTTGTTTTGCCATATAAAGTTTCTAGTGCTGTCAATGTTGACATAATTGCCAGCTGAAGTTTCTAGCGCTGTCAATGTTGACATACTTGCCAGCTAAAGTTTCTAGTGCTGTCAATGTTGTCATACTTGACAGCTAAAGTTTCTAGCGCTGTCAATGTTGACATACTTCCTAAAGTTTCTAGCATTGTCAATGTTGACATACTTGCCAGCTCAAGTTTTTAGTGCTGTCAATGTTGACATACTTGCCAAGTATTCTAAAGTTTCTAGTGCTGTCAATGATGACATAATTGCCAGCTAAAGTTTTTAGTGCTGTCAATGTTGACATACTTGCCAGCTAAAGTTTCTAGCACTGTCAATGTTGACTTACTTGCCAGAGCGTGTGACCGCCTCCCTGTCATATTCATCTTGCAGCTGCTGCAACTTGTGAGGCAAATATTCCTTACACACACGTAGAGCATCTTGCCACATCCCACAGTCCTGGTAGTGGTACAAAAAACATCTGACTTCATAAGCCGTGTCATTTGAACATTGAATCTCCCAGATTCGTAAAACCCATTCAAAACTTTTTATAAAGTGATCCAAAATTAAATCTTAATTAAAAATTAAAACTTAATATTTTAAGAGCTTAAATTTTTCAAAACTTTTCAAAATTTTTCCTGAGAAAACTATCCCAAAATAAGTTAGAAGCAAAAAAAGTTTTTCTTAAAATAAACATTTATTTTTTTACAGAAGCTAAAAGTGTCTAGTGAGTCACTGATTGTATTCATGAAACACTTAAGAGCTGTCCAAGGAAGCGCAGAAGCCAGGATGATTTAAAACCCAGGAAGTAAGGAAGAGATAGCCTGGTGTAGGGGGCCCACCTTGTAGAACTTGACAGCCAACTCCGGCCTCTGGGCTCGCAGCAAATACGACTCAGCTTTAGCAAAATCTTTTTCCTCAAAAGCAAACCGAGCTTGTCCAACCAAAACGTCAGCCACAGAGTCAGGGTCATGTGACTCCGCCACACGCTGGGCAGAGTCCCAGTCTTGATTGTGAACATACCTAAACATTTGGTAAACACCATTAGATGCATTACGTGTTTAGTAAAGTACGGAATAAAGTGTTGTCATTAGATAAAATAAATGCTTGTTATATTTCTAACTAAAATCAGACTTCTCTATAAACCAACCAGACTTCTCTATAAACCAACCAGACTTCTCTATAAACCTACCAGACTTCTCTATAAACCAACCAGACTTCTCTATAAACCAATCAGACTTCTCTATAAACCAACCAGACTTCTCTATAAACCAATCAGACTTCTCTATAAACCTACCAGACTTCTCTATAAACCAACCAGACTTCTCTATAAACCAACCAGACTTCTCTATAAACCAACCAGACTTCTCTGTAAACCAACCAGACTTCTCTATAAACTTACATGAGTACAGCTTCTTTTGGTCTATGTGCCTTGATAAACTCTTGTTCAGCTTCCATAAACTTCCCCTCATCTTCTAGATACATGGCATGCTTCAGGTGAACATCAGGCAGTTTCTCTTTCATAGCAATGGTACACAGTTCAAAGGCAAAGTCAAAGGCACTAATTGGACAGATAAACCATTTTGTCAGATCATTTAGACAGTTAACTAGTCAATTCAATGCTACCATCTGCTACATGTGCTACATGCTACTCTACTGGTATATGGTCATATTGGCTCCAGCAATACCTCCCCCCCCCCTTCATGGTTTGGACATGAAGGGCAGTTGGGTCAAGAATCAGCCAACCTTTGAGAAGCCAGGGTTCCAAACTACTGACTTTTGGGTCAGCAAGCGTGCACTCTACTGCTAGACCATACCACCCTGCTACTATACTATCTACTGTATGTGCTATCAGCTACTGTATGAGCTATGAGCTATTGAACTGCATGTGCTTCTGAACCCACCAGTTTTCTGCAGCGTAATCTATAGCAGCCTCAAGCAAGCCAAATTTGTTGAGAAGTTTGACAGCAGAATCCCCTCCTAAACTTTTAGCCCACAGGTAGGCCACTTGTTTGGCTGCTTGCTGTCCACCTTGAGCCTTCGCCACCTGTAGAGTTCACACATCAATCATTAACTGACCTCTATATTACACAGACAACAGTTATAGTTCAAACAGCCTAGCTTAACTGTTATCACTGCAACACTATTAAGTTATGTCAATTTTTAACCATCAACATAGGATGAGCCTAAATTAATAACTATAATAGCTTCATCCATATATCTTATACATATTATACTTACTAATGTTATACCTTTTATACTTATTTATGTTACATGCCATACTTACTCTATGAGCCTCGTCCCACATATCTTGTACTTACGTCCCACATAACCTGAACTTACTCTATAACCCTCGTCCCACATATCTTGTATTTATGTACCACGTAACCTGTACTTACTCTATAAGCCTCGTCCCACATATCTTGTACTTACGTCCCACGTAATCTGTACTTACTCTATAAGCCTCGTCCCACATATCCTGAACTTACTCTATAAGCCTCGTCCCACATATCTTGTACTTACGTCCCACGTAACCTGTACTTACTCTATAAGCCTCGTCCCACATATCCTGAACTTACTCTATAAGCCTCGTCCCACATATCCTGTACTTACTCTATAAGCCTCGTCCCACATATCTTGTACTTACGTCCCACGTAACCTGTACTTACTCTATAAGCCTCGTCCCACATATCTTGTACTTACTCTATAACCCACGTCCCATATATCTTGTACTTACTCTATAACCCACGTCCCACATATCCTGAACTTACTCTATAAGCCTCGTCCCACATATCTTGTACTTACTCTATAACCCACGTCCAATATATCTTGTACTTACTCTATAACCCACGTCCCACATATCCTATACTTACTCTATAAGCCTTGTCCCACTTATCTTATACTTACGTCCCACATAACCTGTACTTACTCTATAAGCCTCGTCCCACATATCCTGAACTTACTCTATAAGCCTCGTCCCACATATCTTATACTTACGTCCCACATATCCTGTACTTACTCTATAAGCCTCATCCCACATATCTTATACTTACGTCCCACATATCCTGTACTTACTCTATAAGCCTCGTCCCACATATCCTGTGCCCTGTACATGTTGACTGAAGCCTTCCAGTCTCCCCCCTCCAGGAAATGATGTTCAGCTTGCCGGAAGTTTCCTTCACTTTCAAGTTCCTGAACAAAATTTAGACCAAATAAAATGTCTTCTTAGTTAAAATGATCACAAGCCAGCTTTACTCTCCCCAACCTATCAGATCTGGCTGGACCAGAGTGCCAGAACTGAACTCAAGACTTTCAAGGTATTCACAATGTGCTCTACTACTCAACCACACTGTACCAAATACAAAACAATGCAACAAAATGTGAGTCCAACCTTGGCTAAATGAAGGTGGGTGTCTGGGACTAGACTTTCATGGTGAGCTTTAACCAGTCGGATCATGTCGCCATACATTCTCTGTTTCTTGTACATAGTGATGGCCAGGTCTGGTTCTTCGACTGCCACATACAACCTGAAAGTCAACAACAGTTACATCCCCTGCCACATACAAAAGTCAACAACAGTTACATCCCCTGCTACATACAACCTGAAAGTCAACAACAGTTACATCCCCTACTACATACAACCTGAAAGTCAACAACAGTTACATCCCCTGCCACATACAACCTGAAAGTCAACAACAGTTACATCCCCTGCATAGATAACTTTTTACTTTTGGAGATAGAATTCAGTTTTCCTGTACATCAACCCAAGAAACCACTGACCCCTCAGTATAAAGTTTTCGTGTACATCAACCCAAGAAACCACTGACCCCTCAGTATAAAGTTTTCCTGTACATCAACCCAAGAAACCACTGACCCCTCAGTATAAAGTTTTCCTGTACATCAAACAAAGAAACCACTGACCCCTCAGTATAAAGTTTTCCTGTACATCAACCCAAGAAACCACTGACCCCTCAGTATAAAGTTTTCCTGTACATCAACCCAAGAAACCACTGACCTCTCAGCCTCTCTGAACTTCCCTTCATCCTCCAGCTGTTTGGCTTGGGCAATGTACAGGTTTGATACATCTTCTCCTTTCATGTAACTAGCAGCCAACTGGGTGGAATCAAATTATTATCATGGAAAATGTTTTCCAATTGTCTAGATCATAGATGACAGACATCCTTAAGACAGAAGATGACAGACATCCCTAAGACAGATGTTGACAAACATCCCTAAGACAGTAGTTGAGAGACATCCTTAAGACAGCAGTTGACAGACACCCCTAAGACAGCAGTTGACAGACATCCCTAAGACAGCAGTTGACAGACACCCCTAAGACAGCAGTTGACAGACATCCCTAAGACAGATGTTGACAGACATCCCTAAGACAGATGTTGATAGACACCCCTAAGACAGATGTTGACAGACATCCCTAAGACAGATGTTGAGAGACATCCCTAAAACAGATGTTGACTGACACCCCTAAGACAGCAGTTGACAGACATCCCTAAGACAGATGTTGACAGACATCCCTAAGACAGATGTTGACAGACATCCCTAAGACAGATGTTGAGAGACATCCCTAAGACAGATGTTGACTGACACCCCTAAGACAGATGATGACAGACACCCCTAAGACAGATGTTGAGAGACACCCCTAAGACAGATGTTGAGAGATACCCCTAAGACACAAGCTGTCAGACACCCCAAAGACAGATGTTGACAGACATCCCTAAGACAGATGTTGACAGACATCCCTAAGACAGTAGAAGACAGACATCCCTAAGACAGATGTTGAGAGACATCCCTAAGACAGATGTTGAGAGACATCCCTAAGACAGATGTTGACAGACATCCCTAAGACAGCAGTTGACAGACACCCCTAAGACAGCAGCTGAGACAACACTTACCTTGTGTGCCTGCTCCCATTGGCCGGCCTTGTTGTACATGTCCACAGCCTCTCTAGTGCAGCCCGCCTCCACAAAAAACTTCTCAGCCATCTGTCAACAAACACAAGTCAGCTGATCAATGAAGACTCAACAAACCAAACAACAAACACAAGTCAGCTGCTCAATGAAGACTCAACAACCCAAACAACAAACCAAGAAATAACATTTGTGCAGTAGTGGGAACAAAGGGAATTGAAAGATGATCTCTTACTTTTTAAAATTAGCTTGGCAGTGAAAAAAAAAAGTTAGATTTGACAAGACAATAGAAGAAAATGTAAACCTGATACTCTCCTATAGAGGCGTAATGTTCCCCAATCTTCTTGTAGTATCTGGCTGCCATAGACGAGTCCTGTATCTCCAGTATCTGTACAGCCTTGGCCCACTGTCTAGAGTTGATGGCGGCCTCCACAGCTTTTGTTGTCGCACTGAACATAGGAAATTATTTATTTTATCTGTTACAAAACATTTATTTAAAAGGCTACATCTTAATGCAGGTCACATTAAAAAGCATTGCAAAAAAGGAGAAAGTGGCCTTACCCAGCCTCAATGAAATGATTAATGGCAGCATCCAGCTGTTTCTGTTGCACGAGGTAGTCTCCGAACTCTTCCTCCAGTTTCACAACTTCACTGGGAAAGGCATGACGTGCCAAATCAATGGCTGAAATTTTAAAGTTTTTATTTCAAATAATTGTGTAATTCACTCTATTTACTGCACTTAATGCTAACTGGTCTTAGCTAAATACATTAAAAAGCTGATTTTTCTACAAAATAATTTACCAATGTATTTTATCAAAAGTTAAATGAATGTTATCACCATGAATTTTATAAACAGCAAAAATTAATGTTATATGAAAAAACAACTCTGTGGTCAATATGTGGCCGACTAATCATGAACAGAGTTTAAGACAGCAGTACAAAATGTGAGAGCTGTAAGATCAACCACTGTACCTCGTCTAAACTCCTTCCCCTTCTTGAAGCAGTCCATAGCTCTTTGGTAGTCTCTAATTTTCTCATATAAGTCCCCGGCCTGAAAGTAGTCATTTAAAGGGTGTCAGACACAGGGCTTAAAGAGGTTAAAGCACTCTGTTAGCACAGTGTAACACTGACCACACTGTAGGTCTCACATCTTAAAGTGATCTAAGCACTTTGTTAGCACAGTGTAACAGAGGACTGACCACACTGTAGGTCACACATCTTAAAGTGATCTAAGCACTTTGTTAGCACAGTGTAACAGAGGACTGACCACACTGTAGGTCACACATCTTAAAGTGATCTAAGCACTTTGTTAGCACAGTGTAACAGAGGACTGACCACACTGTAGGTCTCACATCTTAAAGTGATCTAAGCACTTTGTTAGCACAGTGTAACAGAGGACTGACCACACTGTAGGTCACACATCTTAAAGTGATCTAAGCACTTTGTTAGCACAGTGTAACAGAGGACTGACCACACTGTAGGTCTCACATCTTAAAGTGATCTAAGCACTTTATTAGCACAGTGTAACAGAGGACTGACTACACAGTAGGTCACACATCTTAAAGTGATCTAAGCACTTTGTTAGCACAGTGTAACAGAGGGCTGACCCAACTGTAGGTCACACATCTTAAAGTGATCTAAGCACTTTGTTAGCACAGTGTAACAGAGGACTGACCCAACTGTAGGTCACACATCTTAAAGTGATCTAAGCACTTTGTTAGCACAGTGTAACAGAGGACTGACCACACTGTAGGTCACACATCTTAAAGTGATCTAAGCACTTTGTTAGCACAGTGTAACAGAGGACTGACCCAACTGTAGGTCACACATCTTAAAGTGATCTAAGCATTTTGTTAGCACAGTGTAACAGAGGACTGACCACACTGTAGGTCACACATCTTAAAGTGATCTAAGCACTGACCCGATCAAAAAGTTCTGACTTGATGAGGGCGCCTGCAATCCTGGCTATCAGGTCTGAGTTGGTCATTAGTTCCTGTACAACAAAAAATATTAACGAGCCTTAATTAAATTAAAACTAAAGTCAAGGAGAGCATCAGATGTTATGCTGAGGTATCATATATTACCACCACTGTCATCTAATGACTTGTAGCTATAAATATAACATCCCAACATAAAACTATAATACTGTTATAAAAATGTTAAACTCCCCTCCTGACATAAAAATGTAAAAATTCACCTCCCAGCATTAAAAAACTTACCTCCCGACTAGAAGCTAATCGCGCAGCTCTTGCAGGCAGTCCAGACTTCATATAAAGATTAATGGCTGCCATGTAGTCTCCTTCACGTTCCTTCAGCTAAAAATATTACTTTTTAATTTATCACACAAGCAAATGATCAACATCAAATAACTATTTTAAATTATCCAATTTCAAACACAATTCATAAGCACTCAATCTTCTAATAAAAAAAAATAGAAAATTAAAATACGACTAGCAGCGTTTACCTCCCCTGCCCTTTCTTCCTGCCCAGTCTCCATCAGCCATTGGTTGTAACTCTTCTTGAGGGTCTCAAGCTCTGGGTGGCTCTGGTAAAATGGTGGGGAATTTTTCATGAGAAGGGCTTAAGGGTTGTTATGTCATGCAGTAACTTATGGTAAAATGGTGGGGAATTTTTCATGAGATATTCTTAGAGGCTTGTTATGTCATGCAGTAACTTATGTAATATTTCACATTAAAAAAAGCTATTAAAAACTGTACTTTAGTTGTCAATTTAGAGACTGAAAGAGTTCATTACCTTAACATCAGCCACCTCAATAGCCTCATCCCACATGTGCATCTCCTGGTACATCTCAATGGCTTCATTCACATGATTCTAAGAGACATTCAACAAGGCTAATCACCATCACATGATTTTTAGCAAACATTCAACAAGAATAGTTACAATTAGTAATATAAGCCTAGAGATAATTTTGTATACAAGTACTAAACTTACTCCTTCCAAGTAAATGTACTCAGCTTCTTTAAACTTTTTCTCTGAGATTGCAAGTCTTGCTCTGACTTTATAATGCTGAATGCCATCGCCTCCCTATACATTGCAAAAATTTAATTGCTTATTATTATTTTCAAAACAAAAAAAATATAAATTGTTCATGCTTTTACACTAAATGAATGTGTGTTTAGTTCCTCTACACAAATAAACCAATGTACCCACCACTTGTCTGGAAACATCCTCAGCAATCCTCAATGTCTCCTTCAGATATCTGGCTTTTGCAACATTGCCCAGTGCAGCATAGCATCTACAATATTCAGGACAAAAAGCTTTGGATTAAAACTTTCTATTACACCATTTATAGTATAAGAGTAGATGAAATAAATGCAAGTATTCTTAAAAAGATAGAACTAAACCTCTCAGCAATGTGAAGCTGTCTTTCTTCAAGCGCCATCTTGCTCAGTGTTTTCCACATGGCCTCAGTCTCAGGAGACATCTCCAGGGTTTCCAGGAAGGCAACAGCTCTTCAATGACAGAGGTAATAAAGTTTTAGAGGGTTTTATAATTATCTAGTTGCAGCTCTTCAATGATAGAGGTAATAAAGTTTTAGAGGGTTTTATAATTATCTGGTTGCAGCTCTTCAATGAGAGAGTTAATTAAGTTTCAAAGGTTTTATAATTATCAAATTGCAGTATCTTTACGATGGAAAAATAATTTTAATTTAATGAACATCAATACAACTGGACAGTTTTGACAGCAGAAACCAACCTAGCATAATCTCCGTCATCAATAGCAGTACCAAATTCAATGAGTCCTTCATCCAGAGTGTAGGCCACTGTGTTCACACCTTCACTGACGAGGACATCTGTTCTCCCCTCCTTCCTCTCTAGATCTACTACATCTCCCTAACCACAAACATTTTTAACATTAGTTCTTTGAAGACAACAATCATAGCATGAAAAACAAAAGTAGCTTAACATTTCATGTACATGATTAAAAAGTAATCAGTAAAAATATTGTATTTTTGGACCCATTTAGCTGAGTAGATAGATTTGAAATCTTACTTTGATAGGGACCATAGTGACCCTCTCAGGTGACTCAATATTGTACCACACACACAGGTTGCCTCTGTTCTGACCCACCACAACATCACTGCCTGGGACCCACTGGTGACACAAGTTAGGGTCATGAAATGGTGAGCAGTAGAGTATAGACAAAAACAAAAATACCCTCATTTTAATGTCATCATGTGATAGTAAAAAGTACAGAGTGTAGATAAACATAGCTACTCTCATTATAACTCCATTTGATCATGCTAAACAGTACAGTATGAAAATAACAACAAAACTACTCTCTAACAAAATATCAAAACAAAAAAGCTCACCTGCACATAGGTGCAGTAATTCAAAATACTGTTTTTTTGCTGTGTGTCAATGTCATACAGATGTAACTGAAATAGTTTAAAAAGAAAAGTAGGCATATAATTTTTTAATCATACATATATTTTAGGCAGGTATAACATTAATAGATTAAATTTTTAAAATCTTAAGTTTTTAACATCATTTTAACAACATAAGAAAAATAACATGCAGATTGATAAGTTACCTTAAGCTTGTTATCCCTGTACAACAACTTTCTTCCAGTCTCATTCAGCTGAAGTGTAAATAATTTGCAACATTTTATAAGGATATATTATAATATACTGCTATCAATTAAATATTCACATATTGTTTAAACTGATTATGATATCAATTAAACAACTGAACGTGAGAAAAAACAAGGACTTACCTCAAGCCAATCAATCCTGCTGTCATGGCTAACTTGTGCTATATTTAGTCCAGTTCCTATGTCAACTGTTGATAAACATTTTAAAATATGTCAACGGCCTCCTACCATAGTGTACATTTTGTTACCCTCATAATAGTATAATTAAAATAGTTTGTGATGTATGTTTAAAATGTATGCTGCTAATACAATGCTTGTGACAAAAGCCATCATGATGCAAGTGACATGTTTCTGAATAAAAAACTTACTTATTGCAACTGTTTTTAAATCCAGCAAGTAAGCCATTTTCTTGTTGTCTTGGACACCTTTCTGTTTTCTCTCATTCAGTCTGACGCTGTATAGATAGTTGCACAAACATTAAACATACATAAACAAGAAGATAACAGATTAGATGATGTGTGAGGTTCAACAACTGTTTAGCTAGAGTTATCAAACAACCAGCTGCTCTAAGTCATGTGACTGACCTGATGAGATGAGGGTTCATGAACTCTGTGCGGACACACCCTAGCACCTCATTAGCACCATACTCTATCAAAGCCAGCTCTCCAGCATTGAAAATCATGCAGACCTAAAATAAAATAAAATATTGAACATTATTCAACTTAATTTATATACTTAATGTATACATTTTTTAAGTGTATTTTTTTTTTAAATTAATATTTATAAACGTAATGTTCATATTTTTAAAAAGTTTATATTTTAAAAATATTGTATCAGTATTATCTAGACCACAGTAGCTACTGTCTTTGAGTTCCTGATAAAACAGATTTTGCACAGGTAGAAGATTTAAAATTAAAATGGTCACTCACATTTTCATTATCAAAGTAGTACTTCTCACTTCCTGAGCCTTGCCAAGGGACTTCACTCAGTTTGGATGTCATCATGTCGCCCAGCAGAAGTGTGTCAGATGTGTGAGCCACCAGATAGCGGTCTTTACCCATAATCCTGACTTCATCAATCTCATAACCATAGTGAGACTTGAGCATGACTTTGGTGTTGTTGGACAAGTTCCTCACAATGGCCTAGATACAACATACAAGCTGGTAATTGTTTGATCTCATCTACATGTATTAAGTGATATTATAAAATATTTTTTTTTACACTTTCAGAATTGTATAACAAGAAATATATTAAAAAACCATTCATAGTAAAAAATTCCACTTTTGAAAAGCTTGCAATAATTTTCATGTTCACCAGATGAAAGACAACTTACTTGACTTGCTCCCACATGGGTGATTTCAAATTTGTTTTTATACAACGTCCTCTTCAAACAGCAGTCAAATATTTCAATGCCACCACAGAGAGTACCCTGGTTGCAATACACATTATATTATTCATATGGTTTTAATTGAGCAAACAAATAAGTTAGGAATAATTATTTTGGTACTGAACAAATAAAAATAAATAATTGCTTTTAAAAACATTCTTTGAAAATTAAAATATTATCATGAAAATAATTTTAACTTTAATACCTGTATTAAAAAACATAAACTTATGAAACTATTGGCTCAGAGGAATAAGTTGCACTGGAGCAACTGTTGAATTTATAAATAAGATTATCTTTTTTAATACTAAATTACTAAAATTTAAAACAACAATGTGTAAATGGCTTCAACAACTCAGTAAATCCTAAAAACTGGCCTGTTTCATGCAACACTTACCACAACAACTCTGGATCCATCTTTCTTCCAAGACAGAGCTGTAACAGTGTATAAATTTGGGATTTCTTTCAACTTTGGCTCTTCCCACACTTGTCGACGAGGACTCCAATTCAGTACTCTCAATCTGAAATGTAAAAATAAAAACATAAATTAAAAGCTGCAACAATATAGTAAACATGTATAATCTTATGTTTTAAAAAGCTCAGTCATCAATGACAGGTTACCGTATAAATGTTTAAAATGTTTAAGACAGCCTACTTGTCAAAACTCCCAATGACAACATTCTGGCCACTGGGTGAGCACACAGCCACAGTAAACTCATGCTCATCATAGTCCCTGCTGAAGTCAAAATGTTGAAAACTTCGCCCATCTCTGCCATATGATATGATACGTTTGTCACAGCCTGCTGCCACTATTGCATTCTGGGAAAATGCTAAAGCATATGGTGGAGAGGGGTGGGTGGCAATTTTACCCTAGACAGAAAATGTAATAAAACATATTAGTACATAAAAATATTTACAATAAAGCATTAAAGAATGGTATATACATGTTTAAGTTTTAAAAAAATAAATCAAACCCTTATAACTAAGAAATTATTTAGATTTTACACGTTCGAATGACAAGCATAAATGAGTTTTATTGTCATAAAATGATGTACCTGAGAATCACCCGTTCCCTCATCATCAAAGAAGTAACGAATAATTGAGCCATCAGCATGTCCTGAAAGGATTCCTTTTCCAGATGGGCTGCCAAAGATACACACATGATAAGTAAAAAATCCAGCTATACAAACAAGATCATATAATGAATGATCACCAGAATGGTTTCAGGTGATTTAAATAAGTACCGTGTAGGCCTACAATAAGATATAAAGTGACCAACATCAACTTACTTGCAGGCCAGGGAAACAACATAAGATTCTGTGCCATATACTGTTGCTGATTTGTTGGTTCGAATGTTTGCTGAACGTACCTATAATATCAAATTACTTTTGTAAGACTGCAAATAGAACTCATAAAACACCACCGCAAACAAAGTTTGAATCATGATTTTAAAAAAAAAAAGTGTCTCAAGTTTTACTACCAGTTTCTAACACATTAGAAAATTAAAGAACATTACACATTGATATAAGACTGAATGTTTGTAGTAAATATTTATATTATTAAACATTTTTATATGACCCATTTGTATATATGACCTTTGAATTCTAGAAATGTATGACTCACCTTTCCATCAGCCAGACCACAAATAATCAGTTGGTCTGGTGGCCAAATCAAACAAGTCACTGCACTCTGCTGTACGAATTTGTTACAAATCACTTTCTTCTCTCCCCTATAGAATTCAGTAATAAATATAAATAAATTTAATACCATTTATTTGAAAAATAATGTAACATAAGCCTACTAATTTCTATCTAAGGGAAAACAAAATAACTACTTACCATTCATCACCAATCTTGTAAACATAGATAATGTTGTCAGTTTGGCCAACTGCAATTTTTGATGAATCACTTGAAAAGGCTAATCCTTTTACTGTGTAGCTTTTTTTTCCATACTATATACAATGATATTTAGAGTACATTATATTTAAAAGAAATTGAAATATTCTAACTTATTTATTGTAAATATTTTTAAATATGCAGTATACTGTTAGCATAAAATTTACTTTTATTATTATTATTGCAGGTTTAAGTTAAAATATAAGTTTTCTTAAAAATTTAATTGATAAAAATTAACAAAAACAATTTTAGAAATAGAGCAGTAGGCCTTGCGACTTTTAATTCAGATTTTGCATTTAAGAGACTTTGGATTGAAACAATTAATAATAATTTTTAAAAACTAATAGCTTATCTTCCACCAATCAATATAGAGCAACATGAATCAATGCTCACTTTGGAGTCAGCTGGTTTTAGAGAAAATTTGTCTCTCTTCTCTCCTTGTTCATCAAACAGTAAAATCACTCTGTCTGAGGTGCACACAGCTAACTTCTGATTGTTGGGAGAAAATGCTATTGCACATATTTTGGCTGCACCATCCTGGAAAAAAATATCATGAGTTTTAAATTTGTAAAATATCTAATTTTGTTACTTAATAATAATATTACTACATCATACATACTTTTACTATGCAGTGGATTATCTGGTTAAAGCAATAACCCCTTTAAAGTTAACAAAAAAATGATCTAACCAATAACAGAAACAACTTAAAAATAATTTTAAATAGGTATACAACACAACAACTTAATAAGTCCTAGTCTACTCTAGAATTTGATCTCCAACAAGTACATCCATCTGACACATCTGTAGTTAAACCTAGTGTAGCTCAGTTTCAATGAAATTCTAGATCTACTACACCACTAGATCTAAAGTGTAGCAAAAGTCTACAACGTATAGATCTAGTTCTAGTAGTAATATTGGTAATTAGATCTAGAATTTGATTTAGGAATCTATCTAGTATCTACTATCTAGAATCTAGGTTTTAAAATTTTATTTCAGTTATTCAGTTCTAATCTAACTAGAGATCTACAATCTACTAGATCTAGATCTAGTACTAGAATTAGAATCTAGATCAACGTTTCTGTCTTGTCTAAGTTTCAATCTACATTTTTACCATGGGCGTTAAAAGGGTTTTCATATGCTTTAACTGCATTCTGAAAGTGTTGATAGTCCGTTATAACGGACAATAACAATTGTTATCCAGCTAGATCTAGCTGTTGTTGAAAATTTCACAAAGTTTACTTAAACGTTAGTTCACATAGACGCGCACTTGCTGGAATGTTAGCAACGGATGTCATTTAACTTTAGCCTTGTTTTCGTATATTATGAATGTACATTATTTATTCTTTATAATAAATCTTGACATTTAAATTATATTTGCGTTAGATATTTATTAATTTTAATATCAAGATTTTTCATAGATTTTTAAAAATAAAATAATAAGGACATTATAAAATGTTCGAAAAGTTCCAATCTCCTTAACAATATTAATTGTTTAAAGATGGCTGCCTGTGGAAGAATGCGTCTGTTCTTTACTCCCGAAAATACAGTTAGAGTGGTTGAGATGGTATTAAGTTCACTTACGATCGCTCCTATTTAAAGCAGTTTACATGAATAACAATCAATTAGAATCTAAGTTTTTGATGTTTTGGTTAATTTGACATTATGTCACTTCAGAATCAAGTAACTCAACTAAAAATGAACTCAGTTCAGTAAACTGTAGATCTAATGGAGGCGAGCGAGTTGACGAGATTCCGTCCCCAATGTTGTTGACATGGAATAAAAACGTGCTTTTTAGATTTAGACCGTAAAAAAAAAAAAAATAAATAAAAACTTAAGCCTAAAATTAATTTAGAAATTTTATATTTTTAGAATAAATGCTATAAAAGTTGCAAATCCAGAGAACTTGAAAATAATTTGTTGAGTTTAAGGCTACATTTCTATTTATTTTCATCAAGCCTAAGTTATAACCGGATGTTTCACTTTCGTAAGACAAATATTGATTGGCTGTACAGTAACTTAGTGATCGATAACTATTTGTTTACAAAACTTTGCAGATCAAGTTTTTAAATAATAATGCAAATTTAAAACCCCATGACCTAGTTTTCTATTTTTAGCTTACAATGTGTACAATAAAATCAATGGCGGCCTATCCAATAGCAGGATGCCATTGTTTATGTCGCCATTACACGTGAAAACCAAATTGTTTTTGCTTTTTTTTAAATTTTTATTTAGTTACCGAAAATATTATAAACATCAAATACATCCAATCTTTAGTAAAGTCCGAAAAAAACCAGATAGACAGGATTTTATAACCATATTAATTGTAACTACGCTGTGCATGATTTTTAAATGAATTTATACACCTCTCAAATACCTTTGAGAGTTTTCTCGCTCGTGTCCATTTCAAATTTGAACTCGACCTCCAGCCGAACTTCTATTTCTAGGAATTCTAGTTGAATCAGAATCATCATGAGAATGATGTCACAATAATTATCATTTATGCTGATCTTTTTTTTAAAAATATGACAACTGTCCTGAAATACAAAAATTAAGTACATGTTGCAGTGTGCTACCCCCACACCCCCTCAAAAACCAACAACAAAAAACTCATGAGTTTTCACAGCTGTTAAAAATAAAGTAAATCAATATCAGATAGATATAGATCTAGAATCTAGTACATGCTTTTAAAAATGTAGTTTCATAAAGCTAGAAAATGATTAACTAAATTCCCTTTAAAGATTAAAATATTCAACACACCTTGTTCCAACAAACATGGTTTGTAACATTCGGCATTCACTGGATTCTTTATATACAGTAATACAAATATACATTTCTAGTGCTGTGCAGAGGCGTAGCGAGGCCCGGGCGCCGACCTTAGAGGGCGTCAAAATGGGTTGGAAAAATAAATTGAAAGCTTGACGGGGGTGCAAATCGAAAGTTTGAGAGGGGGTGCAAATCAAAATCCTGAGGGGGGGGGGTGCAAATCGAAAGTTTGAGGGGGGGTGCAAATCAAAAGCTTGAGGGGGGGGGTGCAAATCGAAAGTTTGTCCCCAGGCGCTGGAAAGGATCGCTACGCCTCTGGTGCTGGGAGTGCTGGGAGAACACTGTTTTTAGATAGCACATTTTTATCGTTACAATCATAATAGACAAAGTCAAGAAATGGAAGAAACCTGATTCATAACAGCCTGCTCTTTGTTAACATTTATTGTACACATGAAAAAGAAATTTGTCAGGTTTGATCAATAATATAAAATTGGATTTGGCAGTGAGGCACACTTCATTCTTGTTATCACTAGGCATGCTGCCCAGCTTCGCTTAGGCTTTCGAAAACATTGAGAATTTGAATGCTTAATTAATTCGCCCGAAGGTCGGTCTACGACCTCAAGAGTTATGAAGAGGTTCCTCCGTGGACATTTTTTTTCGATTTATAGCTCATATAAGGTACCGGTCAGTCGAGGTCAGTTTTGACCCCCACATCGTAGACTTTTCGGCCAACCGGCCCCCGTGTTCTGTCGCACCAAGGCAAGATCATGCCAAATTTGAAGCGCCTGCGGCGCCGGGAAGTGCCCTATCGGACACCCGACAATCTAGATCTAGATCTAGATTCCTAAAAGAATTTTTTTTTTAAATTTAGCCCGAGCATAATAAAAAAGAATACATTAACCAAGTTGACTTGCTGTGTCTCGAACCCGCACCACCTGCGTGGTTTAATGTACACTAACATCTCCGCTATTTAGGCACCTTATAAAATACGGAGAATGAAACACGTATTTTAAAATCTTAACTTACGCGAATATGCCTATTCTTTCAAATTAATTTTTTATCCCAAATTAGCCAGTTCCAAACAAAGATTTTGTATAAAATAAATAAGTCTTGAAATAGTTTAGTCCTAATATAGACATTTATTTTTGGAATTGATTTTAGAGAAGTTAGAGTCTAAATCTAGATCTTAGCGTCTACGTCTAGATCTAGTTATTGCGTAGATTTAGATTTAGATTTAGTCTAGATCTAGAATCTCTAGATCTAGAATCCAAATACATAAAATAAATTTTATGAGTTTAGGCCGGAAAAATTGTATTGTATACATTTCATAGTGTACGTAGATCTAAATCAAATTTGAATGAAATAGTTCATTTCTTTTCATTCTTAACACGGCAGATGACGTCATTAGTTAATGTATAAGCAATAGCGACGTCACAGTTTTATGCGTTCTTTTTCACATATATTAATGCTTTTCCGGTTGCATAAATAATACTGTTTCTCTACATTCGAATACGCCTTAAATTTTTATTTTTCTTCTTTAAGTAAAATTGTGGTTATACATTTAAAACATCTAACATATTATTTTCAACAAAAGTCCGTAAAAAATTCTCGATATATCGCTGCCGTTTCTGACGTGATGTCCGGCGAAAATTTTTTGCGGACAGAGAAAGAGAGAGAGAGAGAGAGAGAGATGTGCGCACATTGGGCTTTTATAAATTAGGATATTGTTCATTTCTTTTACGTTAATTACAAAATATTTTTTTAAACTGCCTTAAATAGCAAGTTAATTTATGTTATTGTTTATCTCAACTATATATTTCTTAATGCTTAATAATTGTTTTCTTTTAATGCTATCCACAGCTATTTGCATTAATCATAGTTTCTATATGCTTTGGATGGAAAGACAAAGGTGTAAAATATTCCGATTTGAATAGTGGTGACTATGATCAAGGTGGTAACATTGTTTTCTTTATGATGATTGGCATGGTGTCACTTCTCTTCTTGCTGTGTGTGATTATCTACTCCATGCTGTGGATCCCACGAGTCTTTTCACCTTGTTTGGTAGGATTCTATTTATATTTTAATACAACATATGCCTGTTCAATGAGCAATATTCTCCAAAAAATGTGTATAATAAAATATGATGATTTCATCTTAACATCTTTTAGGACATTGTAATTAGCAGTTCAATGAGTCTTCTCACATTCATCGCATCTGTTGTTCTGGCACATTCCCTCTCCAATTTGGGGAAGTCTCTGGCTGTAAGGGAAGCAGGTTTAAACTTCAGTGCCCTCCAGTCAGCTCTGGTAACCACTTATTCATTTTAGGAATATTTTTTTTTTGCTCTGTTCTTTTCTTTATTTAGTTTAAATGTTTTGGAGTCTACAATGACTGATTAACAAGCCACTAACATTAAGGTTGATTGCCCAAAAAGGAGTGTTTTAAATCCATTTGAATTGATTGAAATGTATAAACTAAAAACTTTAGTAAAATATTGTTTGTTATATTCAAGGTCATCGTGTACCTATTATTTTTTTTTGTAAATTGGCTCACATTCAAGTCAATAATTTGCAACACAATATTTTAAAATAGATTTTATTACTTACTTTAGTGCACATATAAAAAAAATTATTTCTTACTTTGCCAGGTTTTTGGAATCGCCCTAGCTTTATTATTTGCTGTAAGTGCAGCTTTTGCTGTTTGCTTTTACAAGAAGAAAAATGAGATGATGATGGGTGACCCAAGGAATATGGCAGACCTGCCTGATGACATACCTACGTGAGGCAACATTGAAGATAGAGTTACTGAAAATATATAAAGACAAAAAAAAATTTATGCCACAATATTATCATCATGGAATTTAACTAGTTAGTTTGTCTAACATCCCTGTTAGTCAGGAGTAGCCAAAACTTGTACCATTAATTTTTTGTTGTTGAAAAAACTTTGTTTACAATACACTTAAAACACAAGATTTTATTTTAGGCAGAGACAGTTCACTAAAACATTTTTAGTTTAGATTTCTAGATATCCTTTGCTAAATCACACCATTGACTAGCCTCTCGCAGTGATGCTGTCGTTGGTCTATATTAGTTTATATACAAAACTATTTTAGCTAAATAATCAAAGTGATTTTTTTTCATGTATACATATTCCCTGTGAGATAATTATGTTGTATAATTAGTTTCTATTTACAATTTTTTGTTGCTAAAAAATGTGTAAAAAACATATACCTCACTATTTAGCTATATTGCTTTTATAGAAATTCACAACTGTTTATTGAATAGTTCCTGTTTAACTTGAATGTTTTCTTTGTATTGATGTAGTATTTTAGCTCCTTCATAAATAGATCTGTTACTGTGAACATCACACCTTTGTGATGCCACTTCAGTGTTTGTATATCTCAGTTTGCACTATTTAAGTATTGTGTGTACTGTTACAATAGTACATTAGACGTATGCTGTACCATCAAACATGTTATATATGCTCTTTATTGAGTTATATCTTAAATGATACTCATGATATTTACTACCTAGAGGCTGAGGTGTAATGTAACACTTGACTGTTTTTGTTATGACTTTATTTAATGTTCTTTAAAAAAAACTTCAATCTTTAACAACAAAGTGTAAACAAACCTTTCACTGAATGCCATATCTACACAGTCAGGCTGGCAAGTTAGCCACAAGTTACTTTGACAAAATGTCTCAGGATAAAATGTTCCATGTTTTTATTATATATTTTCATGTATAGCTTTTCTATCTATCTAGCATTGTCATGTAGGATAAAATATTTTATGTTTAGCATTTCTACTTCCAGCACTGTCCTGAAATAAATCTGCCTATCCTTTGTTCATTTAATCTGTATAAAATGTTTCCAGAAGCTCTAGACCAGCAACAAATGGCTGAAGTATATGCTGGATCTTAAGGACATGATTTCAACCATAGAGACATTTTAACATGGTAGTTTTCTCCTTCATGGAAATCTGTGAAGTACCAAAGTTAAAACTCCTGACATAGCTCCAGCACTGTGTTACAGAGGTTCTTGATTAGCTTCATTGTTTGCTCCATTTTTTAGTAGTTGCAGTGTTACATTTAAGGTGTACTTGTTTTTACTTCCTCATCTTAATTACAAAATCTTAAGACCTACTAACAAAACCTCCACAACAGTACAACAGTCTGAAGTTGTATGACAACAAAATCTACAGACCTACATACAACAAGACTAACAAAACCTCCACAACAGTACAACAGTCTGAAGTTGTATGACAACAAAATCAACAGACCTACATACAACAAGACTAACAAAACCTACACAACAGTACAACAGTCTGAAGTTGTATGACAACAAAATCTACAGACCTACATACAACAAGACTAACAAAACCTACACAACAGGTACAACATTCTGAAGTTGTATGACAACAAAATCTACAGACCTACATACAAGACTAACAAAACCTACACAACAGGTACAACATTCTGAAGTTGTATGACAACAAAATCTACAGACCTACATACAACAAGACTAACAAAACCTACACAACAGGTACAACATTCTGAAGTTGTAGAACAAAACACAACTTGTTTTGTTTGTACCATCAGCATTTTTATAATACCTGAAGCATTTCTGATTCTGTGCAATATTTTCATGTTTTTCTATTGACAAATTTTTGTTGTTTTAGGACTTTGATCTCTTGTACTTAATTTTTTAAAAATCTCAATGTGTTGTTTGTAATGACATTGAAACAATCTTATATTTACAATTTTGATCAACAATAAAGTCTTGTATGTTACATCAAATTGTTTGTGAGTCAGAAACATGTTATGATGTCACAGTGTGTGATATATGTCACCAGGTTTAGGTGTATGCCTTCATAGAGCCTTCCAGACTAATCAGGGGTGACGTAATCTTCATTAGACAAGTCGACACAAAACTTTTGTTGCTTGGCATTGTATTACTAACCCCAGAGGTCCGGTTCTACTCACAGTTTTCCTATTAGAAATCAAAGCTGAATTGTCCATGTTTTATCACTGATTTTACTTAACGGGAATTTTTTTTTTTTCGTTGAAAAATATCTCACAAAATGTAATCTCCACCATAAGCTACGAAGCATTGAATACTTGTGCAAAACTAGATCAACAAAAAGCACAGTTGTGCAAATATGCCTATGATTGTAAATGTGTTGTGGTCCGCTGAATGGAGGCGAAAGTACAAACATGGACCTCCTGTAAAACAGTACACCATACAATCTGCTTATCCTCTACACACTTCTCCCCCCCCCCCCCAGATCTCCTCCTGTGTCACAGCCAACACCCATTGTGTCAGCTAAAACCCACCAACCCTCCTGCTTAATAAAACCCATCACACCATCTAACAACCACCGCACCAGCTGAGCCAGAGCGTAGCGACCCTTCCAGCGCCCGGACAAACTTTCAATTTGGCGCCCTCCTCGGGAGAAAATTTTCAATTTGCATCCCCCCCTCAAGCTTTTGTTTTGCAACCCCCCCCCCCCTCAAAACTTTCGATTTGCACGCCCCCCCCCCCTCAAACTATTTATAATGCAAAAATGCAGCTAAAATGACATTTTAATTTGTTTTTCCAACCCATTTTGGCTACCGGGGGCCGGGGACATATGTACCCCCCTGCCCCCCATCGCTACGCCTCTGAGCTGAGCACATATTGTAACTGTTGTGGTTCGCTGAATTGAGGCGACCTATTGTAAAACAATTCATATTCCATCGGCTTATCCTCTACATCCCCCCCCCCCCCATTTCCTCCCCACTGCCCCAGCCAACACTGGGAAAATTAAAATCCATCACACCATCCAACCCCCCACCACCACACCAGTTAAAACCACTGAACCGACAATATCCGGAGCTTTGTCCCCAATGCCTGGCAAAACACTGATATCAAATAACACACGTCAAGTTAGGAATGTGAAAATATTTAACTTAAGCAACAGACACCAGCATACCGGTACAACGTTCAGGCTTAAACAATAACGTGTAGACTAACAAAATGGGTCTTTTTATATCTTTAATTTGCTACATAATAGATTCATTACACATGCTTATAACTACTAAAGCAAAAGTATTTTGGAAACTATTGCCGACTTTATATTTTTGAAATGATATACATGTATTAAAGAACGGAGTACTTAATTAACACAAACATAATTGTATTGTACATAGTTGTGTTGTAATAGAGGATTTGGTTACAATAATGAGAAAACCTGTTTATTGTCAAAAATCAAAAAGCTAAATATTTTTAAAGTGCTTAATACAAATTTCAAAAAAATTATTGCCAATATTTTTCAAAGTAGTTTTCTAAAAATCAATTTGTTTGTTGAAATAATTAAGTTTTGAAGTACAAACTTTATGTTTTTATCAAATAAAATCAATTATAGCCTCTTGTTCTATATGAATTAGTATCTAGATACAAAAACATAGATCTATTTAATTTTTTTAAAAAAATCCTTTCTGCATCTTCGTGTGTACGAAAATGTTAAGAAAGTATTTTCCCTGTGTTACTGAGTGCACGTAGTTTCATTACTTTGCTCATGCGGACATGAACAATGTAATGAGTAGTGCACCGGAAACACGGAGTTCTTCCAGGACGTATTCGATCTTCTGTTATTATATCATAACCTTGACATTGAACTCTTTGTTGGGTGAGTTCAAATTTTCATTGTAATGGATCACGTTACACTTGAAAATTAATTGATTTAGATGTACAGAGTAGATCTATATTATAAAAAAAAATACAAGTACATTTAAGCTTATTTATAAACAACAGAAAATTGTGACCCACAGTGGTGTAAAATAAAAAAAATCAGCCAGAGGCGTAGCGAGTGGAGGAAAGGGTGGGGGTACATATGTCCACGGGCGCCGACCCAAGGGGGCGCCAAAATGGGTTGGAAAAAATCAAAAGCTCATTTTAGCTGCAGTTTTGTATTATAAATAAACGTTCCTCCGGGGGGGGGGGGGGGCGCCAAATTGAAAGTTTGTCCCCGGGCGCAGGGAAGGGTCGCTACGCCTCTGGAATCAGCGTGGGTCAAAAGTTTGAGGCCTCACTCGTCCTCATCTATTGCACGCTTAACAGCGTGTCCAGCGATGCCACCCACCAGGCCGCTCACAGCTACCGTCCCCATGCCGATGCCTGCAGCTCCAGCAGCCTGTAAAGCTCCCACGGCTCCCATACCAACTCCATAAGTTGCTGCCGTGGACATGGCCGTGGCAGCCAACGAGCCAGCAGCGATACCAGCTGAAACACACCGAGATATTTCATATTTAAACATTTCTAATCATCAAGAAACATAGCCTACACTTTTTTCCACTCAATTTGCCGAAACCAAAATTAGAACGATGTTGACGAGAGGGGCCTTCCATGCACATTATAAGCGGATGACTATAGAATAGATGAAAATGGAGTATCATGCCAAGGTAAGTCCCGTGACCAGTGTTTCTTGCCGACTATTGATTGTCTTCTGAGGGGGGGGGGGGGAGGGGGGCACTTTAACTTTTCGGGGGGGGGGACTAAAATTTCCGGTGGGGGGAGGGGCGAACACTGTTAAAAGTATATATTCTCTATATAAATTCCATTTGGTTTAAAACTAGTAGTACAAGTGTTATGTTTTATATATCCTATTTTTTATATATTTTATAAATGGCGTTTTTTTTTTTTTTTTTGGCTGGGCTTATCTGGACAAGATCCAAAATGGTTGCAATATAGAAATTTCTAGACGGATCCTATCGAGAATACTTTGTCTCGAGAAGCAACAATCTCAGTTACATGAATAAGCTATTTGTTCATGGAGGATTAGGAATGGTTGGTGTTAAAAGTTCTCATATTGTTGAGACATTAATTGTTTATCTGTAGCGACTAATAGCGATGTTGAGACAATAATGTTGCATTTATTTTGATTTCTAACTATGTTGAGACAATAATTTTGAATCTATTGATTTCTATTAGCATACAAAATCCTACCTGCAGTGAAACCAGCAGCCGACAACGCAATGGGCGCCACAGCAATAGCTGCGGCTCCCCCTACCAGTGCGCCCACCGCCTCCAGCAAGAACGAATTGGTACCAAATGGTAAGAGCATCAGTATAAACATGCAAGCGAAAAATTTGTTCCTCGACATGTTGATGTGTCAGTCTGTAAGTGTCTAGATCATAGGTGTGGTGCAGCTTGAACCACTACAGTCTCTGTTACAGGGCGTGGCACTGTGCTCCAGTATTTATAGGCTACTGTTTCAAGTTACACGTCACCAAAAGGAACACGTGATGTAACTTTTCTTGGAATTCTAATTTCCTTTTCAATCAATATTACGTGTTCTGATTTACATAGCAAGAACTGGCATGTTGTGTGTATAGGGAATTAATATAAGCTGTGTTATATTTAGACTTAAAAAAAAAGGTAAAATTTATAAAAAGTTCTAAAATAAAATAAAAAGAACAACTACAGAAAATGAATTAAATATTTTGGACATTTTCCACACCTTGCTGAGTGAATGTGTGAGTTAATCGATATTTCGTCTACAGCTTACAGATTGGCTGATAGCATTCATTAACTTTTCCTTTCATACATACCTTTGTTTACGCCAATCATTAAACTACTTTTTGAGCTCTTTAAGTGTTTGATTTTACAAACAAACAAGTTAATTAAAAAGTCTAGTGACAATTTTAGCGCAATTTCCTTATGTTATCTAAAAATAGCTCTGTCGTAGCGTAAATCAAGAGCAGGGTTAGTAAAACCATTGGTTAGTTATTAAAACGTTTTTTATTAAATAAACCTAACTACTAACTAAACTAAGCACCTTGAAATCAAGAGCAGGGTTATTAAAACCATTGGTTAGTTGAACTTGATTATCAACATGATAATCATTAAGATGATAGATCTCTACTTCCGGCATGTATATACAACCACACCACACGCGTCATCACGTTCAATAGATGCGTCATCGCGTTCCATGGCTGCGCCATCACGTTCAGTAGGCGCGCAAGTTAATTAAAAAAGTCTAGTGACATTTATGCGCAATTTCCTTATGTTATCTAAAAATAGCTCTGACGTATAATGATGGGGTGCGTTCAAGCTAGAAGAGCGATCGGTTTGTAGGTGTTTATGTAATTTTAAAATTTGTTACCGAACGAGAGGATATTTTTGAAAACTTTCTTCGGCAATATTGTTCTAAATTATGGCAGGAATCGATTGGTACATGTTTCAAGTCGCTAAGTGGTCTGGTTGCCGAGATATGGGCAAAAAACTGCATTTTTTTCGAGGTTTTTTGGCTTTTACGGGAAATACATGAAAGAAACCCGGAATTTTTATGGCCTATGCTCATTCTCGTAACTTGCTTAACATAATTGCTTTTGGAACTAGTCATCGATATTGCTTCGTTGAGGAGGAGATACGACTTAAAGCCCGGACACACATTCATCCATTCATTCATTCATCCATCCATCCATTCCCAGAAATGACGAGTTAATAAACGCAATTCTCCAGAATGGAAATTACGCTAAAAACCCCGTATTTTCACATCTGCTACTTCTACATGGAGATGCTGAGATTTAGACATGTATTTCACACATTTTTTATACATTCATGGTGTTCTGATCTAGACGTGTATTTCACACACGTTTTATACATTTATGGTGTTATGATCTAGACGTGTATTTCACACATGTTTTATGTGTAGATGACGTGACATATGATTTCATACACCTTTTAGATGTGAATGTTGTGTAGTTCTAGCCCCGGGGTTAAACCAGAATACCTTACTTTAATGGCATGGAGCCAATGGGGTGATCACTGGAGCGTGAAGTAAAGCCAAACAGGTGCAGTTCGAGGATTATATTGATCGATTTCATTATATCAATACTAGCCGTCCCGACTAGGCCCTGCTCTGGCTTCTGTGAAAAAACTTTCTGTTAAAGACCATTACCTGTGTGTTTAGTAATCATCATAAACCCGGCATTGCCCACCCAAACCACAACTAACCAAAACAACAAAACGCAAACATAACGCTAACACAATTACAAATACAAACGAAAACAAAAACCTAACAACAAACCCAACCACAATCACAAACACCAATACAAACACAAAGAAAAAAAAACACAAACGAAAAAGCAAACGAAAACAAACCAAATTCAAACGCAAAACCAACCACAAACACAAATACAAACACAAACCCAAAGAAAAAAACACAAACGAAAACGAAAAAAAAAAAAGAACAAAAACGAACCAAATCAAAACGCAACCACTAACGCAAACCCAACCTAAACACAAAGAAAACACTAACTCGAACATAAACGCAAAGTGCTCACAGTCTAGCCCGGGGGCCGGGGCAGAATCGCCTGTTTCAGCTTAATAATCGACTATAGTACCCCAACTTATTCATAGTCTTTTGCACTCACTTAAACGAACGTAGGTGCCAAATCAAACCAAATGAACAATTATAATACTCCAAGCTTATTCGTAAAATACCTACAACATTTGCACTTGATCAATCCCCGCTAATTATGTAATTATTTTTTCCCAACACCAAAACAAAGTAATAAAAAGTAAATTCTTTTCCACTAATGGAATGTTTTATAAAGGGAAGTAATTGTGTTTTCCTAATTTATCAAAGGGAAGTAAGTGCCAAAGGACTAAATATCAATAATTTTCAGACATAATTAGAATTTTTGTTATTTTTTTAAAATTGTGTTTAAAGAACATGCCGACAATTATTACTATCAGTTTGAAAAATTAAAATTATTTCCCAACACTTTCAACAGTAATTTTTTAACTTATAAATTTAGACTATGAGCACGATAATAGTCTAACACTTAAACACATAGAAGTATTTCAACGACTAACTTGTTTTTACAAACATATATACAGAATTGAGCTTTATATATTAGATTTTCATGCGATATTACTTATCTATTCATTTACTTTTTAAAGTTCTAAATCTTGTTTCTTTCCCCTCATTTTTTTACACAGCAACCTTTTGAAAACTCAATGCGACCAGTACATAAATAAACACTCTTTTAACTAGTCAACTTATTTTGCTTCCCTACATAGAAAATGCTCCACTGGCCCTTTGTCATTCTCGGAAAAATATCCTTTCCACTCCCCACCCAGACTTCTGACACTTTTATTTGACCTTCACCCCTTTTACTGCCATCTTTTGTAATTTTTGTTATAATCATATACATGACATCATGTAAATATTCATTATGTACATGTTCAAAACCTTTCTTTTTCATTTGAAACTATGTAAAAAATGTGATGTTGATGTACTTGTTTTAATTGCAAATAAAAGTATTAAAAAAAATTTAAAAAAAAAATATTACTTATGATAACTTAGATATATTTGTATATAGCTAGGGACTACTAGTTGTATTCTCTACCAACATCTCCGAAATGAATTATTATTGAACACGAAATATTGAAATTTGAATTCTTGTCAAAAGCAACAAACACTGTAGTGGTATGGGCATAAAAAAAAATTACATGTGTTCATTTTGCATTAGAGAGGTTCAAAAAGAGTAACAAGATTTGTCCAAAACCCCAACCACTGACAGATGTATGTAGATTTTGATAGGAGATACCGTAATCAGATCTATGTAGCCCACGTTAATCCGTTTACGTTATGACTTCCTCTTTACGTTCTCACTTCCTCTTTGATAACAACTTCAAAGGTCATGGAAAGGTCAAGTTTTCAACATTGTTTACCTTGTAGTGGCCAAGTTTTCAACATTGTTTACCTTGTACAGGCCAAGTTTTCAACATTGTTTACCTAGTAGAGGCCAAGTTTTCAACATGGTTTACCGAGCATTTGTCCATTTTCCACAGTCTTTTGTGTTAAAGGATTGTTGGAAAACTTCTCTCCGTACATTTTATAACCCTAGAATGTCCGGTTCTCTACCAAAGCCAACCCAGATAAGTTTAAGAGTTTCAGTTTGATATAATCAACAAATGACACTGGGCAGATATTTTGAGAATTGAAATAAAACCTTATTTACCACTAGGGGTCTGTGAATCATAGATAGATACACACAAATGACAATACGATTACATTTACAACTCTAAACATGTAGCCTACTACACCGATGCTAATTACGATTCTAAAATAAACCTTTTATTCTATCTAATCAGGCTCCTAATAATCACCCTTACTAGCAACGAGAGGCTTAGGTGTTCATACACGTTGCGAAAATATTTTTACAACTTTTATATTTTACTTGCCGAAATGCTTTTCCTAAAATTAGTGTTAAAATGTTTACACGTATTATAATATTTCAACATTTCTAAAAAGTTTTCAAAAATCTAGTGTCAAATTAAAATCTTTTGGGGCACCCACCGCTAAAACCCACAACCCCAGTTAAAACCCACCGTTAAAACCTACTACCCCAGTTAAACCCCACCGTTAAAACCCACAACCCCAGTTAAACCCCACCGTTAAAACCCACAACCCCAGTTGAACCCACCGTTAAAACCCACTACCCCATTTAAAACCCACCGTTAAAACCCACTACCTAAGTTAAAACCCACCATTAAAACGCACTACTCCATTAAAAACCCCCTACCCCAGTTAAAACCCACTACCCCAGTTAAAACCCACCGTTAAAACCCACTACCTCAGTTAAAACCTACCGTTAAAACCCACTACCCCAGTTAAAACCCACCGTTAAAACCCACTACCCCAGTTAAAACTCACCGTTAAAACCCACTACCTCAGTTAAAACCCACCGTTAAAACCCACTACCCCAGTTAAAACCCACCGTTAAAACCCACTACCCCAGTTAAAACCCACCGTTAAAACCCACTACCCCAGTTAAAACCCACCGTTAAAACCCACTGCCCCAGTTAAAACCCAATGCCCCACTTACAGACAAAAAACTGAAATCAAATATCAGTTATACGTCATGTAAAGAACCAGAATGTAAAGAGATTTACGTTCAGCACACGACACGACAACCCACAAACATCAGCATACAACACAAACATAAACGTGTAGGCTTATGAAAAAGGTGTTTTTACAAGCTTTTATTTAACTCACTTCCTCTGTCTGTCGTAAGTCTGTCTTGACGGAAACGCAGGAGTGAAAATTCGGACAGTTCTACTTGACCGACACGATTCACAGTTGGCACGTGGGTCAAGACATGAAGACAATGCAATCTGAAACTAAATTTGACTTAATTGGATGCCTAATTGATTTTTTATGAATTAATTAAAATTTGGACCGAATTAGTAGGCATGTCTAGCCAACCACACCACACGCGTCATCAATAGCTGCGCCATCACGACCACGTAATGGCTGCGTTCAAAAACCATTGCGCGCCTACTGAACGTGATATTCAGTAGGCGCGCAATGGTTTTTAGTCATGTAACTCTATTGTAGATAAAACATGTAAAGTACTGAAAAAAAATTCATAAAAAACGTTTTAATAACAAGCTTTTATGTAATGATGCACTAAAAAGTAGAAAATAAATTATAGACTACTATTTAAATAACTATAAAGAAAAGCGTGGGTGTCTTCCTTAACATTAGTAAAGGTATCCAATAGATACTAAAGTGACCCACGCTTTTCTTTATAGTTATTTAAATAGTAGTCTATAATTTATTTTCTACTTTTTAGTGCATCATTACATAAAAGCTTGTTATTAAAACGTTTTTTATGAATTTTTTTTTTTTAATAATTTTTATTTGCTACATTGTGCATCTAATTTACACATGTTTAAAACTACTGAGACAAAAACAAATTGGAATCTATAGCTATTTTTTTTAGTCCGAGTTGTGTAACAATCGATTTTTAAAATGAGAAAAACTATTGTCAAATTTAAAAAGCTAAATATTTACAAGAGCACTTAATACAAATGTTATAAAATATTTCAAACATTTTTATATTAATAAAAATCAATTCATTTCTTAAACTAATTAATTTAAACATAACAGTACAAAATGATTGCTATACAAAATTTAAAAGTATATTTTAGCCTATTGTTATTGTTGTAAAGATAGTTTCCAGATACAAAGAATATAGATCGATTATTTTTTTAAATATTTTTTTTCAAATCCTTTCTGCATCTTCGTGTGCACGAAAATGTTAAGAAAGTATTTTCCCTGTGTTACCGAGTACACGTAGTTTCATTACTTTGCTCATGCGGACATGAGCAGCATAACGATTAGTGCACCTAAAACACGGAGTTCTTCCAGGATGTATTCGATCTTCTGTTATTTGTATCATAACCTTGACCTCTTGTTTTTTTTTTATGTAATTTTTTATTTTTTTTATTTTTGTTAGCTTTTAATTTGTAGGACCTACTAAAAATAAACTACAGAAAATGTTGGCTCAACGTTCCTTAAATCAAAATATCAAATTAAAGCAGCCTAGCAGTTTTAATTTTATTTCTGACTGCTCTCTTTTACATGACTCGCTGCGTGTCCAACGATACCACCGGCGACACTACCTGCTCCTACCGTCGCAACACCGATACCAGCGGCTCCAGCGGCTTGAAAAGTAGAAACGAGTCCCATACCAACTCCATAAGTTGCTGCCGCAGACATGGCCGAGGCAGCCCAAGAGCCAGCAGTAATACCAGCTGAAACACACCAGATATTACATAGTTAAAGATTTCTAATTAGTGCGATACAACTCTTGTTTTTCAATCACTTTACCGAAACATAACTTAGAACAATGGTGATAAGTGACAAGATGTGCAGTGTTTCTTCCAGACTTTTTTCTCCGGGGGGGGGGGGGGGGCACTTGAAATTTTCGGGGGGGGGGGGGCGGTGGTAGACTTTCTTCGGGGGGGGGGGTGCGGACACTGTTAAAAGTATATATTTTCTATATAAATTATATAAATTTCATTTCGTTCGGGTCGGGAGGGGGGGGGGGAGTAGAAAAAATTTCGGGGAGGGGGGGGGGAGGGGCTTCGCCCCCCGAAGAGATGCCTGGAAGAAACTCTGAAGATGGGTCTTTGGAAGTTGTCCAAATTATAATAAACCGGGAGTGATCTCCCCTAAACTTTCTCGAATATTCTTATATGAAACAACAGGTGATGGCAACTCGGGATATAGACATGATTTTTAATCCATTTTAAATACTTAAACTTTTTAAAATAGAATAAAATCTCGTAGAAAAAAGAATTGCACACCAAGTGAACCCAAATAAAATGTTCATAATAGTGCGGAATATTATTAGTACTTTATAAATTCACATGCGATTTTTGAGAAATCGGAAATAGCAAAAATTATTACTTCCGGTCAACGAAAATTACTCAAACATTGACAGAAGGCAGAGAATTAGATATTTTACTTACGTGTGAAATTTCATTTATCTATCTGAAATAATATTCAAGTTATAGGCTTTTGAAAAATTGAAAGTAGAAAATGTTTAACTTCCGGTTATCGGAAATCGCGCAAAAGTTTATACGGATCTACGATTTTGATATAATACTTATATATATATATATTTCATTAACCTAGCTGTAACGGTATTCAAGTTATCGTGTTTACACACATACACACACAGACACACATACACACACAGACATACAAACAAGATTGCAAAACTATGTTTTTCCGACTGAGGGATGTGTAAAACGTCGATATTTGTAAAAAATCTCGATTTTTTTTGCACGATTTCTATACTTCGTATATACGATAAAGTAAAAAAGGGAACATGAAACTTGTACTTTTAGATTTTATTCAAGAGGGTGGTATTGGGGCATGGCATCAATAATGTGTATGAAAATGTCTGTACTATTAACCCTAATCCTATAACTAACCCTCAATGAGCTGGCTAAAAGTGTTGAGGCTTAAATTTTCGCGCGTGAAATTTTTGCATTAGTGGCGAGGCTTATCTGGACAAGACTCCTTCCATTCACATTATAAATAGATGACTATAGAATGGATGAAAATTATTGCAATATAAAATTTTCTAGACAGGAAAGAGCGAGAATGGTTTGTCTCGAGAAGCAACAATCTCGATACCATTAATAAGCTATTTAAAATCTCGAGCAATGTCTAAATAGAGGATTAGAAATGGTTGGTGTTAGAAGTTCTCTTATTGTTGAGATATTAATTGTGCATCTTTATCGACTTCTAGCGATGTTGAGACAATAATTGTGTATCTGACTTATAACGTTACTAAAAACTAAAAAAAAAAAATTACCTGCAGTGAACCCAGCAGCCGACAGTGCAAAGGGCGCCACAACAGCAGTTGCGGCTCCCCCTACTAGTATGCCCACCGCCTCCAGCATAAACGAACTGGTACCAGCTGGTAAGAGTATCAGTATAAACATGCAGGCGTAAAATTTCGTCATTTTAGCTTTGATGGAAATCACAGGTGTGGTGCAATCTGTAAGTTTCTCACATGTGTGGTGCAATCTGTAAGTCTCTCACAGGTGTGGTGCAATCTGTAAGTTTCTCACAGGTGTGGTGCAATCTGTAAGTCTCTCACAGGTGTGGTGCAATCTGTAAGTCTCTAGATCACAGGTATGGTACAATCTGTAAGTCTCTAGATCACAGGTGTGGTGCAATCTGTAAGTTTCTCACAGGTGTGGTGCAATCTGTAAGTCTCTAGATCACAGGTGTGGTACAATCTGTAAGTCTCTAGATCACAGGTGTGGTGCAATCTGTAAGTCTCTAGATCACAGGTGTGGTACAATCTGTAAGTCTCTAGATCACAGGTATGGTACAATCTGTAAGTCTCTAGATCACAGGTGTGGTGCAATCTGTAAGTCTCTAGATCACAGGTGTGGTGCAATCTGTAAGTTTCTCACAGGTGTGGTGCAATCTGTAAGTCTCTAGATCACAGGTATGGTACAATCTGTAAGTCTCTAGATCACAGGTGTGGTGCAATCTGTAAGTCTCTAGATCACAGGTGTGGTGCAGCTTGAACCACTACAGTCTCTGTTACAGGGCGTGGCACTGTGCTCCAGTATTTATAGGCTACCGTTTCAAGTTACACGTCACCACAAGGAACACGTGATATAACTTTTTTTGGAATTCTAATTTCCTTTTCAATCAATATTACGTGTTCTGATTTACATAGCAAGAACTGGCATGTTGTGTGTATAGGGAATTAATATAAGCTGTGTTATATTTAGACTTAAAAAAAAGGTAAAATTTATAAAAAGTTCTAAAATAAAATAAAAAGAACAACTACAGAAAATGAAGTAAACATTTTGGACGTTTTCCACACCTTATTGAGTGAATGTGTGAGTTAATCGATATTTCGTCTACAGCAGGGGTCTCCAAACTTTTCAGTCCGAGGGCCGCATCAACTATCAAATTTCAGTTCGGGGGCCAGTTTCTTCCAGATATGTTTTTGATTTTTCTGGAGAAAGTTCTTCAGTCATCACCAACAAACGTTTTTCCGTGGACAAAAAGATCTCCGCGGGCCGGATGAGAGGACATCGCGGGCCGCATCCGGCCCGCGGGCCGTAGTTTGGACACCCCTGGTCTACAGCTTACAGATTGGCTGATAGCATTCATTAACTTTTCCTTTCATATATACCTTTGTTTACGCCAATCATTAAACTACTTTTTGAGCTCTTTAAGTGTTTGACTTTACAAACAAAGAACCCCGTATTTTCACATCTTCTACTTCTACATGCAGATGCTGAGATGTAGACATGTATTTCACACACGTTTTATACATTTATGGTGTTATGATCTAGACGTGTATTTCACACATGTTTTATGTGTAGATGACGTGACATGTGATTTCACACACCTTTTAGATGTGAATGTTGTGTAGTTCTAGCCCCGTGGTTACACCAGAATACCTCACTTTAATGGCATGGAGCCAGTGGGGTAATCACTGGAGCGTGAAATAATGCCAAACAAGTGCAGTTCGAGGATTATATTGATCGATTTCATTATATCAATATTTTCATGCGATATTATTTATATTAACTTAGATAAATTTGTATATAGCTAGAGACTACTAGTTGTATTCTCTACCAACATCTCCGAAATGAATTATTATTGAACACGAAATATTGAAATTTGAATTCTTGTCAAAAGCAACAAACACTGTAGTGGTATGGGCATAAAAAAAAATTACATGTGTTCATTTTGCATTAGAGAGGTTCAAAAAGAGTAACAAGATTTGTCCAAAACCCCAACCACTGACAGATGTATGTAGATTTTGATAGGAGATACCGTAATCAGATCTATGTAGCCCACGTTAATCCGTTTACGTTATGACTTCCTCTTTACGTTCTCACTTCCTCTTTGATAACAACTTCAAAGGTCATGGAAAGGTCAAGTTTTCAACATTGTTTACCTTGTAGTGGCCAAGTTTTCAACATTGTTTACCTTGTACAGGCCAAGTTTTCAACATTGTTTACCTAGTAGAGGCCAAGTTTTCAACATGGTTTACCGAGCATTTGTCCATTTTCCACAGTCTTTTGTGTTAAAGGATTGTTGGAAAACTTCTCTCCGTACATTTTATAACCCTAGAATGTCCGGTTCTCTACCAAAGCCAACCCAGATAAGTTTAAGAGTTTCAGTTTGATATAATCAACAAATGACACTGGGCAGATATTTTGAGAATTGAAATAAAACCTTATTTACCACTAGGGGTCTGTGAATCATAGATAGATACACACAAATGACAATACGATTACATTTACAACTCTAAACATGTAGCCTACTACACCGATGCTAATTACGATTCTAAAATAAACCTTTTATTCTATCTAATCAGGCTCCTAATAATCACCCTTACTAGCAACGAGAGGCTTAGGTGTTCATACACGTTGCGAAAATATTTTTACAACTTTTATATTTTACTTGCCGAAATGCTTTTCCTAAAATTAGTGTTAAAATGTTTACACGTATTATAATATTTCAACATTTCTAAAAAGTTTTCAAAAATCTAGTGTCAAATTAAAATCTTTTGGGGCACCCACCGCTAAAACCCACAACCCCAGTTAAAACCCACCGTTAAAACCTACTACCCCAGTTAAACCCCACCGTTAAAACCCACAACCCCAGTTAAACCCCACCGTTAAAACCCACAACCCCAGTTGAACCCACCGTTAAAACCCACTACCCCATTTAAAACCCACCGTTAAAACCCACTACCTAAGTTAAAACCCACCATTAAAACGCACTACTCCATTAAAAACCCCCTACCCCAGTTAAAACCCACTACCCCAGTTAAAACCCACCGTTAAAACCCACTACCTCAGTTAAAACCCACCGTTAAAACCCACTACCCCAGTTAAAACCCACCGTTAAAACCCACTACCCCAGTTAAAACTCACCGTTAAAACCCACTACCTCAGTTAAAACCCACCGTTAAAACCCACTACCCCAGTTAAAACCCACCGTTAAAACCCACTACCCCAGTTAAAACCCACCGTTAAAACCCACTACCCCAGTTAAAACCCACCGTTAAAACCCACTGCCCCAGTTAAAACCCAATGCCCCACTTACAGACAAAAAACTGAAATCAAATATCAGTTATACGTCATGTAAAGAACCAGAATGTAAAGAGATTTACGTTCAGCACACGACACGACAACCCACAAACATCAGCATACAACACAAACATAAACGTGTAGGCTTATGAAAAAGGTGTTTTTTTTAATAATTTTTATTTGCTACATTGTGCATCTAATTTACACATGTTTAAAATACTGAGACAAAAACAAATTGGAATCTATAGCTATTTTTTTTAGTCCGAGTTGTGTAACAATCGATTTTTAAAATGAGAAAAACTATTGTCAAATTTAAAAAGCTAAATATTTACAAGAGCACTTAATACAAATGTTATAAAATATTTCAAACATTTTTATATTAATAAAAATCAATTCATTTCTTAAACTAATTAATTTAAACATAACAGTACAAAATGATTGCTATACAAAATTTAAAAGTATATTTTAGCCTATTGTTATTGTTGTAAAGATAGTTTCCAGATACAAAGAATATAGATCGATTATTTTTTTAAATATTTTTTTTCAAATCCTTTCTGCATCTTCGTGTGCACGAAAATGTTAAGAAAGTATTTTCCCTGTGTTACTGAGTGCACGTAGTTTCATTACTTTGCTCATGCGGACATGAGCAGCATAACGATTAGTGCACCTAAAACACGGAGTTCTTCCAGGACGTATTCGATCTTCTGTTATTTGTATCATAACCTTGACCTCTTGTTTTTTTTTTATGTAATTTTTTATTTTTTTATTTTTGTTAGCTTTTAATTTGTAGGACCTACTAAAAATAAACTACAGAAAATGTTGGCTCAACGTTCCTTAAATCAAAATATCAAATTAAAGCAGCCTAGCAGTTTTAATTTTATTTCTGACTGCTCTCTTTTACATGACTCGCTGCGTGTCCAACGATACCACCGGCGACACTACCTGCTCCTACCGTCGCAACACCGATACCAGCGGCTCCAGCGGCTTGAAAAGTAGAAACGAGTCCCATACCAACTCCATAAGTTGCTGCCGCAGACATGGCCGAGGCAGCCCAAGAGCCAGCAGTAATACCAGCTGAAACACACCGAGATATTACATAGTTAAAGATTTCTAATTAGTGCGATACAACTCTTGTTTTTCAATCACTTTACCGAAACATAACTTAGAACAATGGTGATAAGTGACAAGATGTGCAGTGTTTCTTCCAGACTTTTTTCTCCGGGGGGGGGGGGGGAGGGCACTTGAAATTTTCGGGGGGGGGGGCGGTGGTAGACTTTCTTCGGGGGGGGGGTGCGGACACTGTTAAAAGTATATATTTTCTATATAAATTATATAAATTTCATTTCGTTCGGGTCGGGAGGGGGGGGGGGGAGTAGAAAAAATTTCGGGGAGGGGGGGGGGGGAGGGCCTTCGCCCCCCGAAGAGATGCCTGGAAGAAACTCTGAAGATGGGTCTTTGGAATTTGTCCAAATTATAATAAACCGGGAGTGATCTCCCCTAAACTTTCTCGAATATTCTTATATGAAACAACAGGTGATGGCAACTCGGGATATAGACATGATTTTTAATCCATTTTAAATACTTAAACTTTTTAAAATAGAATAAAATCTCGTAGAAAAAAGAATTGCACACCAAGTGAACCCAAATAAAATGTTCATAATAGTGCGGAATATTATTAGTACTTTATAAATTCACATGCGATTTTTGAGAAATCGGAAATAGCAAAAATTACTACTTCCGGTCAACGAAAATTACTCAAACATTGACAGAAGGCAGAGAATTAGATATTTTACTTACGTGTGAAATTTCATTTATCTATCTGAAATAATATTCAAGTTATAGGCTTTTGAAAAATTGAAAGTAGAAAATGTTTAACTTCCGGTTATCGGAAATCGCGCAAAAGTTTATACGGATCTACGATTTTGATATAATACTTATATATATATATATTTCATTAACCTAGCTGTAACGGTATTCAAGTTATCGTGTTTACACACATACACACACAGACACACATACACACACAGACATACAAACAAGATTGCAAAACTATGTTTTTCCGACTGAGGGATGTGTAAAACGTCGATATTTGTAAAAAAATCTCGATTTTTTTTGCACGATTTCTATACTTCGTATATACGATAAAGTAAAAAAGGGAACATGAAACTTGTACTTTTAGATTTTATTCAAGAGGGTGGTATTGGGGCATGGCATCAATAATGTGTATGAAAATGTCTGTACTATTAACCCTAATCCTATAACTAACCCTCAATGAGCTGGCTAAAAGTGTTGAGGCTTAAATTTTCGCGCGTGAAATTTTTGCATTAGTGGCGAGGCTTATCTGGACAAGACTCCTTCCATTCACATTATAAATAGATGACTATAGAATGGATGAAAATTATTGCAATATAAAATTTTCTAGACGGGAAAGAGCGAGAATGTTTTGTCCCGAGAAGCAACAATCTCGATACCATTAATAAGCTATTTAAAATCTCGAGCAATGTCTAAATAGAGGATTAGAAATGGTTGGTGTTAGAAGTTCTCTTATTGTTGAGATATTAATTGTGCATCTTTATCGACTTCTAGCGATGTTGAGACAATAATTGTGTATCTGACTTATAACGTTACTAAAAACTAAAAAAAAAAAATTACCTGCAGTGAACCCAGCAGCCGACAGTGCAAAGGGCGCCACAACAGCAGTTGCGGCTCCCCCTACTAGTATGCCCACCGCCTCCAGCATAAACGAACTGGTACCAGCTGGTAAGAGTATCAGTATAAACATGCAGGCGTAAAATTTCGTCATTTTAGCTTTGATGGAAATCACAGGTGTGGTGCAATCTGTAAGTTTCTAGATCACAGGTGTGGTGCAATCTGTAAGTCTCTAGATCACAGGTGTGGTGCAATCTGTAAGTCTCTAGATCACAGGTGTGGTGCAATCTGTAAGTCTCTAGATCACAGGTGTGGTGCAATCTGTAAGTCTCTAGATCACAGGTGTGGTGCAATCTGTAAGTCTCTAGATCACAGGTGTGGTGCAATCTGTAAGTCTCTAGATCACAGGTGTGGTGCAATCTGTAAGTTTCTAGATCACAGGTGTGGTGCAATCTGTAAGTCTCTAGATCACAGGTGTGGTGCAATCTGTAAGTCTCTAGATCACAGGTGTGGTGCAATCTGTAAGTCTCTAGATCACAGGTGTGGTGCAGCTTGAACCACTACAGTCTCTGTTACAGGGCGTGGCACTGTGCTCCAGTATTTATAGGCTACTGTTTCAAGTTACACGTCACCAAAAGGAACACGTGATGTAACTTTTCTTGGAATTCTAATTTCCTTTTCAATCAATATTACGTGTTCTGATTTACATAGCAAGAACTGGCATGTTGTGTGTATAGGGAATTAATATAAGCTGTGTTATATTTAGACTTAAAAAAAAGGTAAAATTTATAAAAAGTTCTAAAATAAAATAAAAAGAACAACTACAGAAAATGAAGTAAACATTTTGGACGTTTTCCACACCTTATTGAGTGAATGTGTGAGTTAATCGATATTTCGTCTACAGCAGGGGTCTCCAAACTTTTCAGTCCGAGGGCCGCATCAACTATCAAATTTCAGTTCGGGGGCCAGTTTCTTCCAGATATGTTTTTGATTTTTCTGGAGAAAGTTCTTCAGTCATCACCAACAAACGTTTTTCCGTGGACAAAAAGATCTCCGCGGGCCGGATGAGAGGACATCGCGGGCCGCATCCGGCCCGCGGGCCGTAGTTTGGACACCCCTGGTCTACAGCTTACAGATTGGCTGATAGCATTCATTAACTTTTCCTTTCATACATACCTTTGTTTACGCCAATCATTAAACTACTTTTTGAGCTCTTTAAGTGTTTGACTTTACAAACAAAGAACCCCGTATTTTCACATCTTCTACTTCTACATGCAGATGCTGAGATGTAGACATGTATTTCACACACGTTTTATACACTTATGGTGTTATGATCTAGACGTGTATTTCACACATGTTTTATGTGTAGATGACGTGACATGTGATTTCACACACCTTTTAGATGTGAATGTTGTGTAGTTCTAGCCCCGTGGTTACACCAGAATACCTCACTTTAATGGCATGGAGCCAGTGGGGTAATCACTGGAGCGTGAAATAATGCCAAACAAGTGCAGTTCGAGGATTATATTGATCGATTTCATTATATCAATATTTTCATGCGATATTATTTATATTAACTTAGATAAATTTGTATATAGCTAGAGACTACTAGTTGTATTCTCTACCAACATCTCCGAAATGAATTATTATTGAACACGAAATATTGAAATTTGAATTCTTGTCAAAAGCAACAAACACTGTAGTGGTATGGGCATAAAAAAAAATTACATGTGTTCATTTTGCATTAGAGAGGTTCAAAAAGAGTAACAAGATTTGTCCAAAACCCCAACCACTGACAGATGTATGTAGATTTTGATAGGAGATACCGTAATCAGATCTATGTAGCCCACGTTAATCCGTTTACGTTATGACTTCCTCTTTACGTTCTTACTTCCTCTTTGATAACAACTTCAAAGGTCATGGAAAGGTCAAGTATTCAACATTGTTTACCTTGTAGAGGTCAAGGTTTCAACATTGTTTACCTTGTAGAGGTCAAGTATTCAACATTGTTTACCTTGCAGAGGTCAAGGTTTCAACATTGTTTACCTTGTAGAGGTCAAGTATTCAACATTGTTTACCTTGTAGTGGCCAAGTTTTTAACATTGTTTACCTCGTAGAGGCCAAGTTTTCAACATTGTTTACCTTGTAGAGGTCAAGTATTCAACATTGTTTACCTTGTAGAGGTCAAGGTTTCAACATTGTTTACCGAGGCCAAGTTTTCAACATTGTTTACCTTGTAGTGGCCAAGTTTTCAACATTGTTTACCTTGTAGACGCCAAATGTTTAACATTGTTTACCTTGTAGTGGCCAAGTTTTTAACATTGTTTACCTCGTAGAGGCCAAGTTTTCAACATTGTTTACCTTGTAGAGGTCAAGTTTTCAACATTGTTTACCTTGTAGAGGTCAAGTTTTCAACATTGTTTACCGAGGCCAAGTTTTCAACATTGTTTACCTTGTAGTGGCCAAGTTTTCAACATTGTTTACCTTGTAGAGGTCAAGGTTTCAACATTGTTTACCTTGTAGTGGCCAAGTTTTCAACATTGTTTACCTTGTAGTGGCCAAGTTTTCAACATTGTTTACCTTGTAGTGGTCAAGTTTTCAACATTGTTTACCTTGTAGAGGTCAAGTTTTCAACATTGTTTACCTTGTAGTGGCCATGTTTTCAACATTGTTTACCTTGTAGACGCCAAATGTTTAACATTGTTTACCTTGTAGAGGTCAAGTATTCAACATTGTTTACCTTGTAGTGGCCATGTTTTCAACATTGTTTACCTTGTAGACGCCAAATGTTTAACATTGTTTACCTTGTAGAGGTCAAGTTTTCAACATTGTTTACCTTGTAGTGGCCAAGTATTCAACATTGTTTACCTTGTAGAGGTCAAGTTTTCAACATTGTTTACCTTGTAGAGGTCAAGTATTCAACATTGTTTACCTTGTAGTGGCCATGTTTTCAACATTGTTTACCTTGTAGACGCCAAATGTTTAACATTGTTTACCTTGTAGAGGTCAAATTTTCAACATTGTTTACCTTGTAGAGGTCAAGTTTTCAACATTGTTTACCTTGTAGACGCCAAATGTTTAACATTGTTTACCTTGTAGAGGTCAAGTTTTCAACATTGTTTACCTTGTAGTGGTCAAGTTTTCAACATTGTTTACCTTGTAGAGGTCAAGTTTTCAACATTGTTTACCTTATAGAGGTCAAGTTTTCAACATTGTTTACCTTGTAGAGGTCAAGTATTCAACATTGTTTACCTTGTAGTGGTCAAGTTTTCAACATTGTTTACCTTGTAGTGGCCAAGTTTTCAACATTGTTTACCTAGTAGTGGCCAAGTTTTCAACATTGTTTACCTTGTAGAGGTCAAGTTTTCAACATTGTTTACCTTGTAGAGGTCAAGTTTTCAACATTGTTTACCTTGTAGAGGTCAAGTTTTTAACATTGTTTACCTTGTAGTGGCCAAGTTTTCAACATTGTTTACCTAGTAGATGCCAAGTTTTTAACATTGCTTCTTGTAGTGGTCAAGTTTTCAACATTGTTTACCGATCATGTGTCCATTTCCCACGATCATGTGTCTTAAAGGATTGTTGGAAAACATTTTTTGTCGATGTTTTGTCAAAACGTTTCTCCGTACATTTTATAACCGGTTTCTTACCAAAGCCAGCCCAGATAAGTTTAAAATGAGTTTCAGTTTGATGTAATCAACAAATGACACTGGACAGATATGTCGAGAATTGAAATAAAACTTTATTTACCACTAGGGGTCTGTGAATCATAGATAGATACACACAAATGACAACATGATTACATTTACAAGTCTAAACATGTAGCTTACACCGATACTTATTACGATTCTAAAATAAACCTTTTATTCTATCTAATCAGGTACAAATAATCACCCTTATTTGCCACAAGAGGCTTATGTGTTCATACACGCTGCGAAAATACTTTTACAACTTTTATATTTTACTTGTCGAAATGATTTTCCTAAAAATAGTGTAAAAAATGTTTACAGTTTATAATATTTCAACATTTCTAAAAAGTTTTCAAAAATCTAGTGTCAAATTAAAATCTTTTGGGGCACTATCATTTAAAAGAATTAAAAAAAAAACAACCAACTTTTTCAACTTATTTTGATAACAATAAAAAAATCAGAATTCCTGACTGGGATTATCCCGAGATTAAGAGTCGTTTCATCACGTATTTGACTCGTTCATGTCGATGATGTAATTGAAAGAGTGCCCGAGGATACCGCCGACGATGAAGCCGAGGGCGACAGATGAAAAACTGACGCCAGTGACCCCCACAGCCTGTACAGCAGCAACAGCTCTCATGCCGATCTTGTAGGCAGCGGCTCTGGACATGAGGAAAGCAGCGATGGAACCGCCCGCAATGCCGCCTGAAACAGATAGGTCAACTCGTGTAAACATGGGGACGTTGGGGGCTGAAACAGGTAGGTCAACTCGTGTAAACAGGGGGGATGGGGGCTGAAACAGGTAGGTCAACTCGGTGTAAACAGGGAGATGGGGGCTGAAACAGGTCAACTTGGTGTAAACGGGGGGATGGGGGGCTGAAACAGGTCAACTTGGTGTAAACGGGGGGATGGGGGCTGAAACAGGTCAACTCGTGTAAACAGGGGGGATGGGGGCTGAAACAGGTCAACTCGTGTAAACAGGGAGATGGGGGCTGAAACAGGTCAACTTGGTGTAAACGGGGGGATGGGGGGCTGAAACAGGTCAACTTGGTGTAAACGGGGGGATGGGGGCTGAAACAGGTCAACTTGGTGTAAACGGGGGGATGGGGGGCTGAAACAGGTCAACTCGGTGTAAACAGGGGGGGGGGGATGGGGCTGAAACAGGTCAACTCGGTGTAAACATGTATATATTTTATTTAAATCATATTTATACTTAACCACATACTTAATCATATTTATAACTTAAACATTTAAGCTAGTTCGTGTTTTCTATTACAGTGTTTCATTAGTTTTAAGATTTGGCTATTGTAGCACTTTCTCCCAATGTAGATGGTGAGAGACGTGTACATACGCGAGACTTAACCCTGAGGTAACCATCATCAAACAACCACGCACACCTCACAAACGCTGTACATAAAGCAGCTTCCGTTTATTCAACAGAAAAATAATTGCGTTAAAATATTTTAAAAACTTGAAGAGAGCGACTTACGTGAAGTGAAGCCGCCGACCTTGAGGAAACAGGGTAAAATGAGAGCAACTTACGTGAAGTGAAGCCGATGACCTTCAGGAAACAGGGTAAAATGAGAGCAACTTACATGAAGTGAAGCCGACGACCTTGAGGAAACAGGGTAAAATGAGAGCAACTTACGTGAAGTGAAGCCGACGACCTTCAGGAAACAGGGTAAAATGAGAGCAACTTACGTGAAGTGAAGCCGACGACCTTGAGGAAACAGGGTAAAATGAGAGCAACTTACGTGAAGTGAAGCCGACGACCTTCAGGAAACAGGGTAAAATGAGAGCAACTTACGTGAAGTGAAGCCGACGATCTTCAGGAAACAGGGTAAAATGAGAGCAACTTACGTGAAGTGAAGCCGACGATCTTCAGGAAACAGGGTAAAATGAGAGCAACTGTCAGGGCACCAACTGTGGCTCCAGCGGCTTCCATGAGCCATGCCTCAGCTCCGACAGGCAGCAGCACCAGCACAAGGAAGAAGGCGTAGAACTGACCCATCTTGTCGCTTCTTATTGAATCGTTAGCCTGTGGTGTGTACATAGATGTGTAATGATGGGTGGGGGACTATACCAAAGGGTATTCAGCATATTTAACTTGTCAACAAAACTTAGGTGGGATAGTTCGTTTTTACAGTTTTAATAAAACTTACTAAATCTTGATTTGTTTTTAAACAATCTCAAAAATCCACTTGTTCCATAAATGACGTCACACTCAAAGGAGGAAGCTGGGTTCAGAATTTAGAAATTTTGAAACCAATTTTAGAAACTGAAAACATTTTCCCGCTATTTCGCGTTTTTAGAAAACTTTTTTGTAGATTGCAATTTTTAAAAAAAGTGCAAAAGTGTGACGTCACAATATTTGACCCCTCCCCCCATCACACATCGTCACATAATTACGAACCCCCTCCCCCAGGAGTGTGATGTCATTTATGGACTTGATGAAGCGTGGTAGAGAATGCTAAGCTATGGTTGAACGAGTCGACAGTGCTTATTAAGCTCTCACAATTATAAGCTTTTGTTTGGAGTCGGTCTCATACCGTACTGACCTGTACTGCTAAGATAAGAACATCGATATCATACAGTACTGACTGTATTGCTAAGATAAGAACATCGATATCATACAGTACTGATGTGTTACTCTCGTTCACAAACAACTTAGCTTTATATTCCTGTTAGTTACGACTTTACAATCTACAAATTATAAACGTTACAAGGGGAGGGTGGGGTTATCAGATAGTGTTACCAACTCTGGTTTCCCTTTAGGCAGCAGTTTCTGCAGCCGAATTTGGAACCTAATGGTCGTGATGTTTATCACTACTTTGTAGTACAAAGTTTGTACAATACCAGCAAAGGTACAGAGTGGGATCACGATGCATAGTTTACATATCATCTCTTCATCCAGTGTTTCTTTCAGACATTTTTCTCGGGGGTGGGGGTGGACTTGCTTGGATGAGATGCCAAAAAGCAACTCTGCCTTCATCCAGTGTTTCTTTCAGACATTTTTCTCGGGGGTGGGGGTTGGGGTGGACTTGCTTAAGGGGGGATGCCATAAAGCAACCCTGCCTTCATCCAGTGTTTCTTTCGGACATTTTTCTCGGGGGTGGGGGTGGACTTGCTTGGATGAGATGCCAAAAAGCAACTCTGCCTTCATTTAGTGCCCTGGTATGCGCCTTGAGAATTCCACTTCTCTGTGTGCATCAATTTTCTCCCGTGGCAAAAAGAAGCCATTTGTAAACTTGACAAACACAACAGCGTCAACTATATGGACGCTGGTAAAGCTTTTCTTTGCAGTCAGTGCATTAGAGTTAGTCTAGATTAGTCTAGAATAATGTAATGTAGATTCTAGTTTTTTCTAGTTAGATTTAGATCTAGAATCTAGATCTAGCTACTAAGAGTCAACCATGGTCACTGCTTGATCTAACCGGTGCTTAGGACCTAGAATCTAGATCTAGTTATAGTGTTATAGATCTAGATCTAGAATCTAGATTCTAGGTCGGTTGTCATTTGCTATATGGCTATGCCCGCTATGTGTTGTCTTTTCTTTGTGTATTAAATAATTAATATTCCTTTAAACAACCTAGATCTAGAATTAAAATAATAATTGAAGGTAGATCTAGGTATGATTATGTGGTTACACAAACAATAATTAAAATAATAAGATTTAATTGTTTGTTTACCGTACACCAAAACAAATTATTAAAATACAATTTGCATAAGATTCAATTTGATTGTGTTTACCTTTTACTCGTTCAACAGACGTTTACAGAAATGACGTCAGTTCCTTGGTTTTGATTATTACATTGATGTGTTTATACGCTTTTTTCAATGACGTCATTACAAATCTATTTTTTAGTCGCATTGGGCGCAGTAACTAAAATGGCCATATAACCCAAAGTGGTAGTTACAGAGCAAAATAAAATATAAAATATCATGGTACTGTGTTATTCTTTGTGTATGTGTTTGTGCCTTGATAGCCTAATAAAAGTATCTAGCCATTGGCACTTCCTTGCCCCGCCTTGATATCTGACGATAGTTAATTATGGAAGTCTTGAAGTGAGTACAAAGAAACTAGGTTTTCACTTTAATCTCTGAACAGCGCCGCAGAACGAGTTCACTGACCGACCATGCTGACACGCGAAGTCTTTCAGCCAGGGGCTTCATCCATTCAGCTTATTTTTGCTAGACGCGATCAGTTACTTTCTGACATGTCTTGATTGGGGGGGGGGTGCACTATCGGGGCACGTCTTACCCCCCCCCCTCCCTAGACGAAACGAAATGGGGAAAATATTTATATATAAAAAAATAAACTTTAAATAGCGTCGTACCCCCCTCAAAATCTTAACCGCCCCTCCCCCCCCCCCCCCCCCCCACGAAGAATAAAATCTGAAATAAACCCTGACAGCGATGTGTGATCTATTTCACGTTCTTCATTCACTTTCTTTAGTTAGAGTAGGGACACAGGATTCTAGCTATTTCTTCGGCGTTTTAAAAACAATAACTATTTTTGTAATAATAATTACTGCAAGCATTGAAACAATAGCATCTTATTTCTTTTCAACCGTAAACTCTTAAATAGGTGATGATGTGTACTTAAACTAAGGCCTAAGTACTAAGTGTTACAGGAGTTAGTGGACTTGGGTTTTTTTTCTGACTGATGCCGTTCTAAAAATAGTCTGGTGGGGGATTCCCCTAATTTCATCATGTTTATTTCTGCTTCAGTAATGCTAGCCATCCGATTGCTAAATAAACACGTTAAAAAATATGCTAATGTGCACGTTCTTTTAGGCATCTCTGGGGGGGGGGGGGGGGGGGGGGAAGCGGTGCCCCTATGTCCCTAAACACGCCCACCCCACCCCCCCCCCCCCACCAATAGAATTAGAATTGATATAAAAAATATTTACTTTTACTACTGTCCTCCCCCTCACCTCCCGGAGAAAAGTCTGAAAGAACCACTGCTTTTTAATACAGATTAGGCGCCTCAGCGGCTTCGATAGTTCAATGGATTTTAGTGGGATTTATCTGTGAAAGAATGGTATGGGTGGGGTCTAGATCAATGGCGTAAACACATTTAAAAATAATTGAATACGAACAATACAAAAACTTGGATATATTCTTTTATTTTTAGATTTCCATAAAAATATGTGTTTATTACATATTACATATACTTGTGGTAGGGTATGTTGTGATCTGGAGTTAAGAAATAGGAGGAAAGTGGGGTATGTGTGGTACGTGTGGTAAGTGGGTGTTGTAGTAAGGACTATTTCGATTAAGGATTAAATATGTCATGAAATATTGTTTTTAAAAGTCCAATTTAAAAAATATTTCTCGCCATTAGCTGAGTTATTTCTATGTTGAAGCTATGCCTGTCATTTCAATATGCATTTTGTATTGAAGATTGGCATAAAACCGGCATAGAAGAATCACAGCTAAATTCTAGAGGATTCTAATGTGTTTTGGTTGACACTCGGTGTCTAGTGAAGGGAACTGTTTTAAATTGTTACAATTTTTT